ACACATGCACATCTCGTCAGCCCAATGTGGCGGTGCGAGATGCAGCCAGGTACGATCAAACCACGCGTCACTTTCCCATCAAAAGTCCAGTCAACCGTGTCTGATCCCGCGCCACGTATATAAGACGCCCCCAATTGCATCCCGCTTTCTCTATCTTCTCTATCAGACCGTTTACCACTTTGTACACTGAAACAACACACAGCACTTACAATGTTCAACGCCATCAACCACCTCCGCGCCAGGGTCGCCACCTTGTTCGCCGCCACCCCCGCCTCTTTTGCCCGTGAGTCTGCCGTGACGGAGCCTGTCAGCCACGCCTCGCACGCTGGCGTCTCCTCGGAGCGCAGCGTGCAGGTAGTTCCCGCTGGCAGTGTCAGCGCTCCTGCGTTCGTCCACAGCGACGACGGCATCGACGTCGCGGTCAATCACGTCTTCCACGCGCACGACGCGCTCACCACGTCTACCCACTGGGTGGAAGACGACTACCTCATGACTGTCAGGAAGACCACCTTGCTCGATGAGCCCGCCCGTACCGTGAGTATTTTGGGCGCCCATCCCGCCTTTTGAAAAGTGGCTGACGGGAAAATAGTGTGCCAATCGCCAATCCGCGCTCTCTTCCGCCTCTTCTTCTACTTCCACTGCTCTTGGTCAAGGCCGAGGCGCTGGTATCGATAATATTAACATCACCTCTGCCACCGGTACTCACGCCGACCGCCAAGCTCAGTCCCGACCATCCTCTGGCCCTGCTCCTCGACGACGTCAGCTTGACTTCATGAACGCCACCCACGCTCCCTACCCCCGTGGCTCTACTCGCGTTCAAGTCATTGCTCGTCACCGAGAGCAGATCAAGGTCACGTCCGGTGCCATCCGAATTCCCACCGCCAATGGCTCTACCCGTGCCGTCATCAATGGCCCGCGAGTCTCGGTGGCTGCTCTCTGCAACGCGCTTTCTGGTGCCACACCTGCTACTGCCACCGCCTCGTCCTCTCGCTCTGTCTTTGCTCCAGATGTCATCCGCCGTGCTGAGTCTCCTGTCGGCTCTGATCGAGCCATCGCCATCCGTCCCAAGCCTTCTTTCTCTTCTGCTCCGCGGGTTGCCCCTCCAGCTCGTCTTTCCCTTCGAGGCCCTCCTCCTGTCAGAACCATTCTCAAGCGGAGAATCAACGAAGTGCGTCTGCTCATCTCAATCACGGCTGCCGTTACTGACCATATCATCAGGTCCCGAACGACGATACCGAATCTGAACTGGCTCGTATCCCCAAGCGTACGCGCGTCACCCCGCCTCTTCAGCTCGTTGTTTCAGCGCCTCGTCAAGTTTCTTCTTCATCATCTACATCTTCCTCCCCCGCATCCGACATCATCCTCACTCCTCCCCACCAGGATGTCGCTCTGCCCGTTGACCCGCCCTCTCCCAGGTGCACTAAGCGCACCGGTGATCAAGTGAGTCAACCTGTCCCTCTGTCTTTGCTTCCCTCACTGATTATCATCCCAGGTTGACGAAGATGCCGATGCCCAGAACGAGTCCTCTTCTGAACTTCCCAGGGTAACCAAAACAATTCGCTTCGATACCGTCCCTGCTTCCGCTGGTGATGCCAACTACTCCAGGGCCGACACCCGAACCGCCTTTGTATCTCCGCCTCGGGCCTTCTTGCTTGGCGCACCTCCATTTTCGCCCCTTCCAAGCCATCCGGTCGTCCCGGAGACGGAGACTGTCACGGCTCAAGGCACTCACGCTACGTTCGCTCCTCCTCCTCGTGCTTTCATGGTCGGGGCGCCTCCTTCCACCCCTCTGCCCTGTACCTCCGGCAGAGAGTCATTCCTCGCCCGAGGCGCTGCTGCCGCGCCTCCACCATTCTTTTCTCGCCGGGCTCCCGCGGCCACCGCAGCGGCCCTAGCCTCATCTGCGACGTCAGAGCTTTATTAGTGTAACGTATCTTGCCAGCTGTCAGTCAAGGCTATCTGCTAACCATCATATCAGGCGCCTGTCAATCATTCATTGGTCTACAGCTGTCAGCAGTGGATCTTCAGCTCCACTGCACCTCCTTACAACACATCTTGTTCATTGTGTTCTCTTTTTTGTTCGTGTTGTGAGTATACCCAGTTTGGATTTGTTTGAATACTGTAGGCTGCTTGTTCGCGTTGTACTAAACTGTTCAAGTCTACTTGCGGCTGTCACCGTGGAATGATGAGGGACTGTACTTTTATTCAAGCCGGTGTTGGTACCATATCTGAAGTATTGGAACGAGACCATATACCACCCTCCTAGGACACATAGCTTTGGTAGTAACCCATAGTCCATCATAGCAGTTGTAGATCTGTATACTCATCCATATCGTTGTTAGCTTCCGTACCATTCCATACTCATCGATAGCATCCATAGTAGTAGTTGTATTTGCATGCTGTAGTTCTTGTAGCGTTGTAGAGTACTCGTAATGTACACCAGAGTTCCATGAATGTATACATTTCGTTGCTCGCATCCCAAAGGATTCCTTCTTCTCTGAGTGACCTGAGTGGCAGAGTCAACTTGGTCAGCAACGTAGCTGTACGAGAATGCTTTTTGAATCAGAGCAGTGGAAAGACTACATGAAAGCCAAGATAGTGAGCAGATCCTGCATGCTCAATTGATGCTCAATCTCGGTAAGCTTTGGACCAAAGCCCCTCCACCAGGATTCCATTCGACTTTTCCGATTCTGGAAAACGCGGAAGGACCGGGTGTCCGGAGCGCTGTGCGTTCACTGCAGCTTCCCGAAATGTGGTCGCTGGATAGCCAGTACATTGTCTATCAGGGCCAGTTTTTTTACCTGGTGTGTTTATATTGCATCTCCTATCACTCTGCGCTCGGTTCAGCACATGGAAGACCCAGACAATTCAGAAATGGGCAGGAAGCAATGATACACCGAAACGACGCCGACGGCCCGAGCTGCAGAACCTCTTTCATCTTCATCTTCATCTTCATCTTCATCTTCATCTTCATCTCCATCTTCTCTTATTGGATACATCTTCATTCACATTGCAATCATGTCCGCCGTCATCAAAGACATATACAACACCTTCCTCTTCGACCCGGAACACGGCCTCCAGCTCGATGCTATCTATCCCACATCTCACCCTCAAGACGCCCACGTCCCTGTCTTTGTTCACTATCACGGAGGAGGGATGGCAGCGGGGTCCAGGCGGGACATGTTCTTTGCTTGGATGCGAGGTAGGTTCGAGTCTACCATTTGGTATCTGCAGCTAACCCTGGTGTCGGACAGACATACTGCCTGCCAAGGGCTTCCTTGTGATCTTTGCCGACTATCGACTATTGTATCCAAGCACAGCAGACGACATCATCACAGATGTGCATACGCTATTCTCGTATATATCAAGCCCGAACACCGAGCTTGCCCAGTCGCTCGCTTTCCTCGGCATCACTATCGACGCTTCCCATATTGTCGTCAATGGCGCTTCTGGCGGCAACTATGCTGCCAAAGCAGCGGCCACCTTACCTACCGTTATTCCCCGCCCTATCGCCTGGGTGGATCTTTGGGGCCAAGGCGGTGACTGGCTCTCCGACTTTCTAGTCAAACCGTACGACATCACAAAGTACATTGTCGGCCTACTGTACGATGAAGCGCGGGCCATTGAGCTGGAAGAGGCTGGTGGAGGGGAGGTGGTCACGGACGATCGATTTGTGCCTCTGGAAGGAGGCAAGAGAGGTCATAAGCTGGGAAGATTTAGTATGGTGGCGTACTGGCTTAGGCAGGGTACCTTTCTCGACCACCTCTTCTCTGCGCCCGGTCTCGGCGCAAAGCTAGCGGCTGTCGAACCTCAACACCGCCCCTCTCTTATACCCCCTGACAAGGTACACCTCCTTCTGCCCATTACGCCAATTACCTGCCCCGCCTATCTCATACACGGCACAACAGACAAAATATGCCCGATCAGCGAAAGTAAAGCGATTGAGAGGGATATGAAGCAGCTCGGGTTGGAAGTGGTGGTGGATTGGGTAGAGAATGGAGAGCATGGGCTGTGGGACACCGATACGAGAAAGCCGGTGGCTACGCTGGGAGAGACTATTGAGAATGTTGTCGCTTGGGTTGAGGAGAAGGCGCGCGTGTAAGGGGGCCACGTCTTTCCCTTCAGTGGGTAAATGTCTTTGGTCTTGTGGTCTCAATGCTGACCATTCAACATCAGGCCACAAGCCGCGCATCATTATGAAAGTCTCACTCGTGGCGCAAACATGCTCATGACGGCGCTCACGGGCGACCACCTCGGTCCATACCTCCTATCCTCCAATCCTTGCTTATACCTCAAACCTCTCAAACCTCCTCTCTCCATCATCTCCGACATCTCCCGAGCTCTCAGGCACACCATCTCGCTTACTATCACACTGGGTTTGTGGACTGGAACGCATTTGAATTGCTTTACAAAGCTGTTCCACTGCGCCTCCACGGCTCCACCTCCTCCACCTCCACACGGACCAAACATTACGCAAGCAATCATTTCGTGTTCGACGTCGCCGTGGCTCACCATGAAGGGCTGCCCGAGGGTTCTACAGGCAATTGGTGAATTCGAGCCCGGACGACTTGATGGAGAGGGTATATAGGTCGAACAGAATGATCACACATGGACCATTCCACTCACCAGCAACCTCACCCGTCGGTTTTTAGTTTGCGGCTTGCATACTTTCGCTGACGTTGCTTTTAGATTTGCACGCTATCGACATGGTCGCCGCCTCTCCCCAGCACAAAACGTTCACCTAAGACGCGTCACTTGACCTCAAGCTTGACGTTTACCTTCCCACCAGCCGACAGTCTACCAAAAACGGCAAGGTACCCGCGTTCGTCCATTTCCATGGAGGTGGTATGGTTACTGGCTCGCAAAATGACCCCTTCTTTCCCGAGTGGATCAATAGTATGTGGAAATGCACTTTTGAAGAGAACTGTGGCTTATACTGCTCAAGCTATCCTACCAGCGAAAGGTTTTTTGGTCGTCTCAGCAGACTATCGTCTTCTGTTTCCGAGCACCCCAGCCGACATGATCACTGACGTCCATACTGCCACGGCCGAGCTGGGACGCAGCAGGGTCAGGGAATTACTACGTGTGACATATCTTTCTGCCTCGTCCACTCCACTCAATACTTGGCTCTCCAGCCTTGATATAGCCCTCGACGCTAGTCCCTCCGTCGTCAGCGGACAATCTGGTGGCAACTACCCCGCCCGCGCTGCTGCTACCATCCCGACAGTCAAACCCCGTCCCATCGCGTGGTTTACCCTGTTCGGCCAAGGTAGCGACTGGCTCTCTGACTTCTGGCTCTCGCCTCAGAACGTCTTGCCTTATACGCCTTTCTTCGAGTACGACCAAACCCGGGCGAAAACAGTGGTTGAACCAGGCAGGGGAAAAGTGGTTTCGGATAGTGCTTATCTGACGCTGAAAGGAGGCAAGGTTGGGGATACGACAGGACGAAATAATCTCTACATCTATTTTGCGCAGACAGGATTTTATGTTGATGTCCTCCTGTCTTCCCCGGGAATTGCTTGCCAGCTTGGCACAGCGCTATGCACTAAACGCCTCTCGCTACTCCCGGCCAGCCTCCTTCCCTTACTCCTTCCAATGACCGCTTCCACCCCGCCGATGTATATCATCCATGGCACATCCGACCACATGGTGCCCATAGCCGATAGCTACAAGCTGAAGAACAATTTGGAGAAAGAAGGTGTAAAGGTGCGAGTCGACTGGGTAGAAGGGGCAGAGCATGGGTTATTGGCGGATGATTTTGGAGGGTTGGTGGAAGGGTTTGACGGGGTTGTTGGGAGAGTTGTGAATTGGCTTCAGAAGAGGGCGAATTGATGAGAGGATGTACTGTGACGTTAGCTGTGAATCTGACTATATAAGAATGATGAATCCTGCCAGGCAAATTGCCATACTTCTCTGCTCCAAGACCCGCCATACCCATCCTGAGACCATTGCTCGTCACAAGAGCTACTACTACTGATCAAGTTTGAAATGTTTCGGGCACCGGGCCCAGAGTCCCATGCAATACTTCTAAAGTACGTTTGTCTATCTTGATCCTCATAGATATCATCGAGCGATAGGGTGCCACAGTCTACATGCATGCTACTACGCCGTATGGCCGAGTGGGCCCTGTGCGCTGTTCAAGTCGCTGTCCACACTTTGTTTACGCAGGGGGGCGAATGGATACTTTTGGATACTTTTTGTACCGCTACTGCATACCCTTTGCGCTGAAGAGAATGATGAATGATTCATTTTCGGAAATATATCTACTCGGCCTCGGGCACGGCAGCTTACCAATGCCAGCTCATACCAGAGGGGCTTTATATATTCGCCTTGAAGCGTGCCATAGCCCATCATCATTCCCAGCCATGGCCGCCACCCCGCAGACTTTCGTATACGATGCTAGCTATGGCACCAAGCTGGACGCGTATCTGCCCACGTTCGGCCCACAAGACAAGTCTCGCGTGCCCGTGATCGTACACTTTCATGGAGGCGGTATAGTTGCTGGAAGTAGAAACGACATTCTTTTGTCTTCGTGGATATCCGGTAAGATCCCAAGCCGATGGCTATTCTGGTATAGAAACTAACGATGATATAGAGACTCTACCCTCGAAAGGGTTCCTCGTGCTCTCGGCTGACTATCGCCTTCTGTACCCCAGTACCGCCGACGACAGCATCGCCGACGTTCACACCCTCTTCTCATACGTCGCCTCCCCTACTACCGAGCTCTCCTCTGCCCTGTCTTCCCGAGGTCTCACCCTGGACACCACCCGGATCGTCGTATCAGGAGAGTCAGGGGGCAACTTTCCCGCGAAAGCAGCCGCCACCCTCGCGTCCGTCCAGCCTCATCCAATCGCATGGCTCGACCGCTTCGGTCAAGGCGGGGACTGGCTCTCGAACCACTACGTCAAACCCTACGATGCTCTGCCTTTCACAAAGTTTATCCGATACGAGGAAGCCCATGCTATAGAGCTCGACCAGCAGGGCGGTGGAGAGGTGGTCACGGAGAGTGGGAGCAGACCGAGAGAGGATGGGCGTTTGAGAGATGATTTGGGGAGGTTTGACCTCTATGTCTATTGGTTGAAAGAGGCGCTGTATGTGGATAGGCTTTTGGAGCTTCCTGGGATCTCTGCCAAACTTGCCGCTGTCCCCTATTCCGAGCGTTTAGCTTTGATCCCAGCCGAGAAGCGTCACCTCCTCCTCCCCATCACCCCTCACACTTGCCCGGCTTTCATTGCCCATGGCACTGCAGATGGAATGGTGTCTATTGTCGAGAGCGAAACGATTGCGAAAGAGATGGAGGAGCAAGGACTGGAAGTGGAGAAACGATGGAGGGAGGGCGATTCACATGGGTTCTTTGATCTTGTCACCCTGCAACCCTCTGCTGGTTCTGAAAAGCTCGTTGAGGATATCTTGTGTTGGATTGATAAGAAGGTGAATCTTTGAATCTCATAGATGCTTTTGAGATGGAGTATATGAATGCGGGAGATGATAATTACTTGACTATACTTTCAACTTGCTCACTTACCTCCGCCCTTCCCTTCTCCCTTCTTTGATGCAATGCGGAGCCGGTTTGGCATATGGCTGACTCGACATCGTGTTGACTATTCGAAACACTAAAGGAACATATTAGCATATTAGGGGAATTCAAATTGGCGTTATTGAATTCCCCAATTATAGATTATAGATAAGCTATTAAAACTCCACTTCGCCTCCACCGCGCCTCCACCACAACCCGAACCAAACATTACGCAAGCAAATATCGCCCCTCCACTACCTCCACTCTCTTACTACTGCTGCTTCTGGCTGTTGCCTTGTTTTTGCTTAGTAAAGATTGAAGAGGAGTCGGGGATGGCGCAAGATCACCAGATCATCAGACAGCTCTGACCCGAGACGGGCGTATACATAAGGGGCATGGACTCTCCTCAATGGCTGCTGTTTGGCATTATATTCAATACTACTCGAAGCTTTCTTGAGTGAGTTTGCTACCAGAAATGTACGGGGTGGGCACTGACCAAATCTATAGAGTCATGTCAGCCTCGACCATTAGTCCCGAGACCTTTGTGTACGCCAAACGTCACAACATCAAGCTCGACGCATACCTTCCTACATCCGGTATCAAAGACAAGTCCCATCTACCCGTCTTTGTGCACTTTCACGGGGGTGGTATTGTCGCTGGAAGCAGGGCCGACATTTTTCTTCCAGCTTGGATCACTTGTAAGTTGCCCGTCACCTAGCGTACTGGTTGCAAGCTGATATGTCCTTAGCCACCTTGCCTTCCAAAGGCTTCCTGGTCATTTCGGCAGACTACCGCCTTCTCTTCCCCAGCTCCGCCGACGACATCATCACCGACGTCCACACTCTCTTCTCTTACATTGCCTCCCCTAGTTCCGACCTCTCTGCTGTCTTGTCTTCCCAAGGCTTTGCGCTAGATACTACGCGTATCGTCGTGTCGGGAGAGTCGGGTGGCAACTACCCAGCCAAGGCAGCAGCCACCCTTGCCTCCGTCCAGCCCCGTCCCATCGCATGGGTCGACCGCTGTGGTCAAGGCGGGGACTGGCTCTCCGACCATTGGGTCAAGCCTTACAACGTCTTGCCGTTTACTCCGTTCATCATTTACGACAAGGCCAAGGCCCTGAAGATCGAAAGAGAAGCTGCCAAGGGAGAAGAAGGGCAGGTGGTGGTGAAAAGTGCGTATAGGATGGTGGATGGAAAGATACAAGATGATTTGGGGAGGTTCAACTTGTGCGTCTATTGGCTCGAGCAGGGATTGTTTGTCGATAGACTCCTTGGCCTTCCGGGTATCTCTGCCAAGCTAGCCACGGTTCCCCACGACGAGCGACTGTCTCTTATTCCCACCGACGAACGCCACATCCTCCTTCCCATCACCCGGTCTACTTGTCCAATCTTTGTCGTCCATGGTACGGCCGACGGTATGGTGCCTTTCAGCGACAGCGAGGCGATTGCGAAAGAGATGGAAGAGCAAGGTCTGGAGGTGGAGAAGCGATGGAGAGAGGGAGATTCGCATGGCTTCTTCAATCCTATCACTTTCCAGCCTTCCGCGGGTGTTGAAGAACTTGTTGACGACATCTTGAGCTGGAATGGGAACAAAGTGGGAATCTAAAGGGTCAATAGATATTCTAGACATGCATAATACTTGCAACAACCCGTAAAGACACCAAAATTGGTCCAACCCATTTATTGTTGCTTGGAGGTAAATTCTTCGATGTACTGGCACAACAATTGGACAGACTCGAGGGTGACGGCGTTGTAGATGGATGCTCTCACACCTTATTGTTGTCAGCTCAGATACCAGTCAGCGCATGGGACGAGAACTCACCACCAACAGACCTGTGCCCCTTCAACTGTTGGAAGCCCCGCTCAGCGGCACCGTCCAAGAACGCCTTTTCCTTCCCTTCTCCGACAATGTTGAAAGTAACATTCATCCAGCTCCTAGCCTCCTTCTCCCTGACCACTGTCTTGATAGCGCCCTTCTCCTCCGCCTTGTCCAAAGTAGCATACAGCAGCTCGGCCTTTTCCTTGTTCACCTTCTCCAAGCCCTCAAGGCCGCCCTTCTCAGAAAGTAGACGTTGAAGGACGAGGGCGGAAACGTAGATGGGGAAAGTGGGAGGCGTGTTGTAAAGGGAAGCATTGTCGGCGAGAATCTTGTACTCGTAGGTAATGGGAGTCACGGGTACGCACCCGAGCTTGGCAGCTTCAGCAGTGTCGACCAACAAGTCTTTACGGACGATCAAGACCGTCACGCCGCTAGGGCCGAGGTTCTTCTGCGCACCAGCGTAGATGATGGCGTGCTTTTCAATATTAGGAATGGGGCGAGAGATGAAGGAGGAAGAGTAGTCGGCGACGATGTTGACGCCTTCGGGGACTTGGTCGAAGGGGAAGGCGAATTCGGAGGACTGGTTGGACGCGGGAGGGTACTCGATACCGTTGATGGTCTCATTCTCGCAGTAGTAGACGTACGCCGCGTCCTTGCTAAAGTTGTACTCCTTCTTCTTGGGGAGTCTTGTCCAGCCCGTCGGCTTTGTGGTGGCAGCGACTCTGGGCGTAGCGAAGGCGGGGCAGTTGGGGAAGGGGGCGCTGGTCAATCGCTGGGCTTCGGCGTAGGCTTTAGAAGACCAAGAGCCTGTGAGGATGTAGTCTACAGTGGGAGGGGTAAACTGCCCGGCAGGTACGGGATTGGCGATACGGTGGGCAGAGAGGAGGTTGAGAAGCACAGCAGAGAATTGACCGGTACCACCACCTTGGGAGAAGAGGACGGCGTAGTTGTCGGGAATCTGAAGGAGCTTTCGCAAGTCGGCTGCGTCTAGTCAGCACACAGACTAGGATGGAATGAGCTAAACTCACCCTCAGCACCCTCGATGACGGCCTTGAACTCTTTGCCTCGGTGGCTGAGCTCGCAGATGCCCATGCCAGTGTCGGCATAGTCGAGGAGACCCTGGGACGCCTCCTCAAGGACGTTGGAGGGAAGAGGAGAGGGGCCGGCGGCGAAGTTGTGTACGTCTTTCCTGTCGGGCATGGCGGCTGGGAACACGAAGATATAAATGCAGTTGCAGGAAGTGAGATCACCGAAATCGCGGAAAACGACTCCCATCGTAGCTGGGCGCTTACGTAATGGTTGGTATCTAGTTGGCTGCTGCTCTGCTGCTGCTGCTGATATCATTGTTCACTTGTCGAGCGGTGTCGACGCGAACTCGGCGTCGTCGCGTATCGAAGAGCCATTGAGTGCTACTACATCAAAAGGCAGAGCTCGCATCAGCACTGTGGAAGACGCGGAAGATCGACTCGTTTTAGCCTTTCATGCGGCCGTGCAGAAATGATGATAGAACCTATTTGAGGTTGTGCTGCGGCGACGATAACAAATGGCAGCACTTGATCTTTTGTTGCATCTTCAAATATTGAGAATGGTCCCTGTTCATCGGATGATCGGTGTTTAAAATAGTGGCCAAAAGATCTGGTACATCAGTGTTTAGCGTATCTTGCGCTCTCATGAGACCGTACCCCTGCTGTGCTGGTTCAGGTTATTGAAAGATGTGCTTTCTTTTCGTAGAAAACACTTTGGCCTGCGTTCGCTAAAGGGAAAAGAAGAAACGGGATCCTGCTTGGGTGGAGGCAGGTGCGTTACCTCTCATTGTAATTTGATGAATGATTTCCGAGCGAGCTCATGATTGTGGCAGAAAGGACACGCTCGCGCAACTCTTCGCTAGCTTATCGACGGAAGATGAAAATTCTCAAGGAATACTTGGCCGCTGCTATTGTCACTGGCGAGGAAGAAAATGGTGAGACCGCCCTGGTACCGAGCCAGATTCTTACTTTAGGTGGACGAGAATACTTATTTTTTAGGCTTGATTTAGTGGTCCACCTGTACTCGAGTACTGTACTCGTACATGAAGCACCAGGCTCAAAAAATTGAATGTCCTTGGCATTTTGCGCTTGCGTTGCCCGTGCGGGCCACTTGTATGCAAATCATATATCAGCTCTAGAGCTTGAGAATGACTGCATTGGCGAGGAGGGCGGGGGGTACTATGAGGGGATTGATACTGCTATCTTTACAAATTACAGTAGCGGCTGGTCGTTTGTTTGTGACAGGCAAGTTCCACAAGTCTATCTCCTCATGTTGACATGCCTTCGGCGATTGTTTTGGAAACAATGATGTAAGACTTCCTTTAATTATGTTCATGTCACATATGGCGCAGGGCTAAGGATACGCTGGAACTCTACACATAGCTTTGTCGTGAAAGCTGCTGTACTTGAAACCCGTCTTCTCGCAAAGTACTTTCTAGTGCTAGGATTAATTCGTTTCATTTGGCTTCTGGTGTTATGTTGGGTAAGTGTACATGTCCAAGACTACCTACCCGACGAGCTCGGTTTCTAAACAGCATTAGATCCAGCAGTCAGGTGAGCCCTACTGCCGTTCTCAAACACCACACCTCTCTCAGTGTCCCCGTCAGACAATGAATCGGCTTTGGAGTGACCTTTCCTGTCGTGGCTGTACTCATAAGGCTGGTCGTCCTATTCGTTGTGTCAGCTTAGCTCTTGGTAAGAGAGAGAGGAGGAGGAGACGAGAGGCGAGGTAAGGGGAGACTTACATGGACATAAGTCTGAACATCCACCTGAATGCCATCGGTCGGGTGGCGGGAGTTGACGTTACTCATACCAAAAACCTGCGGGGTCTACATCATTGTCATAAACGAAGTCTACATCCTCGAGAAAGGAAGAAGCTTACCTGCTGACTTCGAATGCTATTGTCAACAGTCGTAAAAGCGATACGAGAGTTGAGCGTGAACAGCAGACCGACAGTGTAGGCGGAAGATTGGAGAGATTGGAAGACAGCACCCAAGAGGGAGGAGGGTGTTTGGGCTTAAGAAAATCAGCAAGATGACCATAAAGACATTTCTAGGACGTACACCACTCGAGGACGTAAGCGAGAGCAAGGAATGTGGGTGGCAGTTGGGCTTCGAAAGTGAGTCGGACGAGGCGAGTGATGAGCTTATCCGTGTGGGTCCAGCTATCAACAAATCGTCAGCGATTCGTCTCTCTGGGAGTTGTCTGAAGGTAGGAGGAGAATGGTGATGTTGAGGAGGAAGACCTACCCCGTCTTCGATCGGAGTAAACCAGCGAGGATACACCCAGCGATGATAATATCCGCACCAGTGGTGACAGCAGTCCAGGCTAGAAGACAAGTAAGCGACCGAGGAATGGTGGCGGTGCCATGACTCACTGATCAAAGCAGGTCCGCTAGCCGAAGCACCGAAGAGAGTCTCTTGCTCGCCGAAGAGAATGGTGGTACCGATAGCGCCACCGGCCCTATGTCATTGTCAACTCCAGCCCATGGAAGTCAGCAGCAGCACGTTGACTCACGCAGTGGTGAGAAGAAGCTAAACTCTATATCAGCAAGCTGGACTATATGTTCAAGGAGGAGGCCTACAGCAAGAACAGCGAGCAAGATCTTGTTCCGGTTCATGAGCAAATAGGCGCGGTAGGCAAAGAAACTTTGAACGGGGATGACGGCGAGCGCTACGCATATGTATCAGTGCATTTTCTTCCGGTCTGAGAAAGGAATGCTTACCGTCGAAGACAGGCATTTTGGCAAGCCATCTAAGAAGCAGCATTTGGTCAAATGTGTTTATGAGGAAGGGTGAAACGGGGTGACGTACCGGACTTCGAGCCAGGGAAGCCAGAGGCCAAAGTTGTCTACAAACAAATAGCTTATGTACACCTGTGATTCGGTCAGAGACTGCGCTGAGTAGCAGGAAGGACGGGATTGTCAAGGTGCGGTAAGGGTGACTTACCCAGTAATAACAAGTGATCACTGTTGAAGTTCTGTCAGCGATGTGAAGATGAAAATGGAGAATGGTGGGAGCGCGTACCGAGTGTCCAAGACTGCACTCATCGTCAGCTTGAAGCTCCTGGACTGAGGGGGAGAAGGACTCACGCATGACCAGGCCACGATTACTTGTGTCAACTTGACGTCGTTTCGCTGATAGGTAAAGTAGGTAAAGATCTGCATGACGAGTACGCCGCTATGTGAGACATATCGTAGTCAGCGATGGACAAGGCGACGAAAGAGGAAGGACCGGGGGGGGATGATTGAAAGACAAAATACCCACGACAAGAACGTGACAATTACGATAGAGGCGAATTGGCATCCTGAATAGTACTGGTGAGTAGACGCCAAGCTTACTTGCTATGATTACCACGTACGCAAGATGAAGGACTACGGACAGTCAGTATAATCCCAACAGTGCATAATAATGGCACTCACAGAAATCTCTTCAAATGCCGCCGCGGCCATGGTCTCGTTGAAACCGCCAATCTCCCCGGTCGCCTTGCCCAACAATACGGTTGAGTCCATTGTGGAGATTATTTGACTGGGACGGTGTGGGGAGGGAGGGAGGGAGGGAGGGAGGGGGAGGGATGAAAAGGTCAGAGGCTGTGGCTGAAGAAGAGACAGAACGATGGCTGGGCTGGGCTGATATATACGTCGTTGCCGGTGTCTTGAGCGGCATGCAATGGCATTTCGCATGCTCCTGGAGGGGCCTGGCCTGAAACTAGGGCATGGACTAAAGATCGAGGGACTTGGTGGCGTGCGGCAAAAGGGGGTCCAACAGAGCGCACATAGCAACAAGAGACTGTCGTGATGATGCTAGCCACAGATCGCATCAAAACCGGATCACATCAACCCCTCTAGGAGGAAAAAAAAGCCGCCAATACGTAAGCCCATCCCCGAAAGAGTCACCCGGCGCCACCCCGCACAGTCGATCAACACAGGCACGCACGAGGATGGAGTGATGGTTGATGTGATCATTAAGTAAAACACGCCGTGCCCTGCCTTTGATCGTGTACCTCGTGATGTATTTCCGGCCACTCGGCACGGCTCGTCCCAGCGCTTTTTTGCTTGTCGCATGCCGTATCGGACTGTTAATGTACCACTTGCTGCGTCGCGAACACCAGACTACTCCCTGGCGGCCCTGGCGGCCGGCCAGGGGCATATTCTACATGTGGCGGCGTACTCAAGTATGGTCAGGAGACTTTCAATGAACTCTCTGCTATTTGCTGACTACATATGGTATAAAGAGACAGTGCGAAGATGGAAAAGGCACGGGACCGGGTTTGTACATATGTACAGACATCAATTATGCCTGCGAACCTGTCGTCAAAGCCCTGGCCTCTGTCGTTCGCACACCTTCTTCCGCGCTTCTGTAACAAGCCTCTAGGCAACCGGGGTGCCCCATAATGATATCTTGGAGGGGATTGCGTCAGCCTTATTCCAAGTTCCATGCACAACCATGCTTCCAGAAGAGGAGCGGAAGCTGATACTGTTGAGGGTGTACATAACAACATCCAAGCAGACAATTGACTCTAAGCGAGGCCACCAACGTTCCATTGAATATTTTCATCCCCGTGGTACCGGTGGTACCCCCTATCTTCTCTAACTGAGCGAGAGGAAGACACGCATGAGTTGAACCTTATTGTGCTTAGTTCCTCCTGAGAGCTGAGAGTGTCAATTGACACTTATTAACAGCAAAATCTGTCGCTCCGTTTTCATTGTCGATTGGGGTGTGTGCTCATTCCGTCGGTCACCTTTGGACCTGGCCTGAAACTTTGCTTATGTCCCTGTTCCGTTCCGGGGTTGCCTGCTGTGCTTGCTGGCTTGTTTGCCCATGCGCTGCTCCATATGCATCACCACATGGCACATGCGTACCGTACACGGGTCGTTTAATACGGTACTCGAGTACATGGCTCCTGGCTCGACACAAGCCCTTTGGGCAGGGGAAGGGCTTGTGTCGAGCCAGTACATGGCTCGTTTACCTGCTTCTTCGGAACAGGGGTATCCAGGGAGAACTCGGGGCATACCCCAGAATGCACGGCATGGTGCATGGTGCTTACATCCGCCCAAGCTAGTCCACCCTGCCCCATATACGATCAATGGAACGATAGCGGATGTACTGTAGAGTACTCGTACTCGTATGTTTAGGCTTGTTACTTGCCACGTCCAAATGAGTCTGCAAGCCGTACCTTCAGCGCTCAGTTGCTGCTGTTGCAGTTTAATGGGGATGGAGGGGTGCGGTGGCCGACCAAGACATCGTGAAAGCAGTCTGCTTTTGGCACAGCGTGCAAAGCAACAATGTACTTCAACGTTGCGTGAGCAACAGTCTCTATCACCAACGCCCTGTCCTGTTGTCCTGCTTGTGTTTAGAAAGATTCCTGTTGACAAATAACCCAGCGACAAGAGCTCTTGTACTCTCTTTGATTGTCTTGATACCCGAGAGAAAACCTCCGGTCCTCCGTCGTCGTGGGGAGCATGTGGCCCGTTGTGTTGCCTCCGCCTCCTCTTGGAAGAATCGGACTCGTCACTCGCCGATGGCCCCGCTGGCCTGGCTGCACACTATCTAGAGCTAGGCTAATAAACTTGACGACATCTGGAAATTCTGGATTCATCTCATGGCTAAACTGTCTCGTCGGATACCGTACCGTCCGAACCTCCTACCGCCATTGCTACTCCCAGCCCCTTCTTCTTTTGAGGTCAAACCGAGATCATGGACTAAGAGGAAGGGAAATCTGGAACAGTTCATTTTGTGGTCGCTTGACATTTTCGGATGACTATGGAGTCGAGACACAGGCATTTGGCCGGCACACTTATCTGCATATATTGCTATGATTGTCTGCTGAAAGTAGGTCATGAAAAGCCCAATTTCCGTTTGTTGCCACCACACTTTGTCACCACCACCGGCCACCGGACCACCTTGGGTCGGATCATAGCTTAGCTATGCAATCGGCAGCCTGTGAGGCCTGAGATTCTGCTTGTTCGGTCGATCAGCCTGCGCCACCACACCGAATTGTACTTTATCAGGCATGATATTACTGTTCGTTGTACTTCTACTCTGAGGTTAGCGGATGACAGACAGTCTTCTCTTTCTCCATGGAAGTTGTATACCGCAAGTATCTAGACCCCCGAGATTGATATACTTGTCTTGAATGAGCCGTCAAGACGTGCCTATACATGGTTGCGCTTTCTCATCAGAGTAAGTGACTCGTGAGTCGGCACATGTCATATGTAGCTGGCATCCTCCTTCTGACAAGACCTTGACCCATGATGACCTCACGCTGACGGCCAGCTAGTATTGTTATCAATATGTACCCAGAATTCCTTCAGCCCGTTCATGTATCTGCAGTATGGTACCGCACAGAGTAACATCATGCTGGAGAAGAACAAGATCGAGAGCGCTTTGGAAGAGGAGGCCTACGAAAGGGATCGGCCGAGGGAGTACTGGGAAGTCGACGTTAAGGGTTTTGAGGGAGACGACGACAGTGAAAAGTCCGGGGACGAGCAAGGCGATGTATCTCAGGAGGTGCACCCTGGGGATGAGGATCAGGAGGGGGAAGAAGAGGAGGAACAGGAAGATGCAGACGAAGGAGAAGCTGCTGAAACACTCGTGAAGGTGGAAGTCGAGGATACTCATGTTGCCGCCGTCAAACGAGAACACCCAGAAGACGAGGATGAGGGGGAACGGATAGATGTAAAGAGGGAGAGAAGAAATAGGGAGAGATTGCGTGGTTCTGTTGATGTGAAACAGGAGCATATAATGTGATGGGTGTCGTTGCCAAGATAAAGAGGACTGGTGCTGCAAACTAGATATGTATTCCCGATTCGTCTACAATCTACCTGATGGGGTAGGGTGCAAAAGAGTCTATTGGAATGGCAACATTGTGGATTAATGCAGTTGATTCATCAAGTCCGTCTGTCCTCTGGTCGCCGGTAGACGTACCTGGTGAATAGCAGCTATGCCCATTACATTGGGGCTAGTACGGCCTTAACAGCCAGAGCAGTATGTATAGCTTTCAGAGCCGGGATACTGTCAAGGCAAAGTGCTTGGTCGGTCGTGGTTGTCTCTTGAGGAGGCAGTAACGCACATTTTCTGCAAGTGACTGGAAACCCTTTCGATACTTTCTCAAGCTATGTATGCCAAGCCAGTCCGATCATAAGCTATCGCAAATATTACAAGTGAACCAAACATTGAATTGGCATGTGCCAACAAGTAAGGAACGCCACAACGATCCATCAAGAAGCATAAATGGTGGCTCGGGCTGCCGAAAAGGGCAACTTGGTCGCCTCCTGGTTGTTCCGTCGCCGAGTCGCCGTGCCGACTTTTCTCATGCACACCTCTACATCCTTCTTTCTTAGAAATGCGTCTCTATCTCCGATCTCTCTTCCCTATACACGAGCCATACTCGACAATCCACTACATAATAAACTACTGACGTACCCCCATTCATTCAATGCGACAGTGAGTAGCTACCCCGGATCTTCCCGAAATGGCTGCACTTGTGCTGACGACCCACTAGCATTTCACTGGCCATGTCGGACGAATACCTGTCTCTTCAACATATCCCCTCTTTCCCTCCCTCGTCCGGCACTACCAAGAGATCATCCATGTCCTTCTCAGCCCTCCTGCAAGGATGTCAAGATAACGAGCTCGATGTTCGTCTTTTCGAGAAGAACACTATCTCTGGCTTGGACCCCACTTCCGGCTTCTCCTCCATCTCCGTCCAGTCCGCAGGTCTATCCGGGGAAGCTGTGCCATGGAACCAGTATAACAGAGAGACCTGGGGGGATGATGCCGCGATGGCGGCTCTGGTACCCGGCATGTTCCGGCACGCAGCAGGAGGGTGGAAAAGGCTCGACGCCGACCCACATCTATCTGAATGGATAGCTGTCTCCGTCGATCCAATTTGGGCTCTCTTTTGTGCAGCTTGGAGGCTTGGACTTGGGCACCAACAGCAAGTGTTCATGTCGATCATCAGGATGCCCGGCGACCATGATCCTGAGAACCCTTTGATAGTGGTCAATCCGCTTCAGGAAGCAAAGAAAGCAGGGCTCGATACCACAAGAGCTGAACTTTTCTCACTGGATCCGAACAAACTTAGACTTGCCAAGAATTGTCTTGCAAAGTTTGGCACCGAGCTGGTCTACAGGCGTATTCCCATAGAATACATTGTAGAGACAGTGGAGCTTACGCACAATGTAAGTTCATTCGCCATGAATCATGCTGCATGCTGATTATAGTGCTAGTCAATTCCATGGGACGACATTCCCCTCGGCTGGTTTCGAGGTGGGGCCGACCCGTCTTCCCAATCTCACTATGGCTGGCTTTATTGTCTGTCTTTCGACCCTTTCTCCAAAGATACCCACTACGGTGATGCGCAGATCGCCATTTTGGATGAAAAGCGTTCGATTGAGAAGGCGAAAGAGGAGGAGGAATCACAGTGGGACAGCCAGAGGGAGTTCCAGGAGGTTGACACTGAGTCTTCTACAGGAGACGAAGACGGTGTGGATCTTGGGGAGCATGAAGATGCATTCCAGGAAGTAGGCCTTGACGGAGTCGTTGAGGAGGAAGAGGATGACGAAGGAGAGGGGGAAGCTTCAGAAGCGCTCGTAAAGACAGAAGACGGGAAGCCACATGTCGCCGTGAAGCACGAGCATCCAGAAGAAGAAGATGAGGATGGGGAGTCTAAGGGCGTAAAGAGGGAGAAATTTTTGAATTACTGATGTGAAACGAGAACATCGATTGTGATGGATGCATGTAGTGATCACAACCGACAGTACTAACGCCGCAGATCCGGAGCAACAAGAGGCAACATGTTTGTACTCACAGAATGTGTGCCATTCTCGTGATGGAGTGGGTGTGTGGTAATCCAGTTATTGATGTGGCCTCGTGGATTCTTGCAGTTGATTTAAACCCGTCTGGGTCCTAGTCGTCGGTCGTTGTTGAACAATAGCTATGTGCAATGTAATGGAAGTGGCTTAACGACCAGGGCAGCGTAGCATTCAAAGCCGGGATACTAGACTGTCGAGACGAAGATGGTCGCCCGGCGTGTGGTGCTGGAGGAGATACTATTGCACAACAGAGGTGTACAATACGAATACTCACTAATCAATGGAGTGAATAAGAAAATCATGCTTGTCGAGATATGCGTGCCATTCGGGGTTGGTCGACTCTTCTAGGCCAGTCTAGTATTACATCCATATATATATATATATATGCATCTCTAAGTATAGACTAATGCCTGCTATATTCCTTTTTCAGGGGGAGGATATCGGGTGTTCACAAAAGAGGCAGAAACCCATTTATATACCAGTGGCATTGTGGCGGTGTCCGGAGACAGAGCACAAGCTATGGCCAGATAAGCTGGGGTTGAGTCCGGAGCGTCTCGTATCTCTTGGTGGTCTGCGTGGGTGAGCCCAGCGAGCGGTGTGCGAGCTGTACGAGGAGTGGCCAAGGAAGTAGAAGGATAAGATAAGGATAGCCAGGAGGTTCTTCAATAGGTATAAAGAAGAGGAAGCTCCTGGGTCTCCGGCATGCATCAGTTTCTATGGACGCAAGCGGAGGAGAAGGTATCGCCGTAGCGCCGAGAGTGTGGCGTTGGTGGATGCTATGTGGCGGTCACGCTACATCACCCCCTCCCCGGGAGAAATACTCGTCCCGAGGCGTCAATAGAACAAAGAAAGCAGACCAAGCAGAGACCAAGAGACCAAAAGAAAATCGGAAAACCAACACAGCGGACCTAAACGAGAACACAAAAGAGAACTAAAAACAGAGACGAGAACGGAACGAGGGAGGTCGCGGGGACCTGGGAGGGAGATGCAAGGCATCTGAGAAGGGAGACTCTAGGCGTCTAATGTGGGAGATGCGGAGCATCTTGTCAAGTGCGGCGGCGGTTGGGGTGGGGTCGACCACCTCGGATGTGGCGGGCGCCTAGGGGTCGACCAGGTCCAAAAACGATGGATGTGGAGTCTAGGTGGTTTGGGTGGGCGCCGTTCGAAGAGGGACCGCAGGTAGTGTGACGGAGGGCGGCGAGGGCTTCGGTGGCTGCGAACGACCAAGTGGGGGGCGGGTGATGCCCGAAGTGGAGCATCCTGAGGACGAAGAGGTGTGGAAAGACGTGAAGAGGGAAAAACTTCAGGATTCTGTTGATGTAATAAAACAGGAGAAGGATTTGCGACAAATCGCGGGGCAAGTTTGAGGAAGACTGGCGGAGTCTGCTTGGAAATTGCAGAGTGTTGGTCTTTATATCGTACTTATGTATGTTGTTGGGTTGAATTGGGAACATATCAATAGTGGCTATAGCTTTGTTCCCGACGTTGTTGTTTGACCCCGCGTACTCGCTCGATCACAGGCGAAAGCCCAATTGACGCCTCACGTCAGCCAGAGGCGGATGGCCGAGAGCCACTTAGGGGGGCCGCAGATAAGTTTCAGAGGCCCCGTCAGAGGGATGCGAGGGAGTCGAAGGGGAAGGGTCAATGCATAGGTATGCGCATGCGCATGGTGAGAGATGCCAGAGTCTCATGCAGGGTCAGTGGTGGACATGTTGAAAACGAACAATGAACGTCTACATCATCCTACAAAAGCCAGAGAGATCCGGGGAAGTGGTTCCGTCATGCGCGCCGATGAACGCGTGCACGCAGATGCCAGCGAAATACGTCTCAACTCTGAACTTCAAAATTTCAACAAGGCGAATGCTGTCTCGATGCAGCCTGCCACCCCGACATCGACCCTCCGGCCGACCTATGCTGCTCGCATCCCCTCCAGCCGACCCCCATCACCACGCCGGGCCGCGATCAATGCCCGTATACCGCCAAACTCCTTCCTCCGGCTTTTCGTGGGTGCTCTGGCAATAGCGGCAAGCAGGTCATGGGTACTGGGACATTCTGAGGAGGGTAGTGGAGGTGCAGGGTGGCTAGTACTGACGTACTGGGCATTCCGGGTCTTTGATGAGGCCCGGCTGATATGGAGTGGGCCGAGACGGAGAGGGTCAACTAGCCTTGGACAAGAGCGTTGGCAAAACATGCTGGCAAAGAGTGGGACCTTGGCAATCCAGTCATTGTCGTTCTTTGTGGCTCTGGAAAGACTGGGACCCTTTCAGATCGCGATAATAGGATACACCGCGAGTGTTCTGGGGAGCGCCAAGCCGTCGAATATACGGTCTGTGAGTGGAGACGGAACTTTCTTTACTCTCTCTAATGCCACCCTAGGCTGCAACTATGGCTCCGATAACCATCGCCTCAATATATGTTCTGGTACAAGTCTACTTGGCCCATGACCACGTCCCAATACTCATTACATTTGTCTACGCCCTCTCGACGCTTGTCATTGAAGCTGGGTTGCTCCGATCTGTGAGACCAGTCCAGTATCAAGACAAGGATGCTCAAAAGACACATGTGGCGTTACGGCGAACTATCGCTTCTGCTGGTATCGCCGTTGCTGTAATTTTTGGGCTCTTCTTGACTGTGAGTCTTTCGTCCTTCCAACAATTCACCTGCTGATCTTTCCTTTAGGGTACCCTTCCACTACCGATACCCCTCTCATCCACAACATCTCAACTAGTAGGATCATTCTTCGCCGCTTTCCTTGTCCCCTACATCCCCTTCTCCTTCAGCGCCAGCTCTCCATCTCCATCATCCATCCATCTCAAATCCTCCCGCGACAAAAGCATCTTTCTCGCTATCCTTCCCCTCCTCCAATTCTTCGCGCTCCACCCGATGCCTACGGCAATCGATGTTTTGGCGTTGTTACCTCTGGCAGTAATCAGTGTATGGAGTGTGGGCACACCAAAGGCTCAGTCAGAGGGGACATGGTCGTTCCCAAATCAAGCCCTCTCCACCGCTCGAACGAAATACTCCTTCCTCTCCATCCTCCCTCCCAAATGGCGACCCCATTTCCAAACAATCATGTCTTCCCCGACATCCTCCAAGATATTCTACTTTCTCTTGTTGAACCTGGCGTATATGGGTGTACAGATGGTTTATGGAGTGTTCACGAATTCTTTGGGATTGATCTCGGATGGTCAGCTCTCTTTGCCTTCTGCAACATTTCCAGCTGATGTCGGATGTAGCTATCCACATGTTATTCGACTGCCTTGGTATCGCCGTCGGTCTTTGGGCTTCAGTGGCGGCGACTTGGAAACCCGACGGCCGGTACACGTTTGGCTATACCCGTGTTGAGACGTTGAGCGGGTTTGCGAACGGGTGCTTCCTGATTCTCATTTCTGTGTTTATCATGTTTGAGGCTATTCAGCGAGTGTAAGTTTTCTTCTTGCGCTTACAGTAAGGCAAATGCTGATGAGAAATGAAGGTATGACCCGCCCGAAATGGAGACGCAGCAGCTGTTGTTGGTATCTGGTATAGGACTGGCAATCAACTTGTTTGGTATGTGGGCGACTGGAGGACATCATCATCATGGACACGGCCACGATCATGGGCACGCTCATAGTCATTCCACCCATGATCATTCCCACCACTTGCAAGATCACAGTCACGATCATTCACATGCTGTAAGTGCTAACACCATCAGTGGTAAAAAAAATTGCTCATACATCTTCTAGTCGTCTCAGGTGGCAGCCCCGCCAAGGTTGCAGAAACGGAAATCCTCCGGTGTGCTGAGTTCGGGGGCTGTGACGCCTATCAGCAGTGGACGTGCTACGCCTGCGAATCATGAAGAAGGCCATGTGCATGGAGGCGGACATCATGAGCACGAGGAGTCTAATGGACATCAGCACCACGCTGTGAGTATATTCCATCCAGTTTGAGCGAAGCTGACTCTTTCAAAGCATAAGCACGACGATCATACACATACCCACACCCCGCCGCCAAAAGCTCACTCTCACTCCCACGACTGTGACCGTGACCGCAGTCACTCGTATGCGCACGCACACGATGACCATGACCACTCGCACAATCACGACGACCACCACGACCATGCGCACTCTCACAACATGCGCGGCGTCTTCCTGCACGTTCTTGCCGATACCCTCGGCTCCGTTGGCGTCATCGTCTCCACGATCCTTATTCGGTTCACGGGCTGGACAGGGTTTGATCCTATTGCGTCGTTGTTCATAGCGGCGCTGATTATGGCGAGTGTGATACCGTTGGTGATTGATACGGGGAGAGTGCTGTGTTTGGATAGTGGGGAAGTGACGGAAGGCGAGGTCAGGAAGGCGTTGGCTGAGGTGAGTCTTCCCGTAAGACGTCAAGAGGCGCAGCTGACCGGGTACAGTTGTCAAACATAGATGGTCTAGCCAATTATGCTGCCCCCAGGTTCTGGCCCCGGTGCGAGGGCGAAATCGTAGGCTCAATCCACATTCAACTCGCCCCCGCCCCTTCATCCTTCGACCCCGGGCGGCACGGCACCCCTCCCAACCATTCCCACTCCCACTCGCACGCCCATGGGAAGAATGGCGAAGTGATCTACAGTAATGTGGCTAGGGTGGTAGCGAGGGTGGAGAAGGTGTTGAAAAAGAGGATAAGAGGGTTGAGCGAGCTGGTGGTGCAGGTTGAAGGGGGGAGCGAGAAGAGTTTTTGTACGTGTATGACGGGGGGAGGAAAGTGAGGTCTGTGTGTAAAAGAGTCTATTGAAGGCTTTGAGGTTTATTGGCATGTCCATGTTTATGCATCATTCCATTATGGCATTGGGGTTTCATGGTGACCAAGAACAGAATGAAGGCCGAGGGTGAAGGTAGTTTATGTGCATTCAGGTCATGGGACACTTACTCTGCTTGCGGACATCGACGGCCATAGCCTCCTCAAAGTACCGCGTCCCGTCTGATCCGCGAAGTCAACTAGGAGAGCGCTCGGTTAGTACCAGGGTGGGGGACCACCTGGGAATCCCGGGTGCCGTCGTTCTTGTTCTTTTGCTTTTTGCTCCCTTCTTGGTGTGTCTCTTGGGGATTGCAACTTGTTCAGTGGATTCCACTTCTTGTTACTGACCAGAAAGTGTTATTACAATGCATGTCATGCGTCGTCATTATACAGAGGTACCAGATGCAATCTACTAAACGATGGATACAACACCTCACCCCCTCATACTCTCCAGCTTTCGCGAAAACTTGTCCTTACAATGCAAATGCGTCACCTCACCCCTAGGAGCATGCACAGCCACAGCAGCCACACCTAACCGCTTCATACAGCCCGGACACACTCTCTGCTCCCCTACCCTCACCCTCTTACCCTCAACAGCCATCAAAGCTAGGTCGATCTGCTCTTTACGGCCCTCAGAGAGATGGGCATGCACTTTCCCGGAATATGAGTTCGAATGGGTGGAGCGGAGCGTTTGGAGGAGATATGTCTGGACGTCGCTCATTGGGGTGAGAGGTGGTAGAAGATGGAGAGACGAGCTCATGGGTAGAGAGGATGGATGGGCGGCGAGCAGTGCTAGGGCAGGCTTGTGCAGCTGCTCGGATGAATATGAAGGTGCAGGGCGGAGGTAGAGTTGGAGGAGGATCGCGAAGATGTTGGTCTTGTTCTTTTCGTTTTTGATACAATAACTAAAACGACATTAGCCCGAGCTCCAGCATTGGCAGGAAGAACGTGCGCCTCGGCTTGGGTATAGTCTCGTAGTTGATAAACGTAGACTTTCAGGGCATCTTCATGCCTGCCCATCCTGCCCAACAAGATCGCGCGCGCTTCAGGCATTTCTATCCATTACATATCAGCAAGCCGCCTCGATCGATGACTCAGAAACGCACCATCCTTCTTCAACCTGCTCAACATCTTCCCCGCCCTATAGCCTTCCGACGTCTCCAAAAAGCTCAAAAGTTTTGCAAACATCTCTCCCTTCTCAAGACGGGCACCATCGAGGTAAAGTTCTGCCAGCTTTTCATGCGCCCACCCTTCCTTCTCTCCCATATCCACAATAAGCCACTCAAGATAGCTTACACAAGCTTCCTTCTTCTTGCCCTTTTTGGACGGTTGTACCCCTTCGAGAAAGTCGACCACTTCTTTCCGGGGAAGTTCGCTGGTGGGCGGTTCGTCCCCTTTGAAGATCTCGAGGCCACAAGCGACGTCTTCTTCGAGGATCCATTTGGAGAATTCGAAGCGGAGTTGGAGGAGCTCGGGCGGGGATGATGGGAGTTTTTGGAGGTAGCTGATTGTTGGGGGGTATCGATCGAGTGGGTCGTCCTCTTCTTTCGCCAGGCTAAAAATCATCAGCAGGTACTTACGTTCAGAAAACTTGAGTGGCTTACTCGTGTACCATCTCTAACGCCTTGCGATGCATCTTCTTTCCCTGATACAGGTCGATCAAATCCCCGAACTTCTCTTTCTCCTTCAACAGCCCTTCAACTTCTTCCACATCGCACCAATTCTCAATCCTGCACAGACTGCCTACGAGGGTAGGTCTGGAGAGCAGATACACTTTGACAAGACCGGTGTATACGATCTGCGCCATGCGCAAAAGCTCTTCGGGAGATATTTGGGAGAATGGAAGTGATGGTAGGGCAAAAAGCTCTGCTGGCGATAAAGCAGAAAGCGGCGGCAGAGGCGGCGAAGAAGGGAAAGCCGTCGAAGACGAGGAGGACGAAAATGAAGCAATAGGCTGCGCCAATTTCTGCCGCCGGTCTGACAGGAAAAACATTAAAGCTTCCAATGCTGCTCTCGGCAGCTCGCCTTCAGGTGCCAAATCGGCAGCGGCAGGCGACTTCAGATGGGTGGAAGATGATTCGATGCTGGCTGTTTCTTTGGAGAGTGTTTCGTGGCTTGGAGTACGTTGTAGACCGTGTTTGACCGTCTCAAGCAGGCCTTTCACGCCTCCTTCCCCGGGGTGATCTTCTTTGTCTTCTCCATGAGCACCCTCTTCGAGTCTACCTCCTTCCCCGCCAAACAGGTCCATCCACCCTTCACGTCCTACCCCCAGCTTTCCCGCGATGCTCCCCTTTGGATAGAGCGCTAGTACTTTGACCGGATTGACATTGTGTCGCGCAAATGATTCGAGTGCTGTTTGGTACTGGCCCTGCGCAAACAATTGGAGGGATTGTAGGATCTGGAGAGTCTGTAAAGTATAGGGCTTTGGGGAAGTTGTAGAAGAGGGCGTTGGTGGGGCAGTAGTGGCAGGCGAGGTCAAGCGGGGAAGAGTCGAAGTTGACTCTAGGAAAGCAATAGCATCGCCGACTCTTCCTTTCCGAACCAAGCCGTCGACAAGTACGTCCCCGGGTGGAGAGGATAGGACGTAGACGGAAGATCCTTGGGCAAGAAGGGACTTGTCTGTCGGCGTCGTCGTGACGAGCAACTTTGGGCTTGTACCGGTTGGAAATGTCGATAAAGTAGCAGTCGGCCCCAAAGCTAGCGAGCCCACTGAGGGCGCAGGTATGGGTAGAGAAGTGAACTCTCGTAGCATAGGTGCCAGATGTATTTGGACTGTCCCTCCGATACCTTCTGTCTGCCCTTGCGCATGCGAAGCTGGGGGCGCTGGTACGACAGAGTAAATGAATGGGTTGCTATACGCCAGTCCATCAGGGGGAGCAGGCCATCGGAGAGAGGTAGAGCGGGTATAGGATCCTTCGGAAGAGTAGAATACGCCGGTATCTGAAGAATGTCAGCTAGGACATGGTGAATGAGTAGACGGCGCACCTTCTCGTGCGAGGAGCACTTCGCCTGTCACTGTCCCAACACCTAGAGGCCCATTATTCTTCCCTCCAATGCCAACATATCCACCAAAGTTGGTGAACCGCCCCATACCCATCCCCAGACCACTACCTGCCCCTTCTTCCTTCTGACCTGCGTCTGGAATGTCGCTCTGTGGGTACTTGTCGGTCGTCACATCGGTCATCGTCAAATGCGACGATGGCGATTCCGCGTTCAGATGTAAAAGTGCTGAAGTGGTTGAAGTGAAGCACAGGTGTATAGGTGTGGGTAGTGAGGCAGAAGACGGCGAGGGAGGAAAGACGATATGCCGAGGAGAGTGCGGTATTGACAGCTCCCATCCCTCATTCAGCCCCCTCTCCCCCGCTCCAAACACCACCACCTTCTTCCTGCATCCTACCACCAGCAAGTCCCTCTGCTCCTGCGGCGGCTCGTCTTTCCGGCGCTTCGGTGTGTAGGTGGTTATGGAGAAGGCGTGGACGGTGCGCGCTTGGGACAATGTGGGCGCCGATTTGGTCAAGTCCGGCAGAGAGTAGAGGGTGACGACAGTATCAGAGAGAACAGCGAGGAGGTTGGAAGTGGGCAAGACGCCTAGTTGGTCGATCTGCCGCTTGCCAGGCTGGATAGTCTTGAGCAGCTCGGCGCCGTCCCCGTCGTAAGCGTAGACCTGCAGCTGGCCGTTGGCGAGGCCGAGGTATAGTCTGTCGGCATGGTGGTGGATGGCGGTGATGCGGTGTTTGAGGGCGGTGAGGACGGGGAGGGGGGCGAGGGAGAAGGACATGGGGATGGGGTGGAGAGGTGGACGAGAGATGGACGCGGTTCAATCTTGCTCTTGCATCTGCATCGTCTTGACACGCTTCATCGCTGCCCAGCCCGCCAGCCCCATCTCGTCTGCACCCACGAGCAGCCCACCACCCCGTCCACACCTCTGCCAGCATCGTTTGCTGCTTGTTCAAGAGACGTCTGCTGCGCATCGCCTCGAGCCGTAAAATCGTGAGTCTTCGCTGTTCAGAGCTCATCTTTCTACTGTACTCGAGCTTGGCTTACCCCTACTGTTTACAGCCCAATCCCCCACCCCCACACCCTAAACAACAACCACCCCACCATGATCTCTGACGGCGCTCTGACAGACATTGCGAACGGCCTCGGTATCGCAGCCATGGCTTTCATCGTCTTCTACCACTTTATTTCTGTCAACGGGAAGAGGATGGAGCAGTAGAGAGTCAGTACGATGGGTCAGGAGAGCAGGCAGGAAGAGAAAGAAGAGCGGAAGGGAAAAAGAAGGTCATTGTCAAAGATGGCACCTAGAGGATCTTGTTGTACCATATATGCATGGAAAATGCTGCCCCAAGCAGCCCCTCCGTGCCCCTCTGCTCCTCTGCTCCTGCACCTCCCGTGAGCCAGGAGGATGATACCCACTGGCAGCCGACCAGCCGTACAGACCACCTGGCGGGCTGCCGACGTGTCACTTGTCACTTTCGTCATTCGCACTTCCCATCTCTCATCCTTCTCATTGCATGCTCCGCTCCTTATCCCGCCTCGCCTCCCGCTCTCACACCCCTCTATCAAGAACATCTAGAATGGCACCGATCGTCACTCTGAAAAAGCTGCCCACACTGCAGGCTCAATATGATGCTGGGGACCTCCCTGCCCTTCCCGAAGAAGGCGTTCCAAAGTATCCATTTGACAAGAAATTGAATGAGCGTGTCACCATCTGGCGAGGGGATATCACCGTCCTGGAGGTAAGCCTTCGCCCCACTCTCAATTTCCGACTGCTGACTTTGAACTTCTAGAGCGATATGATTGTGAACGCTGCCAACGGCTCCCTTCTCGGCGGCGGTGGCGTAGACGGCGCTATCCACAGTGCTGCCGGCCATAAGCTGCTGGACGAGTGCCGAACCCTCAACGGCGCAGAAACAGGCGAGACAAAGTTTACCAGTGCTTATGATGTACGCCCCTCTCCTTTCAATCTTTCTATGTGATTTAGCACAGATTGATCTCGTGTGATATAGCTGCCGAGCAAGAAGATTGCCCACACTGTCGGGCCAATCTATTCGAGTGCTGAGAGATCCGCGCCTCTGTTGGCTTCGTGCTACAGATCGTCGTTGGAGGGGTGTAGGCAGTATGGAGGAGGGTCTATTGGGTTTAGCAGTATCTCGACAGGTGTTTGTAAGTTTGCTATCGATCCCGCCTTGTTCTGTTGGCGTGGGGGGTGTAGATGGCATGGTGCTGATATAGAGAGTAGATGGATACCCGGTCAAAGACGCCACCCACATAGCACTGGAGACGACCCGCAAGTTCTTGGAACAGGACGATACAGTAAGTACCGTTCGCCCTCTTCTCCATCGTCCCTCGTTCTCTTCCTGTCCTATTCTCCTATGTTTCTATAGTCCTATGCTTATGGCAAGATATGTGACAAGATGCTAACCACAGACAGGTCACGAACGTCATCTACGTCGTCTTTTCCAAACGCGACGAATCCGTTTACCACGAGCTCGTTCCCATCTATTTCCCCGGCTCTGACTCTACCTCTTCTTCATCCACCGAACACACCAAAGCTGCTGGAGCTGCCGAATCCACCACACCTGCATCTACCTCCCCTAAAAAGCTTACTAGCGAGGTCAAAGAAGCCAGCGCCGAACCGACTTCTTCCAACGCCCCAGTGGCGGCCGCAACAGCAGATCTGGCTGCTGGTATCGTCTCTGCCATCGCTGGCGCTACTGCCGGTATTGCCCCTGGCGAGAGCTCTTCGGAGGGCGCTGAGGCTGCTGAAGTTGCGAAAGAGCCTCTGGAAGAAGGTTGGCAGGAGGTGGACGTTGCGGAAGCTAAAGATGCGCCGGTCACTGAAGATGTTGGAGGGGATGTTTCGGGGCCTAAATATGCTCCGGCAGCTGATGAAGGTGCTAGAGAGGTCAAGCCGGAGAAGGTCAAGTCTGATTAGACCTCGGGCAAAAGAAGGAGAAGCGATTGAGGATTAATGTCTCATGTTGATACGAGTTGTATCGTCCCGTAGCAGTTCGCGCTCATGTTGGTGTTTTCGATAGATTTCACAAGGCAACAAAGAGTTATGTACAGTATAAAGACATGATATATGTATTTACAACAACACCAAAGCAAGGAACAGACATGTGTATTGTGCGAGTACAATATGTAAAGAGCTCGAGCACAGCACGATATAGCAGTTGCAGTACCAGCCCCTTCGCGCCCAGTCTACGTCCCTCCTCCAGCAGCTCTCAATCCCCTCCCCAACACCCACCTCAACACCCACCCCCCAGGCAACCTCCTACACAAATCTTCCAACACCGGCTTCAATCCCGCATTCAGCCTCTTTCTCGGATGGACGTCAGTGAGGGCGTGGGAGAGAGCCATGTGCAGTAGGGGCGGGTCGGTGAGGAAAAGGGTGTTTATGAGTGGTTGAGGAGGTTGATGGGGGGTGATGGGGTTGAGAGTTATGAGGCGGTTTGCGGAGCTTGGGGGGTGGGAGGGGTTTTGGGGAGGGAGGGCTTTAGGTGGAGAGGATATGGGGGAGGTGAGGAGTGCGGTCTTTGACAACGGCCCTGCAAAACGTCAAACCCTTGCTGGGAAGGAAGCGAAAGCTCATACTTACCGACCATCACTTCACAGACCTTGACACCAGCCCGCCCCAGCTCATTCCTCAACGACCCCGCCATCTCTTCCCTAACACTCTCCATGAACAGTTCCGTCTTGGTTCCGCAACGCGAGTTTGGCCATTCCGCGGAAGCTGTCGCAGAGGCAGTGTTGAGGAGGACTATACGTCCGCCGCCTTGATGAAAAAGAGTGTCTTGAAGTTCCCGGATGACAGAGAGGGGATCCAGGACGTTTAGTCTGTATGCCCGCAAGAGGTCTTTCTCTGTTGCGTCTAGCAATCCCGTTCCGTCTCCCGGGGCCCACCTCACTCTCTTCTCGGTGATGTACCCATTCACCTTCTCTTTTCCTTTGCCATTTCCATTCACCAAGCAGGGCACTTTCGGCACGTCTGAAGGCGGGCGATTGGAAAAGTTGGGGCAGATGATGGCGGAAAGAACGAGCTTGTTCTCGTGACAGTACGCGCGCACAGTGTCGCAACCATGCGCAAACCTGCCCCCTTCTTTGTCTTTCCCTTTCCCCTTCCCAATTTTCCCATCCTGCCCTCCAAGCTCCCCGAGATACACATCGCCATTCAAAGCCGCTCCATCAGGGTCCACAATCACAGGCACAACAGCCCCGGAATGATTCGCATGCTGCGCCCTCAATCGTTTCTGCAGGACGGACCATTTTTGGAGCAGGTCTGGTAGCGGGGAGGAAGAGGAGGAGGAGGGGGTGATGGAGATGAAGGGGAAGAGGGTGTAGCCTTGCTTGGCGAGTTGGAGGGTGAGGGCTTGGGGAATGACTTGGCCTTTTTGTCAGCCGCGTGGCGGAATGGGACCGAGGGGGACACGGTTACCTTCATTGCAGCCCAGAATGACTAAAGCTTTACTCCTTCCTAGTTCCCATGACTCGCCGCGGCTAAGGGGCTCCTTGGAAGTTCCAATACCATCAGAAGCCCCGACCGTAACCAACGCCCCGCCCCAAAGATCCCCAATCGCCGACGCCGCGGCTTCGTAGGACAATGCTAGGAGGGCGCTCACGTCTTTGGTGAGCGCTACGAGCGACTCTGATGTGATGTCTTGTCGCCTGGACATTTTTGAAGCCATGAGATGGAAAAGAAGGAGAGGAAAGCGGAAGGTGTCAGAGGAGATGGGCGGTGGTGGATGGGAAAGGTGGAGGCAAGGGTGGAGGTGATCGGAAATCAGTGAGTAACCGACAATCAGTCACCGTCTTGTTTGGTCCCGCAACTGTCAGTCCGCCGGGTATATATCCTAGGTCAGGGGAAGCGGATGGGTCTTGGAATCATTGCCGAATAGCATGAGAGGACAGCTGTGCTGGATCTGTAGCTCTGTATGGTTTCACTGGATTTGCACGCACAGAAGTCGGAACGTGATCATCTACTCATCGACCAGTACCACCGGCTGCTTAAAGTTGACAGGACTGACAATAACGTGTTCCGACAACTGCTTCCACTCGAGGGTGTCTGTTACTGTACACCATTAGTCTTTGATGGTCTCTGATGCATACTATTCTCCCGACGTACAGTCAATCAGTCGCCGTGGTGGGATACACTACACCCTAGCGGTTGTGCGCAGATAATGCACTTTCTAGGATCGATTACTGGCGATCATCGGTCATCGAATTACTGCTCCTTGAAGGTAGCCTTCGTTCCTCGCAGAAGAGAGGTTTGACCCAGCAGCACGTCTGCAAGCAGTAGCCTATGCTCCATCTGCCTCTACTATCGTTTTGCATCTATGTATACCAACAACACAGCTCGCCAGTTGTATAGTCTGCATGTTCAGCTATACTCGTCCGCTCCCGCGATGTCTCTACACAGGTTGCGCTCGTGCTGTAGTCTAGAATCTGTCTATATAGTCGAGCCTGCGAGCCTAATAACGCGTCGCGTTCGCGTCGGACGCGTTTACAATTTCTTTTCATCTTTCCATATCTCTTTTCATCGTTCTCAAACATCCACTTTTACGCTCAAAAGAATCCCAACCATGACACTCCCTACAACACCAACATCGTCTGATCCTATCCTCGCCTTCGATACCCACGTAACCGTCGGCATCCTACACGCCCTCCCACTGTCGGATCTCCTATCGGCTTGTCTCATCAACAAGAGCTGGAATGCTCTCATCAAAGCGAACTCGGAGTCTATCTACCGTTCTTTGGCCCACAACATTGGTATTGACGCCAGGGATGTTGATATCCTGGAAGGCTACCACCAGTACGCGTCTTCCCACAAGGAAGGAGACGAGGAGGGCGCGTGGAATAGAGAAGTCTTTGACGTCTGTGGCATCAAACCCCCCTCCGAAGACGCTAGGAAGGAAATATCCTGGGAAAGGGCTTGTCAGACGTATCTGAGACGAAAGAGGAATTGGGTTTCTGGCCGAGGGACGGTGGGATACATTGGTGTGCCCGACAATGATGTCGCGAGCGTCGCGGTGGACGAGGCGCAACAGGTGCTCTACGTCGGTACTTGGAACGGTGAATTTTTCGCTTGATACTGTGGGTACTCTACTGATACGCAGTAGATACTGTACTCGGCGTCGATCCCGCCAAGCCCAATGAACTCTTCTCCGAGATGGAATTCGACGACAATGGCGCCGTCCAAGAACTCTTCTGGCAGAACGACCATCTCATCATTTCCGGCTCTGAAGCCGTACACACCTGGGTTCCCGACTCTAACTCCCGAGGATTCTTGGTCCCCTCCGAGACGATAGAGTACAAGAATGGAGATGGAAAGAGGACGCATGTGGGAGAGCGGAATGGAAAGCCAGTTGTGGTCACTGTGAAGGAACCTCATATCCTGCTTGTGCAGGATGTGGTTGGCGGCAAGGAGCGTAAGCTTTTGCTCAATAACCTGCCTGCGAAGAAACTGACTTGGCCGAAAAGCAAGGTATGTCTCCATACGATCCATTTCATGGGCTAGTACTAACGCGTCGTGTCAGGTCATCGTCAAAGACGACTACATCTTCCTCATCTCTGGCGGTCTTCACATCTACCCCGTCTCCTCTCCCGCAACCCTCCTCGCCTCTCTTCCCAAGATCGACATGCTCCCCTTCCCCAACGCCGTTGTGCCCAAGCACGTGTATAGTCTGGGCATGAACCACGAGGGAGTGAAGCCGCCGGTAGCTGAGGATGGTGAGGCGTTGGTGCACAAGCTGGAGATGGTGGTGGAGAAGAGTGAGGATGTTGGGATGGATGCAATGTTCAACTTTGTTTCAGAGTGAGTTCCTTTGTCTACCGTATCTCTTACATTCTCTGATAAGCATACAGCGTCCATGTTACTGCGACAGACCTTTTTGTTGTTGGTACGACCGGGACCGTCTACGTTCTGCGTTCCTACAAAGACGTTCTGTCTATCGCAGACCCAAAGAAGAGGAAGGCCGCCCTCAACGAGCAAGTCATCGCGCTCAAATTCAAGGGTGGGCTGAACTCTATCGCTGTGCATGGCGAGAACGTCGCCATATTCTGCGTACGTCCATCTCCTCTCTCTCTCTCCTCCTCCAAGCTGACTTGTAGCAGGTAGCCGGCATCTACCTCCTCCACACCTCCTCCCTCCCCTCATCCTCCAACACCCAAACCACCATCCCCCTTCACCTGCTGCTTGACGCCCCATCCGCTCTCCTCCCCCAACTTGAAGAATCCATATACCTCGTCCTCACCCGCTCGCGCCTGTATGTCGTCTGGTCAGCTTCGATCGAGTTTGATGAAGGCGAGATTGTGGATGGGAAGGGCGTGGGGAGGTGTGTGGATGAAGAGCTTTGTGAAGGGGATGGATATTGCTTGAAAGTATGGGATTTTGAAGGGGAGGATGATGGGGTGGTGGTTTGATCTGGGACTTTTGAGGATGTTGTTTTACCTTTGGACATTTGGGTTTATGCATTTTGTATAAGCAACTTGGCACGCGTCCTTTTGACAACTGATAGCCCCTCCCCAACGTTCGGCCTCACCTGGGAATCGCCCGCTCGCAGATCACTCCTCCCATCCAAAATCCCAAGCCTTCACACACATCCCCAAGTCGCTTGCCGTGAGATGCGCGCCGGAAATATCAATCTCGTCTCCCCCATTCCTTACACGTTCCTGCGCCCAATAGACGAGATAGATGGTAGTATCGTCCATCTGGAGCGAGGAGGAATGGCGGAGGCCGTGTTGGTGGACGTCGAGCAGGGATAAGAGGCGAATTTGGGGGCAGGGTGCAGAGGGCGTGGACGGAGTGGGCGGGTCGTAGGGCGGGGCGGGCAGAGATGCAGCGTCGAGCACGTAGACTTTTCCATTCTAAGCTCGCATTAGCCGATGACGATCTACTCTTTCAAGACGACTGACAGTGTTGAAGACTACCTTCTCCCCGCAAGTCGCCAACTGGTTCAGCATTTGCTCCTCCCCGCGCTCTCCAGTTTCAAGATCACCCCCAACATCGAGAAGCAGTAGGTGTCTCGTGATCGCCTCTTGCCTTTTCGCAGGATCAGGAATAGATAGCACTTCTCGATAAGAACGGAGGACGTAGAGAATGCCGGAAATGTTCGAGCAGAAAAGGTCTCGAGAGGTATAGTGGCAACTGTGAAATGTCAGGCAGAAACAGGTAACAGAAGCGATACACTCTCACGCGTTGAACAGTGGATCATTATCGAACAGTGAAGCTTGTCTTTGTATCCGATTGTTCTCAGAATCAGAATCCCCGATCCACCAGCCGTCGAGCCAGACCAATTCTGCCCTCGCTGGCTTCTCAACCGGTCCACTGGGCGTTCGGACGGGCAAGGCGGTCTTTTCTTCATTTGGGAAGAGACTATAGAATACGTGGAGAGGTTGCTCAAAGGACATCTCGGGGAAAGTCGAAAGAGCTTTGTGGGTGTGGCGAGAGAAGGTGCGCATGTCATGGTCGCCGCAGACGAATAGGAAATCGTCGTCGAATTCAATGTACTAGCCTTGGGTCAGGTTCGTACTATACAGCCTCGGTGGCACTCACATTGACGTCCTGGTTCATAATGTCACCAGCAAACGAGTAGCTCTCGACATAGCCGTCATTGGCCAAGCCATAGATGTACGCATGCGTGGCCCCGGCGAAACCGACGACGGGGCGTTCTTTGTCCGTACCCTCTCGATCTGTTCGAGCCCGGAATGCGAAACAGTCGGTGGGGGTGCTGATGGACCGGTAGTATGTCAAATGCCCCCTCAGCGTCTCCCCATCTTGTAATTGCCAAGGCCGCTTTTTGGTATGCGACCACCCATCTCCATAAGTCGCAGACTCTTCCACATTCGGGATTCTTCCTTTCTTCTCTGGAGATAGTCTCGCCAATGCTGGCGGAGTGAGGTGAACTTCATAGTGGTTCTCGATGTTGAAGATCAAGTAACCTTTGGTGAATTCGAGGTGGCCGTAAGGAGCGGTGTCGACGTATTCAAAGAGGGGTGTGTGGGGAGCAGCTAGAGTGTGGGCTTGGATTCCGCCTGCAAAGAGTGAGCGATGGTCACAACCATGAACAGGCACATACCAATGCGGGAAACGGTGTAGAGGACTTGTTCTTCCGGGTCAATCTTTTGCCTCCAAACGGCGTTACTGCCGGGAGTCAGCCATTTCGTGGTTGCTCGACCGTATTTCCAATTCTTCTCTTCCATCACCGCCTTCTTCACCGCTGCTTTCCAGTCTACCTTGATGCCTCTTACCAAGGCATCGCTCGATGAGATTCTGGTCGTTTCAGGAGCATCCGCCGCTGCTTTGAGGCGACTATACCTCTTGGAGTAGAGGATGGATAGGGAGAGGTTGCGGTATATCGATGTAGAGTAGCTGTCTATGACAGTATTCCAAGATTTGGAGACTAGTTGGCAGGAGATGAGGTCGTGAAGGGGCAGGAGATACAGGATCTCCAGCGTGATGGACGGGTCGAGGCGGAGTAGGGGGTCGAGGGCCGCACCTGGTAGAGACATAGCTGCGACTTGTAGGGGCGCTACTGAAGCCACAGTGTGTGGCTACTTTCAATCTAGAAATCTAGATAAGGGGTCATTGGAAGACCCTGGAACCCAACAACGGGGCGATTATGAAGGGGATCTGATCATTACGTCATCATTCCTTCAGTGTGTTGTTGTTGTGACTAACCGGGGTTGGATGGGAGATCTAAAGGGAGTATGACTCAAAAACACGATGCATTCACATCTCCATTTCTCATCTGCATCTATTCTTACCATGCTCGCAAAAGCAGCCCTCCCCACTCTCTTCTTCACCCTCGCAGCCTTCATCCTCCTCCTCCTCGTCACCCTCTCCGTCCCCATCATCAAGAGCATATACCTCCTCCGCATCAACGGGAGCATCAGTCTCGGCCTCGCAAGTGGGCAAGCCTCTGTCGATGCCGGTGTACTGGGTCTCTGTTACACTGGCGCTGATGCTAGGTATGTCTTTCAATTGTGGCACAGCTCCCGCTCACACAACGCACAGCATCCTGGGTGTGAGCGTACACGATGATGGCAGCTGCAACAGTCCAGAGCTTGGCTATTCTGTCTTTGACAATCCCATTATCGCCATTATCATTGACAGCAACTCGGACTTGTCCCACACCACCCTCAAGAACCTCACCAAAGCGCTGGTACTCAACCCGATAGCATGTGGCCTGGCGGGATTGGCGCTGTTCACAGCACTGTTTGCTTGGCTCTGTGCAAGCAGGGTATTAGAGATCGTGAGATCATATGTTGAAGAATGAAAGGCAAGCTAACCTGACTGTAGATAACCTTTTTCACCGTCTGTCTCGCCTCTCTCATCGCATGGGTCGCCTTTGCCCTCGACCTCGCCATCCCCCTCGTCGCCCGGCACAGAATCAACGACGATGACGACTCCCTCCTCTCCGCCTCTCTCGGGAACGCCATGTGGCTCGTGCTCGTCGGCGCTGTAAATCCCTTCCGCATCTAATCGATCAGGGACAGTGTGCTGACAAGGCGGTGCAGATATTGTTGACTCTGTCTATCTGTTTGGCGGGATGTGGTGTGTTTGGGAGGTACAGCTCGAGGAGGAGGAACGCAGATGCGGAGTATGTGGAGAAGCCTGGGTACCAGCCCAAGCGTCGATTGTGAGTATTCCGTAAGCCTTAAAGTCGCGTGCTGACGATTCTCATAGCTGGCAGCGAGCTCCTTCGGCAGGGCGAGGTACTTATTAGGAGACGGTTGGCAATTAATATTATCATATAGACTTTCGTTAGGCTTCCCAGAGAGGATATTACCTGTGGCATAGATGGACGTTGGTCGCCGACTTGTATATTGTTTCCATATTGAGTGAACTACATGAAGGAATGGATGACGTCAGGCCTGCAAAGAGAAGAGCTATGATCATCACGATTCGAGTACTGTCCGTCACGTCTGTAAGCAGACTTGGACATCATATGTCTCGACGCCATACTATTAGCCCCGGGGCGCTTGATGCTTGACGCTCTCAGACACCAGCACCTCGAATACGCTAGTTCAACATCACGAAATTGTGGAGGTGGAGGATTCACTGTACACTGGATGCGACTCGATGCGAATCCACTGATAAGTCGCTGCGAAGCCACTCCTGCTACAAGTCCTCGCAATTCAGTCTCGTAGATTAGATATATAATGAGGCCAGTCAAACACCCATCATGAGCGATCATTCTTTCCTGGTTTTCTAATTGCCTCTTCACCTCACATTCAATAAGCTTCACCGGCCGACGATGTTGACTCCGCCTCACATAAGCCTTCGGGACATTACAATACATCGTTCTACTCTTCTAGTTCAAGAGTAGTTGAATCGTCGGTCAATATTGCCCCTTGACACTATGCTGCTGAAAGAGACTCTGGGTTCTCAGGCACTGCATACATGCATGATGCCCGCCATGAATGATAGCTCGAACCGAATCACCCCCATATCAATAAAGCTGACCACGCCGATAGGTGTGACTAGACCCCGAATGTCCCTCCTCGTGAGCTACTGTCCTATCCGAACAAATCATCCAATGAAACTTACAACGGAATACAAAAATATCCAAAGTCCGTTGCCTGGATGATACTCCCACCCTGAATCATGGTTGTTTGAGTTCAAATGATGCCTGAAATTCAAGCATATGGCAACGTTCAACCAAAAGGATAGCCACGCAAAGATGGTTGTGGCTGTCGTGGTCCATCTGCTTGACTGGATCATCCACATCATCAGCCCAGAGTGCATTTGCAACAGAGTGAACAAGAAAAGGGGACTTACAATAGGCCATTCAATTTCTGAAAATGTCTCCACAATGAAACTGAGCGCCGCGATACCGGCCCAGATAACAGTCAGATGGTTGGTGATGAATGCGCGATCCAGCGTTTGGGAAAGACTGGTAGTAAGTGTCTCGTTGGCGGGGAGGTGGAGGAATGTGGTGTTGGGCTTGAAAGAGAGAGTTTGGACACATTTCCGAGGACTGCGGAGTAGATTATGAGTCAGTGTACTGTGCTCCTTGAGGTTTGGCCACAGGGCGAGTCATCAGACTTACAGTTCACCATAGTACATACATCCCCCAGACGGTCCCAGAGATATCTTTGCCATAGCCCATGATGAACGGTCCGCAGAGGTGATGTTGGCGGTCGCGGTGGTGATGCTCAGTGAAGGGATATTGTAGCCAGCGCACGATATCAAAACCAGGAGAAGGAAAGGCGTCCCTGTCAATTGATCAGCTATCTTGATGGCAAACTCAAACAGATAGTGGTGGTTTAGCATCTTGGGGCTGCCTACATATTACGGCCATGCCGACCGTGATGCATCCGACATCTTCCGCATCGAGTGGCTCGTATTCGGACTCTGAGGTAGTACCATCACCCGATGACGGATCTACACCCTGAGATGCAAGCATCAGCCCCTTGTGTAAATACTTTGATGTGCACAGAGTACTCACAGCCAATGGGAAGGTCATAGACTTGACATCGTCTTCCTGCTTCATTGTCCGCTCTCGCACGTCGGACTTCCACAATGTCGCACCCCTCTTTAACCTGCCCCGCCAGCATCTCTTTGATCTTGACAAACCTCCATTCGTCGATTTCCTCTCCCGCTCTGAAATGGTATCGTCCATTGACAATATTTTGAGAGAGATTGACGCGACGACATTTCGGAAAGACGTTTTTGTGGCGCTGTTCGGCGGCCTCGTGGTTGAGCATACTGACATGCCACATTGCCGCCATATCTTGCACTCTGAGTGTCTCTACATACGTTAAGCATTTGATCTTTCTCTGGCATCCCGGGCCCGGAGACTCGATCCCGCGGAGTAGAGTCTTGCTGGCAATGACATTCCGATAGAGGTTGGGCGTGATGAAATCGTAGACATATCTCGACAAGACGACGGTCTTGGTGGGGGCTACAAGGGCGAGGTGGTCGATGATGATGTGGTAGACTGGCGCGAGGGGAGCTATGGAAGTGAGTTTTTTTCCCCCAGGCGGGAATAGTGGAGTGTGTATAGAAAAAGAGTGTAGGAGCGAGGCAACTTGGAGAGGCCGATCTCTTCAGCCTCAAATATGGTGCTGCCCATGTCGATTACTAGCGAAGAAAAGGCCCTGGAGTATGTAGATGATTGTGAAGTCGGCGGCTGTTATATGACCAGAAGATTGTTTTTCGATGTGAAATGCTGCTAACACTGCTGCCACGGTTCCGCACCGTGTTTCAGATCCGCATATTGGTGGTTGAACATTATTCCTCTTTTTGATCGTCTTCACTTGATATACATGAATAATAATTCAAGCAGAAAATGACCTATTCGTTCTGATCAAGATAATTGACATGATAGACATTTGCAGCTAGCCCCGCAAGTTTCTCATCAGCCTAGCCTTCGGATGTAGAATGAAAAAACGTTGAGTAGGAAACTCACGACTGTATACAAGAACAGCCACAGTCCATTCCCTGGATGGTAATCCCATCCCGAAGCTTTATCGTTCACGTTCAAGAGCCTCCTAAAGTTCAAGCAGATGGCGACGTTGAGCCAAAATGAGAGCCAGGCGAAAAGGGATCCCCAGAGCATGAGGTCATGAGAAGTCTAGATGATGATCAGTCCATCTCTGAGAAGAGGCCAAAAGGATGAACTACTTACAGCAGACCAACTGTTATCGCTGAAACTCACAAGTAGACTGAGAGTCGCGACGCCAATCCATCCAGCACTTATATAGTTGGTGACAAACGCTCGATTGAGGGTCTGGGAGAGGCTGGTGGTGAGGGTCTGGTTGACTGGTAGGTGGAGGAATGCAGGGTCGGGCTTAAAGTCGAGCGTCCGAATGCATTTCCTAGGGCTTCCAATACAGCTCAGTATATCTTTGAGGCTGGGTGGTACGAACCAGACTTACGAGTCATCGTAGTACATACAACCACCAGATGGGCCGATAGATATCTTTGCCATCGCCCATGTTGAGCCGTCGTCGAAGGTGATGTTGGCGGTAGCGTTGGTAATGTTGAGCGAAGGGATGTTGTAGCCGGCACACGATAAGAGAATGAATAGGATAACAGGGGCCCCTGTTCATTAAATTAGTAGACTGCCTACTCAAACCCGAAGTTGTGGGGAGGCTCTGGCTTACAGATCCAAACCACACCAACGACAACCCACATCCCGGCAACCAACGGGTTCGGAGCAGGTTGAGAGGTGTTGAGAGTAAATGGAGAGCCCTTTACAGTATGCGCGTCAGCTGTTAGGCTGAGCCTTCTGTGTAGACTTGGTACTCACACTCGAGAAAGTCATGGACATGGCATCGTCGTCCTCTGCCTTGCCTTCCCGCAAGCTTGGTATCTCCACGATTTCGCACCCCTCTTTCATCTGCATTGACAGGGTTTCTTTGAGGGTACTGAAGCTCCAATCTTCCACAATTTCTCCCTTCTTCATATGATAGTGTCCGTCCACAACGTCTTGAGATATCTCGACTCGAGTACAGTTCGGAAAGACCTTGGCGTATCGCACCGCGGCGGCATGATGATCGAGCATACTCACATGCCACATCGCCGCCATATCCTCCACCTTCAGTGTCTCTGTATGTCTCAGACAGTCGAGCTTCCGCCGATTCCCCAGTTCAGCCGACTCTAGTCCGCGAAGCAAGCTTTTGCTTGCAGTGACATGGCGGTAGAGCTTGGGAATGGTGATGTCGTAGACGTACTTGGACAAGATGAGGGTCGTGACGGGGGCCACGAGGGCGAGGTGGTCGATGATGATGTGATGAACCGGCGCGAGGGGGGTGATAGAAGTGAGCTCTAGGGCTACAGGGTGGGTAGAGTGGGGAGGGGACGCGCTGGGAGTGTAGTAGACTGGCAGCTCGATCTCCTCGGCGGGGTCCATGGCCGGTGGCGGGGTGGGTGCATGCAAGAGAGATATGACTTCGATGGTTGCTGATTATGTAGAGGAAGATTGTTTGTGTCCGGAAAAGTCAAATTTAGTCAGAGGAAGTCTTTTCCTCGCCATGGTCAGTTGTATTGCTTGTCAGTTGCTTGTCAACATCTGACTCGGCGGTCAACGCCGCGATCTCGCCAAAAGTGGAGGCAGTGGCGCCGACGGCCAAAATCAACGCGCCATCAACGTTTCTTCTGCTTTCTTGCCATCGCTCGCTCCATCCTCCCAGTCTCTTCCAGCGGCCCCCATGGCAGCAAACCATCTCGAGTACGAGGAAGGAGATGAAGACCTGTTCGGCGACACCGACCTTCTAGGCTTCAGCAGCGTCAACCCCTCAGCGCCGATCAACCTCGCCCCTCCAGCTGTGGCTGGCCCGAGTTCCAACCCGCTCTCCCCCAATCGCCCAGTACGGCAACAGGAGAAACCTAGAGAGCATCTATACCCGCATATCGTTTCAGGCGCGAGGTCTACAAGAACTAATGAAGATGAGAGGCTCGCAGAGTTGCGGGACAGGAAGAGGGCTGGAAGGGAGCAGGCTCCGCGGAAAGGTGTCAAGAGTTTGAGGCTGATATCCATGAACGGTGAGTACTATATCTATGGCCAGATCTAGCACCTGCTTACAGAATCATAGTCATCCAGCAAAATTCATCGGGGATCTGGGATATTGGCGATATGGAGTACTCTGTATTGAGACCTTTCCTCGACGAAGTTGGCGCGGAGCAGCTTGCCGAGATTGAGCGCAACTCCCCTGTATGTGTAAATGGTGTATATATGCCCGTAAACTGACAAGTGTTTAGCATATCAAAAAAGATACAGACTGGTTATGGGAGGTACTCCTGCTCCAAGACTATCGTCTCTTCCATGAGCGATGTCGGATCAACCGCGAGGGCGAGGTGCGGACAAGCGGATGGAGGAAGATGTACAAGGTGAGCTCTTCCTTTCACTGGCCCATGCACCAGATCTAAGACAATCTTCAGAGAGCCAAAGAGGACGCCCTCGAGCGTCAGTCTCAAGCCGCGGACCGTGTTGCAGCCCGATATAAACAACTAGAACAGGAGAAAAAGTCCAAGAGCATTGTCGTCCTGGACAAGGTGATGCCAGGGAAGAAGCCAACGAGAAGCAGGGGGAGAGGCGGTAGCAGCGTTGGATCGACTTGTAAGCAGCCCAACAGCCCCAACTGGAGCGTATACTGATATAGACATCGTAGCATCAAGACCGTCTGCTGCTGCCACTTCAATCGCCAAAGCCCGCGCAGAAGCCCAACGAGCCCGAATCGCCCTCACTCACGCCTCTGGACGCTACGTTCCCCCCACTCAAACCCTGACGCAAGCTCAACGGGTATCCCAGAGCCAGCTGTTCAAGAACCCATATATGTCTGGGAGACCTACGCCTAGTGGGAGCGAGAGACAGGCTCAGCCGGCGACTGTTAGGATACCTGCGCCGAGGAGGGTTGCCAAGAGCGCTGCGGTTGCTTCTCGTCCTCGAGATGTTATCGCATCTCCCCCTTCCTCTCCCATCCCCGGCTCATTCCCCTCGTCTCAGTATCCCCAAGTCCGCGCCTCTCTCCCCTCCCACCTCTCCTCCCAACCATCTCCCGCGTCTCCCCAAAGCTCTGAACGCTTCCGCATAGATTCAAAAACTCTCGGCACGAAAAAGACATTCAAAGAGATCAAGAAACCAGAAGTACGGAGCTTTGAGCCGCCGGTGTTGGAGAAGGAGAAGCCGAAGCAAAAGACGGATTTCTTTGGGGGTGCGGCTTCGTCGGCGGATGGAGGTGGGATATTTAGAGTGAAGAAAAGAAAGCCTGGGGTCGTCGGAGGTGCTTCTGGACCACCGGCGAAAAGGCCAGCACCGGGGAAGTGAATCGAGACAGAGTATGAGGAAGGAGAGTGGGGGTGCATTGTGCAGAGATCTTGCACACATCTGTAGCTTCTCATCATTGAATCATTTGTCCATCCTGTAAGCATCGTAGACTCATTCATGCGTGAATGCATCCACTCAGCATGTCATTCCCTGTCGCAATGTCACGTTCTGCAGAAAGTCAAGAAAATGCAATAGACTATGACGGTTGATATAGATACTCTACACTTGATCATGTTGCGTCACGATACATGACACTCGGTCCACTCAATATCTTACACTCCCCTCTCCTCTTCCCCCGCATCCTGCCAGCTACTCGAACTCGCACTCCCACTCTCACCATCCGCCTTGGCCTTTCCCTTTCCCTTCCCCTTATTCACCTTCACTTCCCCTTCCTCCGCTTCCGGCTCATCTCGGTATTCTGTCTTGGGCACGCCCGACAACTGTCCCGAACGAGGGTCATCATCCTCCAAGAAATCATCATGATACCTCAACGCCGTCCTCTCGTCCAACCCATCATCATCATCACCCTCATCTTCATCGCTACTCGGCCCATCTCCAAAAGCATCATACAACTCTTTCGTGCCCTTACTCTCCGACTGGCCCTTGCCAAACTTGCGCCTTCCCCGCTCCAAGAGACTCATCTGCACATCATCGTCCACCGGCTCGTACGCCCCACGAGCGCCAGTACCGTTATTCGACAAGCCAAAGAGATTCTTCTGTTGTCGGCGAGAGCGAATGAAGAAGAATGCGCCGATAGAGCCCGCAAAGAGGAGGAGGATAGCACCCGCACCAGCAAGCCAGGTAGAAGACGAAGCAAGCGAAGAGATCCCGCTAAAGAACCCTTCATCCGCATCCGCGTCCGTCGGGCTTGTAGGCTCTGCAATATCCTCATCCGTCGACCCAGTCGCCTCAGGCTGAGCTGTAGCAGACCCCAGCCCAGGCTTGTGCGCTTCGCCAGAAGCGTCCCCGTGGTTGCCTGGGAGGTGGTCGGTAGGTTTGGGCTTTTGGCTGAGGACGCCGGTGGGCTCGGACCCGGTTTGTTCTTCGTCTGGCTGGCCTTCTTCGGCGGGGGCCCAGTCTTTGGCGAGGGAGGGGTCGGCGGATTCGCCCCACAGTTGGAGAGACCAGGCGACGAAACGGCCAGTTTTTTCGGGGTTGATTTGGTCTTTGACTCTGATCGTCCAGGTGCCGAGGGGGTTCTCCTCCCTGAGAACCATCAGCCAAGCCCTACACGATCATGCACGGACTTACCAGTGCTTCAAACTCATAAACTTCCATCCCGGGAACCCCGTATCCGCATCATCAAACCTTCGCTGCCTACTCAACACACTCGTTATACCTCCAGGACTGGTGACCTCAACCTCCACATCACCCCTCCTCTGATGATCGATCCAAACACGGACCGTAACATGTTCGAGTCGCTCAAAGTTGGAGTCGGTGAGCATCTGCTGAGTCACTTCATAAGTCGAAGTAACTCCAGATTCGGTAATGAACGAGCCTGTCGGCTCCACAACCGGCTCGGGGTTGGGCTTTTCGGGTTCGGAAGGTTCGGTGGGATCAGAGGCGGTAGTGTTGTCTTGTCGTGTCGAGATATCGGCGGTGGATGTGGTAGGGAGGTAGACGGCAGGAGAGTCGAACCACGCTTGGGGCTTGACATTCTTCCACTGCTGAGCAGCTTCGACGTAGAGCCCGGCGTCAAGTCGGCCAAATCCGTCTGTCATACTCATCAGCTACAGCTCTCATGAGAGAAAAATGAGACTCACACTTGTAGCTAAACTTTCGTCCAGTGGCGGTCTTTTCCCAGTCGGGATCGTCCGGGTTGAAATGCACAGCGCTCCGCACAGCGATATGCTGCATATCTCTCCAGGTGAGATCGGGTCGTACACCGAGGGCCAAGGCAAAGACGCCAGCACCAAGGGGAGCAGCGGCTGAAGTCCCGCCGTGGTTGTGCGCGCACTTGTCTTTTCCAACATCAGTTGTATGCTGCAAAAATGTTAGAAGAGATACAATGGGTGGGATGACATACAATATGATCACCACTGCCAGACGAAGGCGCGACCACCATCATGGCAGAACACATCTCCGAGTAGTAAGGGTGCAGCCCCTTTCGATCCACGGATCCGACAGTGATGGACCAGATCGAGTTTGTATACCCATCAAAGTTGCACTGATCGTCTGAACCTCCTCCGTTACCCGCTGCAAAGACAAAGACAGATCCCTTCCCACCCCGTCCCTTCATCACACCGTTCACCATCGCCTTCAAGATCAGCCCATCGGGCGCTTCCATCGACTTGCCATCGTCTGGAGGACCCCAGGAGCATGAAAAGATATCGTTCAGCTGGTAGGCATAGTTGAGGGCGGCAGCTTCGTCTGCGTCAGAGATGGGGGCAGAGAGGATACGGACGCCGGCGATTTTGGAGTTGTAGGCGACGCCGACGCCGCAGACGTCGTTGGGGACTGCAGCGATCTCGCCGGCACAGCGGGTGCCGTGCTGGTCGTCTGATAGTCGCGGGGCGGGAAGCTCGGTGTGGTCGTTGAAATCGTAAGAGCCCTCGGGGAACTGCAGAGTGATTAGGGAACTCTCTGAGAATAAGCTTTGGCAGTACGTACAAAGTTGGCCTTTAGATCATCACTCTCCATATCCAGTCCATCATCCACAATCACCACGTGCACACCCTCTCCAGTGATTCCCTGACCCCAGAGCGTAGTCACATTGAGCTCGATGTCCTTCAACTCGGTATTGATGAGATGCCACTGCTGGTCAAGCATGGGATCGGCAAGCTTGAGCTGGTTCTGAGCGTACAGCAGCTCGGTTTTGTCTTCTCTGGCAGCATTGCTTCGAAGAAAAGCGGGGCTATGCCTTTTAGCGCGTTTCCTGAGCGTCAAGGGCTTCAGCGAGCGCTTGCCAAGGCCAGACGGCAACGACGACCATCGCTTCAGTATTGGATCGTGCGACGCGCTTCTCTTTGCTATTGACTCGTGGTGAGGCGTCGCTCCTTCTGTCCTGACCAGCCAGTGGCCTTCCAGCTCTCCTATACGCTCGACGAGCTCGAGGCCTAATGATTCTGTGATTGACTCTGGGGATGTGGATGGGTCTAGTTCGAGGGCGTAGTAGGTGTGGGTGTCGTAGGACCGTGGCTGGGGTGTGCGAGCTGCCGCTGCTCCGAGGAGGACGACTAGGGATAGGAGGGAGCGCATGGGGCGGGATGATGGAAAGATGAACAAGAGATGCGAATACAGAATACAGGAGAATATAATGCTGCGGTTGCTGCCAACGCGACGGAAGCATTTCGATCCAGCGGGCAGCCGAAGTTACATTTCACCAACATTTCACAAATCACAGAACGACTGCAATGGCCCCCCATGTCGACGAAGGAGCACTCCAAGCCCTCCTCAAGTCCCTCTCATCTGCCCCCGCCACAGCCCTCGCTGGACCCCAGGTCGCCCTCATCGCCAATGCCCTCCTCCCCTCTTCACCCCGCTCAGCAAGGGCCATCGCCTACCTCTGTCTCTCCAAGCTCACAACAGACCTCGAAGACAAAGGCGACTCGGCTGCCATCTCAAAGGTCTTTCAGCCTTACGTCGAATCTATATTTCGTGGTCCTCAACCCCAGATTCAAGAGATTGATGACGAAAGCGAAGCTGCCGAGGCAGGGGGCGAATTCGACCCAGAGGCATGTGTCCCGGCCACCTATCTCTTCCTTGCCCTCTACCCGCTATCTCCCCCGACGTCTACTACTCTTCTGACGACAAAGCTAGAGGACAACAATGATCCCCTCGCCGTCCTCCTCGAGCTCGCCGAACTCCCGTCGCCTCTTCAATCAGCCCTAGCCCAGCTGTTTGTCGCTGCAGCCGACTCCAAAATCGGCCGTGACCTGACATTATCTCGGGGTATCGAATGGCTGAAGGGCGGTCTGCGGTATACGGAAGGGAGCAGCGAAGTTGGGGCCCTATGCGCGGCTGCTCTGAGTAAACTGCTTGGCCGAGATGCCGAGGAAAAGATACCTGTGGGCGGGGAACAAGAGGAGGAGAGGGTGACCGCAGAGAAGGGCGATCAGGAGCAGCTCGCTCGGCGCATGATGTCCCATGTGGAAAGCGGCAACTCGTCTACCACGGCGATCCAATCGACTATCGAAGGTCTCGCTGTCCTCTCCCTCCAACCTCGCATCAGAGCCGTCCTCGCCTCGTCCCAAAAGTTCTTGAAAGCGCTTGTGGCGCTGTCACCTGTGGTGAACCGGAAAGGCGGGTCATTACCCGTGACGCCGAGAGGGAGTATGGACGCCGATAATTTCTCAAAGATCTTTGAGGCTGTCGAGACTAGTTTTTGTTATGGCTTGGCTAGCATTCTCGTCAACTTGACGTCACGCAAGCCGATACTGTCGGAACAGGACGCGCAAATAGCGAAACTGAGAAAGATGGCGGTCTCGGCGGACAAGAGAAAGTTGAATGAGGACGATGACGATGACGATGAGGGGTTTGAAACCGACGGGGAGGTGGATAAACGGGTGGCGGCGGTACTTGCAGCAGGGGTTGCCCCTGCTTTGAGCGGACTCGTGAGGGCGGAGAGCAAGCTTGTGAAAGAACAACTGGGACGGCTGTGTAGGAATTTGCTCGACCGGGGAGGATCGACCGAGAAGAATACGGAAATGATCAGAGCGCGACTAGCTTTCGTCAAGGGTGGAGGTTTCAAAGTCCTCTCCATTGTCGTTCGTGATCTCCTCGAACTTGCTACCACTGTACCCAAACCACCCCCCTCCTCTGCCCCTACCCCCGCCCCTCCTGCGATCGAGATCGACATCCTGCCCGCATGTCAGGCTATGGCAAAACTCATCATCACCACCAACCCCGTCATCTTGTTCCCCGCTCCCATGCAAACGACCTCCCTCAACGCCCTCACACCTCTCTACCATCTCCTCATACACCCCGACTCGCTCCTCATCCAACGCTTCGAAGCGCTCATGGCGCTCACCAACATTGCCTCCATCGACCCCTCCATCGCCGCCAAGCTCGTCAAAGCCGAGGTCAAGCCTCTCAAAGTCGAAGCTTTCTTGCGGTCACAGCCTGCTGGTCCAGTGAGGGTGATGGTAAAGATTGAAGAGATGATGCTCGACGAGAATGTGCTCGCCCGGCGCGCTGCCGTTCAGCTGTTGTGCAATATCGCTTCGTGCCAATCTGGTTTCTCCTACCTATCCGGCGAAGACTCCTCTTCCTCACCTACCCGCGCTCGGTCGCTGCTCAACATACTCTTGGTGATGGCTTGTATCGATGATATACCGACGCGATCGGCAGCTGGCGGAGCTTTGGCGGTGTTGACAGAGTCCGAGACGGCTTGCAAATACATTTTGATGGGTGATCTGAAGGATGAAGATGGGGATAGCACGCCAGCAAGATCACCGTGGTCTCGTGCTGTCTCCCTACTCGAACCCCCATCCGACGAGACATACGACGACGACGGCGAACCCATCCCCGTCATCTCTTCCTCCCCTCCCGCACCCAACCCGGAGCTAGTCCACCGCGGCGTCATCATCCTTTACAACCTACTCGAATACGCTTTGACCTTGGGCGATGAAGAAAGGACGAAAGAGGGGGTGAGGGTGAAGGAAGAGAGGGTGGAGGAAAAGCTGTTTGGGGCGTTGGGGGTGGTTAAGAAGATGGGGGAGGAGGTGGTGCAGCCGACGGTGCAGTGTTTGAGGATGATCAGGGAGAAGTTATGAGTGAGTGTTTCTTCTTACGGGTGAGGGCACAGCTGATGGGGAATAGGCGATTATCATATCTCAGCTCTCATTTAAATCTATCATATGCGGCTGTCAGTCCGATCAACATTGAAAATGGCAAGAGCGGAGCCTAATGTTGAAGGACAAGGGTTGTATGGGAGATAGTAGAGGTCGCAGTGTGGTCACATGGGATCCGGGAGTCGCGGGGGTTTGGCGCATTGTCATCAGTCGTTGGTGCTGTAACTGTATATCATTTGATACCATGCATAGATACTCTAAGCTCTGGCGAGGGCGACAGTAAAGTACATACATACACATAGAGTACACGCGCCTCACCCAGAAACGCCGGCGACCGCCGCTATCCGCCAAAATGGAAGCAACCCCTCTCCGTTGCCGCATCATAGTCCGCCCCCTTCGGGGTGGCATAAGAAAAATTGGAACAATACAGAGAAGATTAGCATTGCCCCTGCATAAGGATGACAAACTCGAGCAGAGAGGAGGTTCTTCGGAACCAAATATTTTTTTGGCAGTCCATGCATGCTGTAACCCACTCCCTGTAGGCGGCATGTAGGTGACTGAGTTCTCGGGGGTGATTGATACGCTGTGGGCTAGTACAGACATAAATTGGCATCACCCAACAATCATCGCCATCGGCCGCATGGCACCGCCTCCCGATATCATTCTGTGTCAATAGCAAATGGTGTTGAAACACACATATGTGAAACAAGCGGATGCTGATACTTTTGCAAATGATGCGTGACAAAGGTGTTTGGCAGTACAGCCGAGCGTGCTCTCTGCCACCTGCGTTCAGTTCAAAGGAGGCCACGAGTGTTCCTTACATCGCCCATGCTGTTCTCAGATATCCGTTTTATCATATGGGAACAGTCGGCTAGATTAGATATAGAGGAACGTTTGCGGAGTAGATGCGATTCTGGCCTCTGAACCAAACTATTACAATCTTCGTTGACCGAGGAAATTATTGTCAATAACGTCAGCGCGAAAGCCTCCGAACCCCTGGTGCTACCGCATCTCTTTATCTGACGCAAGGCTTGCCTCAATCATATAATGTCTGCTCAAGAGTTCTTCGAGAAACCCTTCGACAAACCCAGGCGCGGCAAACCGACGAAAATACCGGCGGTCTCCCTCCCCAACCTGAAGTCCGAGGCAGTTTCTGGAGTCGTTGTCACGATCGCTGGGCACTGGTTGCTTTCCTCACCAGCTTTACCGTATATCTCTTCTTGAGCATATATTGTCTTTACAAAGTGGGGACAGATTATGACCATGTGACGGACATTGATGTGCCAGGTGACTGGCAAGTGTCGAGCAGCGGGACAGCTTCTAGCTCGGGTGGAATAGATTATGGCGAGGCATTGACAAAGTAAGTTCTTCTTAGGGTTACAAGACGGAGTGTCTACTTACCTCGCCACGCAGAGGGACAGGATATTTATTCGCTCTCGCTTCTGCCTTGGCCGTTGGGCTCAGCTTTGGACTTTTGTTTGTAAGTGGTCTTCAAGTGGAGGATGTAACACTATGTCGGGACTGGCTGACAGATACTCATCCCTGTCATGTTGTACAGTTTGTGAGGTACTTTCCAACGGTCACGATCATCATGGGCCCATTGATATCCCTCCTCTACATGATAGGTGCTACGGTCGGTGAGTCGTTTCGATCGTCCTGACAATTCCCGTCTCTATTTTGATGCTCATTTCGTACGTTCAAAAGGCTGTATCTACCTGAAGAGTGAGTACTGTGATGTCCACTAGAGCAATGCGGATGGGGCTCATAATATGTCAGTCTGGAGCGAAGCCGCTATCTGCGCTGCAAGTGCCGTCTTCATCGTATTATGTGTGTTCATATTCAAGTCGAGGTATAGGCTTGCGCGAGACTTGCTCGATACCGCCAATCAGGCCGCTCAAGCGCATTGGTCGGTCTTCTGGACAGTTCTCATTGGTGATTCAGAGGATGATGCCTTGCTTCCTTGAGGGATCTACTAACGGCGAACTTCTAGGAACCTTGGTTCAAGGCTTGAGTTCCCTCTGGAATATCGCTACGTTCATCTCAGTGTTTCTCGTTTTTGAACCATGGCATCAAGGTCAGTACATCACGCAGTCGGGGAGAGATCTCCATGTCTTCCTCTGTGCTGATCGTCATGATGCAGGATGCGACGATGGAGACTATTGTTCTGCTGGCATGACCTGGGTACTCCTGATCTTTGTAATCATCGAGTACATGTGGATATCCGGAGTTATCAGTAACGTCACATTGACTGTCATGGCGGGCGGACCTTATGCTCGTGAGTATCGACCATATCAGCGACTCTCCTGATCTGACGGGTAATTTTGAGACTGGTGGTATGGAACAACCGATCTTGATACACGAAGTGAAAGCATCTGGGCACTGAAACGTGCTGCCGGTACATCTCTTGGTTCTATAGCTTTTGGTAGCTTGCTTGTTACAGCAGTGGAAATTCTTCACTTTCTTGTCAAGCTTATCACAGGACAGTACTTTGGTGACGAAGGAAAAGGGATCTGCGCCTGTTGTGTAAGTAATCATCCTGTGCTGATGGCTTTGTGAAGTGAGACTAACCTCGTACACGTTCATAGTGTGCCTGCCTTTTGCGCCTCATGGAGTACTTGCTGGAGACATTCAACAAATACGTATAGTACGTAGCATCTTTCTTGGCCGAAGAGTCTCATGCTCATCGATATCATCAAGTATCAGAATCGGCGTGGACAGGTTCGAAATTGACTTTGTGAGTGGTGGATGATGATGAGGTGACAGTCTGGTCCTGACACATGCCGCAGAAACAAGGAGGCAAAGAGATTTGGAGATTAGTGAGAAAGGGAAAGAAGGTGAACAGAAAAGGTGGCATTACACTTCTTAGTACAGAATCTGGTCTACTTGCTGATTTTGTTTCATCAGGTATATCGGCTCTCCTCAATGACAACATAGTTGGAAAGGCACTCTACATAACGTGCATGGGAAACGCGGTCCTGTGCGCCGGACTCACCTACTTGTACATGGCTGGTAGGAAGATCTCATACCGACTCTAGAAAGAGGCTGATCCATCGCGAAAGTTGTTGACGGGTCGCTGAAGGTTGATGAATGGTGGAACTGGCTGATTCTCCTCTACTCTTTCATCCTCGCGCTCAATATCGGTCTCGCTCTGACATCCGCACTCGTACGCAGATATTTTTTTCCGCTCAGGTTTGTGCACATCTGACATTGCTGTCTGTAGGAAGCTGGTGTGACGACAATCTTTGTATGTCTCGACAAAGATCCAGACTATCTGAAGCAGCGCAATCCCCGTTTCTACGATGTGAGTGGGATATGTACAAGCATTACATCCTATCTGATTCATCTCAGGACTTGTGCGCACACCCTAGCTACTATTCGATAGTGATGCCAGAGGCAAATCAGCCCTTACAACCGCGAGAAAAAGCTTAAGAGACATTTTATAGTCGGAAGTTGAGTGATAATTAGAAGTAAATTTTTCAACGCACATGGGTATAGAGAGCCTCTCCCATATTGAGATAGAATGCATGCTGTCTGTCTATGCCAGCTATAATATGGGGTACCACGATCGGCGATTGCGGTCATGGAGAAACACCAAACGCGGTGGGAAGAAGAAGCAATGTTCGAGAAGACGGAATTACGTAATAGATCTGAGCCGGAAGTATATAAAGGGAGGACTGGCATCGCTCCCACCGCTCTCACAACTCTCTTTTCCTCTCTTCTCCCCCCGCCATCCGTCCCCACCGCCCATCCGGTACTGCCCCCGCCATCCAAAAACATAGACACGCCCTGCGTACGCTAGACGGCACGGAAAACACTGTCAAATTTGCCCAGCCCGACTGGCCGCTAAACAACATCCTTTGATACTCGCCACAACCCCTCCGCCATGTCTGGTCTCGCTCTCCCCAAAGGTCCTCAGGCGGGCCCATCCAACTCCAACAATGCCCCAGACGGACGACAGACTCTCGCTGGAGCGGGAGATGTAGCGACGAGGCAACCTCAGAAGGCTGTGGCGAGTGTTCCGGAGATTACGGCGGTGGATGGTTTGGTTCCAACCTTACAGTGGGTATAATGTTCTTTCACAGACATCCGGGTCTATGAAGAGAGGAGATGACTGGCAGAGGGCCGTTGTATGTCAATAGAGACAGGGGGCTATACGAAAGAGCGGGTCATATGGAGCCGGGGTGATTCCCCGGTATGCTCTATGGCCCGCTCTTTGATCTGTCTAGTCGTGCTCTCAGTCCGCTCAGTGAACGACAGAGTCGGCTGACCGTGTTGGATCCACAGAAATATCGTTGCTACCGTCAATTTGGACTGTCGTCTCGACTTGAAGACTATTGCGCTTCATGCTCGAAATGCCGAGTACAACCCTAGAGTGAGTGTACTTCCCCCCTTCGATACCGCCATGTACTGATGAATCTCTCAGCGTTTCGCCGCCGTCGTCATGCGTATTCGAGATCCCCGTACAACTGCCCTTATCTTCGCTTCCGGAAAGATGGTCGTCACTGGTGCCAAGTCAGAGGACGATTCGCGTCTAGCTTCTCGAAAGTACGCGCGTATCATCCAGAAGCTTGGTTTTGATGCCAAGTTTGCCGAGTTCAAGATTCAGAATATGGTGGGCAGTTGTGATGTCAAGTTCCCGATTCGGTTGGAGGGTTTGGCTTTCAGCCACGGTGCTTTCAGCAGTTACGAACCCGAGGTGAGTGTCTGCGCAATTTCCTTTGGTACCTCTTTGACGATGCGGTAGCTGTTCCCTGGTCTCATCTATCGTATGTTGAAGCCGAAGGTCGTCATCCTGATCTTTGTCTCCGGCAAGATCGTCCTTACGGGTGCAAAGGTGAGAGAGGAGATTTACATGGCGTTCAACCAGATCTATTCTGTGCTGCTTGGTGAGTATTTCAATTGCTTCCAGTTTCCATCTAACGTCCACTAGAATTTCGAAAAACAACATGATCATAGCGCATCTCAATCGGTGCCACGCCGGCTGCTGACCAACCTCCCCAATCTTTCTTCGGGTCCCCGTGTTCTCCACCACTTGGCTTCATACACCCTCTACCTTTCCACCATACGATCGAAGCCCATCCCTGCATAGTCTTCCATCGTGGTTCTTACGTCTATTAACGAAAACAATAAAAAGCAAAACGCGGCCCGTCGAGGGGAGATGGGGAGAGCGTTTCCGTGGCTGCTTTATTAGAACCGCGAGCTAGATCTTTCCCTTTTCTAGTACTCATAGCGATACCGCATGTAATTCTGTTGACATTAGAAAGACACTGCCACTGTTGATCAGCGTGCTGCCAACTATTACTAAATACTGCGCTGGGCCGTATCTCGGTGTTCGCCGATTGGCCATTGGCCAGGTGGGCCACTGACCGACAATCTGGCTGATTGCACTTACTTATATCTTCTCGTCTTTTCCTTCTTTTGCTCTTTATCTCTCTCTCTTTCTACTATATCCGTCACAGCAAGAAATGCGCCCAGTACATCTCATCATTCTCATCCACGGTCTCTACGGCGATATCCACAACCTCCACGCTGTCAAAGGCGAGCTCTTGGCCTTGGCGGAGCCCCAATTGTCAAGCGCGACTTCGCAGGACTTTGAAGAGAAGCTCGATGAAGCTGGATCAGGCAAGGCCCAAGATGGGCTGGAGACGGTTGTGTATCTGCCCAAGACGATACCGGGGGCCAAGACATGGGATGGGATTGACGTCTGCGCGGCAAGGGTGGCTGATGAAGTGAGTTCCTTACCACAGCATGGCAAGGGCGACGCATAACGTAAAGACAAGTTTGGATGAAGCTGACCTGAAGAAAGATAGATCAAGAGATAGAGAGGCTGCAGGATGAGGACAAGGATGTGGTTGGGTTCAGTGTGGTACGTGGTGGTTACACACTGCCGATCTTGAAGATTACATCACTGACCGGTTTGTGGTGCGCAGATGGGATACTCTCTTGGGGGATGTGAGTCTTTGATTCGAGGTGTTATCCGGATCGACTAACGAGCTGTCCAGTGATCTCGAGATATCTTATAGGTTTACTGCATGCTCGCCAACCCTCGTTCTTTGCCAGACATAAACCTGTGTCATTCTCCACAGCAGCCACTCCCGTGCGTTTCGCGGTGCCATCTCAACCAGGTGTTCACTGACATGATTGCAATCTAGCATCTGGGTGTGCTCAAGTATGGCACTACTACCAACACGGTGGTACACACTATAGGACGAAGGCTGTTCAGCCAGACGGGCAAGCAACTGTACAATTTGGATCGGGAACCCGAATGGGCTGGGAGGGGTTTGTTGGAGGTCATGTCAGATCCCGGTAAGGATGTCATCATCAAGACACTATCTAGTTGGATACTGACCGGTAAAGACAACATCTTCATACAAGCTCTGAAATTGTTCCCGAAATCGATGATAGTCGCCAATGGGTCAGTGTTCCCTTGTCCCCGAGTCGGCCTTTGTACTGACATATCAACAGAACGCAAGACCTGACAGTCCCATACCCTACAGCCACCTTTTCCCTCACCGACCCATTCGCCGACCCCACATCAATAGACGTCGAAGTGAACGACCAACACATCGTACAGTCTTACCGCCCTTTATCGCCCGCATCGCTCGATCGTTCAAGCTCTCGGTCGAGTTTGCTGACGTCAAGAAGCAATAGAAGGATGAAAGATGGGAGCGAGTCGGCAGATGAAGAGGATGTTGAGATTAGTGTTACGTCTTTGAGGAGTAAAGGCGATGAGAGAAAGAGGCCGCCTATACCGCCCTTTCTCATTTTACCTCTGCGGTGGCCCTTCAACTATGTAAGCTGGGCGCAAGCGAGAGAGTGACATAGCTGAACATTTATACAGTCTCTTATTCTGTTTGTGCCATTTCTGCTTCCCATTTTGTTACTATACATGTGCGTCTCGCTCTCAGATCTGATGGACGAAAGCTGACTTCCTTGCAGTTCCATCATCGTCATCATCCAAACCTTCCACTCGTAAGCTCAGTGATTGCGCTCCGGCTAGCAAAGCTAATATCCTTACGGTCACCGCCGCATACAATCACACCGAAACGAATACGAGCGCCAACCCCTTCTCTCAGCATCAACATCCACCATCGACTTCTCCTCCCTATCCGCTTCGGAACAAGCAGAAACAGCCACCAGCGCCCTCCAAATCAACCCATCCGACGGTACATGTACCCCACCCATGGCAGACCCTCTACCCACCAGCTCTGCTGAACCTCTTTTGCTCACGCCCCAGCAAAAGCTGATGATCCGGAATTTGAACGCGGCGATACCGAATGCGGAGAGGGTGGTGGCGTGGTTCCCGTGGGTCTTTAATGCACATGCTATGCTCATTTGCAGGTGAGCTCGATATTATGACTTGGTCATGGTGGATTACTTACTCTAGAGGCAGGACGGTGTCGCGCTTCCCGTGGCAAGAAGATGGGAGGGGAGCTGTCAGGGCATGGACAAAGTTTGTTTTCCAGGCGGGAGAGACAGAGTGTCATGCGAGGGGGACGGGGGCTGTCGCTCATGGGAGCACATGATAGGTTGGACTCGGACTTTGATGGGCATATACATACATGGATTATCTTATCTGCCACGATGCCGATAATTAAAGCTTCAAGAGCCAAGCAAGAAGGTCTTTGTGGATTTCCGTCCTCGTCCATGGCTATAACGGCTCAAGGAATCTTTGACCATCGCGATGACCATCTCCGAGGTGTCCAACCTCGTCTAACACGTCTAGGAACACCTCTATCCCTTGGCATGCCGAAGAATGCAGGAATGCAGGGCGTCGCAGCCTGCAATGGCGGCGAGTCGGGGATGTCCGAGAGAAATGCACCGCCTTGGCACATCCTCATGCATGGATAGAGGTAGGGTATATAAGAAGGCAGTATCTCCCCTGGTTTGGCTGAAAGGACCCCCGCCCGAACCACACATCGCACTCATACATACACCCGCAACACCGATCACTCGCCGACATCTTTCCTGTGCCGTCACTGCCGCTCGTCATCTTTTACTTGCCTCAATACTTCAACTGTATCTTTGCCACATCACCAATCACTCTACTACTATAACATAACTATGTCCACTGCCTCTTCATCCAAGCGCTCTAGCAAGCTCTTCGGCCGCCTCCTAGGACGTTCCGGTCGGGCGGCCTCTCCGCCACCGCCTCCTCCTTCCTACGACACCAGCGCCTCCCCGGGAATAGCTGTACCACCCATGGTCAAGGGCTTCAGGTCCTCGTATGTTGCTCCCAGGGGTAATGAAGATCCCCTGGAGCTGTTGAAAGAATATGATACAGTCTTTCTCGGTAAGTCTAATTCTTGCCGCACTCTGACATTGTCGGAAATTCCGAGCTGACCGTCTATAGTGGACGACAGCGGGTCTATGGCTGGGAGCAGATGGAAGGAAGCGTGCAAGTCGATCATGGAAGTTGCCGACATTGCTGCTCGGTACGATGATGATGGTATCGATGTCTACTTTTTGAACAGCAAGCGGTACGGGGTTGGGCTTTCCACTACCAGCCAGGTTGCGGAACTCTTTAGGAGCTTGAAGCCTAGGGGAATGACGCCGTGGGTACTGTGTTGTTCACTTTGAGGTCAAAGCTGACATGCTTGGTTAGCACAGCGGCAAGGCTTGATGTACTTTTAAGGGAATATATGGGGCGCCTTGAAGCTCAGAATGCTGGCAGCACTCCCGGGGAAGCAGAGGAAGTGAAACCGATCAACCTCATCGTGATCACCGACGGAGGTGAGTATCTTGCCACACCTCCTTACGCTACTAGCTGACTAACACTACGTGTAGAACCCAGTGATGATCCCGCCAGCGTGATTGTAGCTGCAGCCAAGCGTGTGAGTACCCCCAATCATGTCTTCTTGCCCACGGTTGACTTGTCCAATAGCTTGACAAGGGCGAATACCCTCTCTCTCAAGTCGGCATCCAATTCCTCCAGATCGGCAACGACCCCAAAGCTGCCGCTGCCCTCGAAGAGCTCGATGACGAGCTGGGCCCCAAGCATGGTATCAGAGATATTGTGGATACCGTGCCGTACAAGGGAAAGGCTATGGATGCCGAGTTGATCATCAAGACTTTATTGGGAGGTATCAATAGGAGGTTGGATAAGAGGGGTAATTGAGTGAAGAACGGTCTCAGAAATTAATGGGCAGAAGTCTTGTATTGCTAGTATGATGCTTAATATCTATCTGTATCTGGATTACAATGTATGATATCGCAGGGAGCTACTATCTCACTGCCACTCTGGGACTCTGGGTGCGCGAGTCAAGCCGACGGAGATGCGGCCACCTCCGATCTGCCTCTCTCTATATAACTTGTACATGGCGCTCCCTCGCCTCCGTCTCTACAACACAGTCCGCACCATGTCCTCCCAACACATCTACGCCACCCCAGCCACCACAGCCGCCCCCGAGACTGTCAAGCTCACCACCCACAACCAATACGTCACTCCCCGCCTCCTCGCTGGCGACCTCGACCCCAGCCCCCTCTTGCAGTTCAACTCCTGGTTCGCCTCTGTTCTGAACCCTACAGAGTCAGAGGCGGCGGGCGGGCGAAAGGTGCATGAGCCGGAAGCTATGACGCTGTCTACGGCGACTGCGCGGGGTATCCCTTCGTCCAGAGTCGTCTTGCTCAAGACGGTGGACAAGACTGGGTTTGTGTTCTTTACGAACTACAATTCTCGTAAATCGCAAGAACTCATTGCGAACCCTTACGCCTCGCTTGCGTTCTATTGGCGAGAAGTATCCCGACAAGTGCGGGTAGTAGGCAAGGTGGAGAAGGTTAGCAGGGAAGAGAGTGTGGAGTATTACAATACGAGGCCGAGAGGGAGCAGGCTGGGAGCCTGGGCGAGCGAGCAAAGTAAACCAGTACAAGAGGGAGAGCTGGAGAAGAAGGTGAAGATGCAGGAGCAAAAGTGGGAAGGCAAGGAAGTGGATTGTCCAGAGTTCTGGGGTGGATGGAGGATTGTGCCGTTGTAGGTCGGCCTTTGTCTTGTTACTCTCGACTACTGACGATGATCATAGCGAGGTCGAGTTCTGGTCTGGCCAGCCGTCAAGGCTGCATGACCGATTCAAGTACACCCGCGCAGAGGGTAGCAGCGGAGAGTGGAAGATTGAGAAATTGTCGCCATAAATCATAGTGTACGTCTCTTGGTTTGCGACATGTATGCTGCTCACGACATTCCCAGATACTTATGAATCTCAAATCAATGCATCGCTTCGACGAACCTTTATGCAATACACAGGTCAAAAGGAATGTCGAAACTACTCCTTTAAGAGCTCATGTGAGGAGGCATAGTGAGTTTTCAAAGGTGATACAAAGCGCTCAGGATGACGTATCCAACAAGCACCCCACTATTCATTAGGCTGGTGCCACGGCCTATTCGGATCAATATCTTTCGTCCCCGTATAGACATATCCCTCGGCGGTGGACTCCCAACTCTGGGGGTCCTCTGTAAGCTCGGGATGAAACTTGATCGAGTCTGCAGTCGCTTTTGAAATAGTGACAGTCTTGGTGTCGGAGCCGCTGACTCTGGAAGGTCTGCGCGGCATGGCTTGTCGAGGTGGGATGCTCAACAAGGTTGGGCGGGTTGATGCGTTTTCGGGAGACTTGGTAGTCTATCGTTGTTCAGAGTGTGGTGCTCCCAGTACGGGAAGTATGACTGACCTGGCTATTCGCGAATATGTCCTCTTTGAACGATATGGCTGGTCTACTCTGCTGGGACTGATTCTCGGTGGGCTGTTGTTGCGACATTCTGCAATGTTCTGCGTGTTGCTCACTTTGTCACGATGAGCTGATCACAATGCGTCTATTTATTCAGTTCCAACATGCACAGGCCCTTTGATGTGTCGGGCTTGTCTTTCACTTGTGAATTGATCTACCACCATTCATTATTGGGCTGCCTTGGTACACTTCAAAGGATATACTCCGATCCAAGGAGATTATCATGGTAAGTAGACACGTTGCTACTCTATCATATTGACCTCCATACTCAAACAGACAAGACTCGAAAAGAGCAGAGCGATTGCATGTATAGAGGCGACCCAGCACATCTATAAATAAGTATACCAATACAACACGAACACAACCTTACCCCATCTAGACAACCCTCTCACTCTAGAGATACGAGCGGATCACAGATTCAGCCCCTTCATCATCCCCTTGATACTCCCCATCATCTTTCCACTACCGGCAGCAGTCGGTGGGGGCGTCTGCAGACCCGTCTCTGTCTGCCTCTCGCCATTGACCTTGATATCCGGTCTGGCCGCTTCGTCCGCTTCGGCCTTGACGACCTTTGGCTCCGGGGCCTCTGGCAGAGCAAATGGCAAGCTGCCAGATCGCGCATGGCCCGCCTTGAGAGTCGATTGCCTATGCTGACCCGGCCTCGCTACAGCAGGCTTGCCCTTGAGCGCGCCATTGCTATCCTGCCCGCTCGCCTGCCCCTGCCCGAGCTCACCCTCATTCGACATCAAGCTCACCCTCCTCGAACTGTCATCCGCTGACAAGTAATCGCTCATCGGATCTTCATCCGACATGCTCAACGGCGTCAAGATCGCCTGCGCTGCCTCTCTTGCGGGCGTACCGGGGGAAGCCGGGGTGGACGAGTCGGGGGAGAGGGTGTTGGAACGGGAAGAGGCGGAGGAGCGGATACGGTTGGAGGCTTGGATCATGCGGAGGGCGGACCGCCATTTGCGTTTGGCGTCAAAGTTGGCGCGGATGGCGTCGGAGAGGTCATTCTCGGTCGCTTCGCCGGATGTGATCCACTAAGACGAGGTTAGATGTGATTCTGGGAGAGGAAAGGGGAGACTTGCCTCGTGGTGGAGAGCTTGGGCGGCGGTGGGACGTTTCTTCGGGTCGACTTCGAGCATTGCCTTGACAAACTCCTTGGCTGTTTTACAATCAGTAATAGATTCGAGAGTGATATGTAGACGCACCAGGACCGGACACTTTGGACCAGTAACGATCATGAAACATGATCTTTGCTCTAGTCATCTCCACCAACAGCCCCATCCTGTCGTCGCTTCTGAATGGAGGATACCCAGATAGCAGCGTATACGCGATAACTCTGCAGCTCATTAGCCAAAGTCCCCCAGCCTTATATTGGACTCACCCAATACTCCAACAGTCCACCCTCAGCCCATGCGGCTTCGCCATAAGCACCTCTGGCGCGGCATACCCAAAACTTCCCGCTGCCTCCTCCACCTCTTCATCCTCCGTCTCCAAATGCCTCGCGATACCGAAATCGGCAATCACCAAGGGAGAGTTTACGTCCCGGGTTTTGTAGAGGATGTTTTCAGGTTTGAGATCGCGGTGGGCAATGTTGTGGGAGTGTAGGTAGGCTGTTGCCTGGAGGACTTGGCTGTGCGGTGTCAGGTCGGGAATGCGACCCCTCGGACAATATGCTTACCGTATACAATCGACAGCGTCCTTTTCGGTAAACTTCCCCCTCTCTGAAATCCTATCAAACAGTTCTCCACCGACAGCCAGCTCGAAAGCAAGATAGTACTTGTCCCGCGACTCGAAATTGTCCCACACGTGCACGATATGCGGGTGGTCGAGACCTTTCAGGACTGATATCTCATCCATGACCGCCTGCTCGTTGCCCTTGACCAGCTTCTTGTTGATGATCCTGTACCACAGTCAGCTGCGCAACACTGCATCCTCGACGATCGCGACGTACTTGAGAGCGACCTCCTTCTTCTCCCCGCCTGGCGGAGTCCATGTGGCGCGCACAACCTTGCCAAACGCTCCTCTCCCTAACAGCTCTTCGATCTTGTACTCCTTCTTCTTCTTGAAGGACGGCGGTTGGGAGAGGATGGCATCTCGGAAATCCGAGATTCCCATTTTATGGCGTGGAGTCATATCGACGGGCATCTTGTAATGACCTGATTTGGGGGGCGGTGGTAAACAGAGAGATGAGGGGAAGGGAGGCGATGAATCGGTACAAGGTCGAGGAAAGAAGGGTGTTGAAAAAAAGGGACAAAGGAACGAGATGGGAAAAGATGCAAGAGATGTGGCGGAGGGTAGAGTAGGAACGATCTGTGGACTGTGGGTGCTGCGGTCGATAGGCAGGGAGTGATCTCTTTGACGACGCTGGCTATGTATACTCGGGGGGATTGTGGAGATGCAAACGCAGAAAGATGCACGTTGGAAAAGGCGAGACGGAGAATGACGCGCTAAGTGAAGTGCGCATCGTAAAAACGCGTTCGCCGCCCCCGGCCCGCCACTCGAGGGAGCGAGTCAGCGAGCATGGAAATGTTGGCCGAGGAAGCACGCTCAGTGCGAAGGGCAGGCGAGGGGCGAGAGGCTGGGCGCTCCTGAGTAGAACCGAGTACAGCCAGCAAGAGACAGTCCAGCGGGGAGGATCATCTCACGAAGGGCGTCGAACCTTGTTCAAGGATGCTCGGATCTAGTGGGTGGTGGTGTGGCGGTAGTCTTGCAGTCGACATGGGGGATATGGATGTGGATGAATGGATATTCTCTGCGCGTACAGTTGCCTTTCGTGGCTCCGGCGTCGGTCCCAGGTAGTTTCGCCAAGCACTGGTTGACAAACTGCTATGGGCAGCCCTGGGCGTGTCCTGTGCCACATGCTACTGAGATGGTTTGGCAGACTGTATTCAGACAATTGATAGTACACTTGAATATCGCTGTTGTATGAATCTTGAAGAAGCTTGTAATGAGGCGGGGATCATGCGCGAAGCATCAAGAAGCAAGCCAAGTAAGCGGGGCCAGATCGACTTTCCCAATTGTCTCTTTCTACATACGCCCAATAGCGTGGCTCCTACTATGATCTCTCTACCCATTCACATATCAAGTGCATGTATATGCACAGAGTTACACCCCCAGTCTTGTCTGACAACGTGCTGGTGACAGTTGATACCGCCAGCGGCTTCCCCCGCCTCCACTCTTGTCCTCCATCTCTGAAGATTCTTGCTCGCCATTGTTATTGTTTTTGCCAGAACCATTCTCCTCCACACGCTCACTTGAATATGCCCCATAAGCGTGAGTAGATCTATCAAAACTGGTCAACAGAGCTGACAAAAACAAGGTTCCAAGAAGTCTGTTAGAGACGCCGAGACTGCCAAAAAGTACATCCCCTGCCTCTCCCCAACCTTCAACCTCAAACGACCGAACTGACGATCTCACAGGGGCAAAAACCTCGCACCATCCGATACCAAAAACCCCTACGACGACACCCCCCGCGGCGCAACCCGTATCTTCACCTCCATCGACCTCCAAACCAAATTCCGCGCCAGCGGCCGGACGAACAGTGAAGATACCGGCGAACGGCGCGGACTCCCCGGGACTGGAAAAGGCGCGAATGTCAAGGGGAAGGGGAAGGAGGCGCTGCCAAAGATTATGCCGCAAGAGACGTTGGGCGAGTATAATCGGCGTATAGAGAGTTTGCTCCGGCCTGCTGTTTCATCTGCGATCAAGACGGCGGAGAACCAACGGCAAGCGGAAGTAGCGGATGAGAGACGGGGGAAGAAGGAGAGGAAGAGGAGGGCGAGGTTGGAGAAGCTTATCAAGGAGGGCAAGGTGGATAAAAAGGTGTTGGAAGAGTTTGAAAAGTCGGTCAAGGAGAAGAAGCGGAAGAGGGAGCAAGGGAAGGGTGGGGATAGTGAGAGTGAAGAGGAGGAAGGGGAGAGGGGAGGGAAGAAGCAGAAGCAGCAGCAGCAGCAAAAGGAGCAGAAAGAGTTCAAGGCTGCGACATCGACGTCGGCGCCGAGGAGGCTGAACGATATCGCCCAAGCACCGCCGTCTCTGCCCCAGCTCAAGAGAGCAGGGGAAAAGTCGGGCGTGTATGGTGCGGTCAGTAGCGGCAAGATGCCGCTGAATGCCGGGCAGAAGCGAATCATGGAGGAAGAGCGAGAACGGGTGATCAACTTGTATAGAGAGATGAAGGCAAAGAGGCAGGAGAGCAAATGTAGTTAAGAGCCATGGCATCCATCCTTTTGTTACGTGTTACAAGTATGCCTCATGATCTCTCCCCCCTATTCCAGAAACGCTCTACTCGAGCTCCTCAAGGTCGCTCTTCTTGACGTCCGCCTCGTCAAAGTTGTCCACCAAGTCGGGGATCTCGTCGTCACCACCCTCACCAGCACCCTCACCACCGGCACCGGCAGCTTGTCGGGCAGTCATGGACTGGTAAGACTCGGCCAACTTTCGGAGGTTGGCGAGAGAGTCGGGGCCGAGCTGGTTGAGGATTCCGGGAACGAGCTCGGTGAGCTCCTTGGTCTGGCCAGGGCCGTAGATGGCAAGGGTGTTGGAGGGGAGAGCGGCGTGGACTTGAGCTGTGGCATGTTAGCGGGCGTGCTTGTGCAAGATTCTCGGGTGATTGGCATCTGGCTCGCCGTCTACCTGTACTACTCTCGTGACAGCATGTAGTGAACAGAGGCAGTAGACACTTTTCCCATCTGTTTACTTTCCCAAGCTCCGCTGGCAGATACCAATCACCCTCGTTGGACCCTCTGGACTTACTCCTGGGGGCAGCAAAGTGCAAAACGTTTCCGTCCTCCTTGAACATGTTGACCTCCTCAACACCGGCAATCGGTTGCACACCCAACTTCTTCAAGGCGGCCTGGAGCTTCCTGTCATCACCCTGGGTGGCGGTGACAGACTTCTTGACGACCTTTCGTCGGGGAGTACCCTTTCCACCTGTTTTATGATTGTTTTATGATTGTTTATGATTGTTGGATCACGAGGGACAGCGGGAGGGAGACAGCTGGTCAGTTGGGGGTCTCCTCTGGACGCTCTGGACGCACCGAGACGCTGAGCCTGGAGTTTTGCGAGCTTTTCCTTGTCCATGGTGAGTTGTGGAGGATGCTGACATCGAATCCGCGAAAGAGCGTTTGCGGCGCGGCGTTTGGCGGCGTTATCCCGGTGGCGGCGCTGGACGCGACTTGCTTTCATCAACATCATTTCTCATTTCTCATTTCTCTATATCTCTATATCTCTATATCTCTCCTCTCCCCATGCTCGCACCCCGCACCATCCACACCCACCGCACATACACCCACCACACCACCTCCAAGAAGAATATCGAAAATGCCCACGCCCTGCCCTCGAAAACGCCCTCAAGAACGGGTGGAAAGCAGCTGCTGGGGCCCTCGACGGGGGTGAGGATGGGTCTTGGCGTCAAGACGGAGGGGAGGGATGGGAATGTGCTGGGAGGGCAGTCGAGGGGTGAGGGCGGGAAGGGGAAGGGGGGAGCGGAGGATATCGGTGAGTCGCCGGTGTAGACGTGTCGAGGGGTGGGCAGACTGACTTTCGCAGAACCCAAACGGCTCTTCACCAACGCCCCCAAATCCTCCATCCCTCCCTCCAAATCCTTGTCCTCTATGCCCCCCATCCCCGCTCTCCCCACCCGCACCCCCGCCCCAAGCCGTCAAGCAGCCCCCTCCCAAACCCTCCGCACGCCCGCACCTTCATTCCACCTCACCTCCCAGCCTCTGCCCGCGCCTACGCCTTTACCTAGTGCCACACGGACGCGGAGGAGATCGAGGCAGTCGTTGAGCAATGTTCAGCTTACACCGAACAAGAGCCAAGTCGATGAGGGCAAGCCTAGGCAAGAGTTTGTCACGCCTGCGCCGGTTAGGTGGGAAGAAGAGCTTTCGTTGGGGAGTATTGAGGTCGAGCAGGAAGGGTTGGAGTTGGTACAAGAGGAAGAAGAGGATGGAGAGCCCGAGTATATGCCTCCGCCTGTACAAGGTGTGTTCTTCTAGCGTCTGTCTAGACACGGCTAACTTGAAACAGAACTGCCATACGACCCAGGATGGCAAGTCCCAGACTTTGAACAACTCTTCTCCAAGCTCGCTGCCATGCCGTCCATCGGAATCTCTGGCTACGAACCTCTCCCGCCGCCCCCTCTTGTGCTGCAGAGCGACGTTGTTGACAGACTGTGCTCTTCTGGTGAGTCGGCCCTTGATTGTCAAGGATCATGTCTGATTACAACTAGGCGATGACGACTTGGAAGAAGATTACCTCAAGACAAAACCCGTCCCAGCTCAGCGCCCTGCGCCGTCGCGGGGGGTACCATCTCGTGCACCTTCAGTACCATCCCGAGCACCCACACGCTCCACTATTCCCTCCCGCCTTGGCGCTCCCACCCCAGCGCCCGCCCCTAGACTCCCTGCTCGAACTACCACAAAACCTCCAATCCCCATCTCCCGTCCTCCTCCTATAGTACCTCGTCCCCCGGCCATCAGGCCTACCTCTCGCACGACCACTGTTGCCGGGCCAAAGACACCATCTACTCTGTCTTCACGCGCTGGAAGCAGGCTGGGGGTGCCGCGGGCGAAGCCTGTCAAGAGTGAGGATGAGAAGAAGCTGGAAGAGATGGACTGTGCTATTTATGAGGGATGGACGGGTGCTAGTGTGGAAGCGTTTGAGCTCAACATGGACTTTTGAGTCAAAAGGTGATTGTATGTTGAACCGAGTTTTTGAGTCTACATCTTGTATTATTGTATGTTTTATATATCTTTACGTTTGACGTATCTTAATGCACGCTACGTTTCCTGGACAGACATACAACGATGGATAGGGGGTTATGCATATGAAAAGATAGAAAGCTCATTATAGATAGGACTTGGGAAATAATCAGACTTCTCATGCGTGTATGGAAAAGTCGATTATACTATGGTGTTACTAAAAGAAAGAAGACCTGGATATATTCATAAACTAGTCGTTCAAATGGTGCGTTTGAGATCTTGAAAGAGCTGAGGACTTAGAAGACCCCACCAGACCGTCGGTGTCGAGCAGTAGCCATCGGACTCCCCTTCACCTTGCCCGCCCCAGCCGCACTACTCCGTTTATAGTACGAGCTCCCATCTTTCGAGTCGGATGAGTTGTCATAGGACGAACTGTCAGAGCCGGAATCGTAGGATGAACCATAGCTCGAATCGGAGGAGGATGCTTTGGAGCTAGAGGTGGCCATGGACCATTTGTAGGAACAGCTGGCTTGACAGCTGGAGAGGGCTGTAGAGTCGGCGGTGGAAGTTTCGGTCTCGGTCTTTGTGGCGGTGGCGGTGGATACCAGCGTCTGAAAGCCGAGTGTCAGCTCGGGCAGGATATGCAAGGGATAGACGAGGGAACTCACTTTTTCGACGGTGCTGGTTTGAAGCTGGGTGACTTTTTCGCTGACCGTCTCTTTGAGGGTGGTAGTGGCCGTAGCCGTGGCGGTGACATTGTTGACAGAGACAGAGTTGACCGTCTTTGTCTACGCGGAACATTAGCATGAGATGATTCATAGATATGAATGAGTTTAGCGAGACCGGGGACTTACTTGTGTCTGGACAGCGGTCTGCGTGACTTTGACTTCTTTCGTTGCGGTCTCTTTCTGGGTTGCCGTCAAAGTCCTACGGGTGGCGGTCAGCGTCGACAAACAATGAAGGGGGTCACGAAGGTGGGTGGTCGCAGATTCAAAGACCGAGGGAAGTGGGGATCAGGAGAGCTTACTGGTTCTTTACTTCTGTAGCAGTAGCCGTGAGTGTTGCAGTTTCTTTGATAGTCTTGTCGATGGTTCTTTGAGGGGTCAGCTCCATAGGTTTTGCGAAATGGGAAGGGTCGCTGACTGATTTTTGGTGACCTGATGCGTCTCTTTTTGGGTAGAAATTTGTACGTCTGTTTTGGTCTTGGTCACATCGACTTCTTTGGTCTGCAGAACGTGTCAGCGATCTGAAAGTGGACGGAAAGATGACATGGATGAGATGACCGTACCTGGGTCACATCGAGCGTTGCGGTCTCTTTGATCGTCTTCTCGTCGGTCCTTTGACATTCGTCAGCTCACAGTCAAGAGACGGCGATGTACACGAGACTTGCTTTGTAATGGTGGAATTGTTGACGACGGTGGCCGTGGCAGTGTCGGTCTTCTTGATAGTCTCCTTGTCCGTCCTTGATATAAAGTCAGCTTGTGCGAAGGGGAGTGGAAGACATGAAGCAACTGGGTAGCCGTAACAGTCGAGTTCTTGGTGACCAAAGAAGTAGCCGTTTCGGTCTGTTTGACAACGTCGGTCCTGCGCGAGATCAGCTTTGTTACAGAGGAGGAGACTTGTGCGAGTGCACTCACTTGGTCGCTGTGATGGTCGAGTTCTTCTGGACCAACGACGTCTGGACCTCGGTCTCCTTGACAATCTTCTCCTGCGTCCTAAATTCCATCAGCTTCAAGTCCTACAGGTTCGTATCCAGCGGCAGAATTGCGCGCTCGTCATCCGGAAGGATGAGGGTGAGGCCACAGCGGGATTGAAGACTCACTGAGTGACATTGCGGACTTCAGTCTCCCGAGCGGTGGTAGCCTCCACTTTGGTAGAAGTAGCGGTTGCCGTGACCGTCATAGTCTCCTTCTTTGTCTCAGTGCTAAATGGCCAGATGGGTCAGCTAAACGTTGTGGGGATGATATGATTGCCGATCGGGAATGAAGGGGGGCGAGGTGAAATGGATGGCTTACACAGTGTTGTCGACCGTCATCGTAGACACAGACTCCTTGGTCTCGGTGACTATAATCACATCAGCCATCAAACTCAGCGACGTGGAGAAGTACTGACCAGTCTTGGTCTTGGTAGACGCATAACAATCCTCAATGATAGAAGTCGTCTCTGCTCATCTTGTCAGCATTTTCATACCTGTGGCTATGCAGCCTAAGAGGGAACGGACGCTGGATGATAGTAGTCTCGTAACACCCGTCCATGCTATACCAACTGCCCTTCTCACACTTGGACGAGTCGGCATTCTTGTAGTACCCATAACCGCACGCCATAGAAGAGTAGGCCCAGGAAGAAACGGCGGGGTAGTACTTTGATGCGCTGCAGATCATCGTCAGGTTGCTCAACGTGGAAGGATAGAGGGGAACATACTCGTCAGACTTCATCTCTTTCCCACATCCCCAACTCCCACAAGTATCCCCTTCCTTGCTCGTATAAACTTCATGCGCCGCCATGGGGGTAGGTATCACGAACTCTGTCGTGGCGCTGCCGCTATCAGACGCGCTATCGGTAGCTGACGCGGTGGGAGAAGCAGTTGGCGAGGGAGAAGCCGAGTCGTCAGGCAGGGATGAAGCTGGGGAAGGTGTACTGAGCCCGAGGACATCTTGGGCGTTGGTGGTTGGGAGGGAGGGGAGAGTGAAGAGAGCGAGAAGGGGGAGGAGAAGGGTGATGGCCGGCATCGTCGCGAGGTGTAGTTTTGAATGGATAAGGGATGAGAAGTCGGGCCTGCCGGTTTGGGTCGAATGTGAGTATACCCCGTAGAGTGCCGTCTAGGCGTGTGATGAATATGAAAGAATGTCACAAGGATAAAAAGAGAAGGTCGACTGCCAGAGTACCTGTATTAGTGATGTACGAAGAACCAAGAAAGAAAGAGAGACAAAAGGGGAGGGGCCAAAAGAGGCAATATGCCGGCGAGATGAGCCTTTAAGAACAAGTGCAAAGCGCTCCAAGGTGACATGCCGGAACTAGAGAGCCACAGGGCACAAGGCAAGCGACGTGTGCAGGTGAGAGATAAGGCATCGGTGACCAAGGTTGCTCTTGGCGTCTCCTGGTCACACTTGTTCCCGTCGGTGGGTGAGGGCTGCATGGTGGTCTGTCGTCTGTCGTTGATCTGTTTTGTGGCTGGTGGCAAGACTAGTGTCGGCATAAGGGTGGGGTTGGCACAACTTTGGAACACGAGTAGCCTCAGTAGGCCAGAAGGCAGGGGGCGTGGGTGACATGTTCAGCGGTGGTAGCAAGGGCACGGTCTCGTCGAGCCGGCGAATGATCGCAAACATATCCAGCAAGGCAACCGGTTCGGCGTCATCCTGGACTGTAGGTGAACCGTAAATGTGGGTGTTGAGAGCAAAGGTTGGACATGGTGGTGATCCGTGATGATGGTCGTAGACGCGTCACGACTTGTAGTCAAGGCTGTGCCGAGGTGGTCGAGGCGACGGGTTTTGGGTCGGTTGGTGACCAGATCGAAGCTGTCGCCCATGCCAAGAGTTCCATGGCCGCCCATAAAAGAGATCTGAGTCAAGAATAGCCATCGCCTCATAGGTCATCAGTGGTGTAACGGGCGGAGATGAACTCTGCGCTGTGACGATGATATGCCTCCGGCTGTTCCTCTCTCCAATGTAAGCCCTCCCGTCTTTTCCAAAATCCGAAATAAACAGGCCTGCATGGTCCTATGCTCTCCATCCAATACCCCTCCCTTCCTCTTCAATACAAAGCTCAGAGCTTGCCCGTTTGTTGGTTCACCAAAGTCGAAAGCACCTTGCCGACCTCCGCATCCGACAAGTTGGCGAGCTGGGCTTCTGATTCGACTCCTCTCTCTGGATATCTTCGTCAGTCTTGCGCTCACATATCCCGCCTTACGCTCTACGAAGAGATGGTGGCGGTCAGGCCAAGGGGGGACGCACCGAATCGGACAAAGGCGCGAGGCGAGACGTTGCTAGCTTCACGAATAAGGAACTTGAGGTCAGGATTGGAAGCCTTCACAGCGGGGTATGATGATTGAACAAATTGACTACAGCCTCAAGTCAGCTATACTCTCTCCCATTTCATCCCCTATCCCTCAATCCATAGGTCCAGGATGCAAGAATCGCGCATTCAAGGGTGAAAGACTCACCGGACACCAGCCGACGCAGCAGAAGACTGGCAGAACTGCAACCTGATTTCTCTGACGGCCTTGGGGATCTGCTTGGCAAAGTTGGACATGTTGGGGGCGGTGGGAGAGAGTGATGCTGAGTATCGCTCGAGACAAATACGGGGCAGCCAATTCGACAAAGATCAAGCGCAGGGCGGCGAGCGCCGGCCAGGAGAGATCGGGACAACGGCCGGGAAGCCACTTCTTTGGTACTATTACACTATGCCAGGATAATCATGATGCAGTAGCTGTGAATGATCCATACTCTGATCACTACCATAAATTATTGACCTCTGCTGTCCATCATGTCCATGCGACCTCAGAGAGAGGATGCCATTGCATCGTGCCGTTGGGCAATTGGCATGCTAACGGCCTTGCTGGATGACGATGCTCGTTTGGTGCTCTACATCGAATGGAGTGTGATATGGTGGTGGAAATTGACTTGGAGGCTGGCCGGTTGAAGGGTTGGATTGAAGATTGTTGACAGAGAAACCAGCGTACCCAGCGTTCATGTATGCAGTATACCCTGTTGCCCGCTCGGCGTTATAGTAGAAGAAACTATTAGCAGCTTCATGTGAGAAGGGAAGAGAAACGATAATTTGGAACCATTTACTCCGTAAGAATGTCCTCCCCGGGATCCCGTCCGCGGGTCCGACGTTCTTCCGTCTTCTTCTTTTTTCTGGGAGCTAATCTTACGGGGCCTCCAGCCTCTTGTCCTTGTATGACATGCATGCAGCTGTCTCGCCCAGGGGCCAGCAGCAGAATGGAAGGTGAGGATCTACGCCCCGCCGCGTGAGATGGGAGATCGATGTATTGATTGTACCTGTCGATCAGTCATCGACTAAAGTGAGGTGTGATCAGTCAAGACGGGCAGTGCATGCAGTGGACGGTGGACGGTGGAAAGTTGTCTTCTTGCTCGTGGCGCTCGTGGCGAAGGGGACGAGGGTGACAAGAAGGGCCAGACAGATCTGACATCTGAGGGAGGGTAGACAGTAGCCCGAGGTACAAGGCCCAAGGCCCAGAGCCAGCACCGCAGCGTACAAAAGCCCGAGCAGACGTATCTGTGTTGCGCCTTGGAAAGCGGAGAAGAGAGTCAGAGAAATGTTGACTGATGAGAACACCGTACCGAGTTGGGTCGGCGCCAATCTGCCCAGCGCCACAACTAAGAGCACAAGGGCGCAGAGATGACCATCACTGGCGTGACGAAGTCACAGCGAGAGAGCAGCCCAAGCTCGCAAGCACTGTGCGGGATGCACTGTGCAGTTGCACAGGATGCACGTCCTGCCTACATATCCGTGCTCGGCCTAGGACGAAAGCGAGACATGAGCCTTTGCGAGCGTTACAAACCCCAGCCCCCAGGGCTCCCAACTCTCCCAAGGGATGCCAGGCCGAATGTCGACGAGCCTCCCACTCAATCCCAGCTGCATAAGCCTGGTATAAATACGCCTCGGTCTGTAGACATGCAATGGCTGAACCAACAGCCGACATGTGCCCATACACGCTTCTAAAAAAGATTGGCAGAGATGGATGTCGCAGGAACAGGCGCAAGGGAAAAAATGGGGCTTTCGGAATTCGCGGGAGACCGAAGTGCCATTGCATTTTAAGGGCAGTCGTCAAGGAGCTTGCACAGAAGGGGGGCATGCATGGGAGGGGTGGGAGGGGTGGGAGGGGAAAGAGGGGAAAGAGGGGGAGGGAGGGTACGTATACATACCTGGACGGGCGAGGAGGCAGGGCGTCCCGACGGGAATAGAGGGGAGCTGCGCAGGGTAATGGAAAATACGGTTCTTTTTAGTCTTCACAAGCCGGCGTGGGCTCAGGATGCATTGTCCAGCTCCTGGGATGCGCCGGGAAGGGATGCAGCCTTTCTCATCCACCGTCCATCTCCTCTGCACCGACAGCGACAGCCAGGTCCAAGGAGTGTATCTGTCTCGCATCCCCCCGTCTTCTGCCTCGAGGAGGTATAAAGACGCAGCCGCGAACAGCAGCCTTCACATCCCCCACCACCCAGCCACAGCATGCCCAGACCCCGCCCACAACCAGCAGGCCTCGGTATCGAAGACGAGCTCTCCTTCGGCTCAGACGAGGACCTCATCGCAGACGTCGGCGAGATCAACCTCCCGCCTGCCCAGGACCCATCAGACGATCACACCATGAAGGATCAGAGGCCGAGCGCGAACGGCGGCAGTCGCTTCAAGCTCTCGAGGGGGGACAAGAAGGAGGAGAGGAGCGGGTCCAAGGACAGGTATGGGAAGGACAAGAAGGACAAGCGGAACTTGAGCAAAGCGGCGCTCGTAATGGACCCGCAATTGGAGTCGGTACTGGATCTTTCAAACTACAACGACGGCAGTACGAGTTCGGGGTCCAACCCCTCGCTGCCCAGCCTCACCAGCGCTAGCATGACCTCGGTGAATGCAAAGAGGAAGGGCGGATTCAGGAGCGCTCTGAGAAACTTGGGGATGAAGAAGGAGGCGGACCCTATCGCTGTCTTTGCGTCCAAGCAGAGGCTGGAAAAGATCAGGCAGGTGCATAGCAATGACAGTTTCTCCACCGGCGAGTACAGTAAGTCTTTGCGTAGCTGTGGGAGAAGCCTGCTCACTCGCAACAGCGCAAAGTATCGACCTCTCCCTCTCTACCTACTCTTCCCGCCGCACCGATACCACCTTCTCCTCCCACTACCACTCGCCTACCAACCCGAATCCTTCCTCCACAAAGTCTATCGACGACGGGCACTCTAAACGCGCCTCTATTGCTTCCTTCCCAGCCCGTCCACCAGCACAGCCAAACACAGACACCCGCTCGAAAGAGTCGTATCTGCCCGTGACAAAGGCCATACTGAACAAATTCCCAGAAGCACCAGATGCTGGGGTGCAGAATGGTCACGCAAAGTCGAGACCGACGTTGGACATCCCCCCTCCAGTCGACTCGGGGCTCTACTCTGTCCTCTTGCCGCCATACCCTACTTCTCTCCCTTCGCTCGAGAATGTTTCAATCCTCTCTGCGACAGTCATCCGACGCGAGATCTCTTCCGTGCCCGAAAAGCAGAGAAGCACAAGTCTGAGTTCGCTGGCAGGTGGAATGGGCGGGGGTAACAACGGGGCGAAAAAGCTGGTATGGACGAGCAGGCAAATGGTCTTGACGAGTTTCAAAGTCGGCGGGAATACACCATCTGCCTCGCCAAAGGACGAGTACCCCTCCGAGGACGACGCCCAAGTCAAGACTATCGCCAATCTCCACATCTTTTCCCTCCCCCTCAACACACCTTCATCAGCTACATCGCCTCTCAAATCGCGCAACCGCTCCGACTCTTCATCTTCCCGACCCGGGTCTTCTCATCAGACAGAGTTGGAGAGGATGACGTTGAAGGGGGAGAGTACGGCTGGGTTCTGGGAAGATGCGGGGGGAGAGAGGAAGCATGTGTTGAGGATTGGCTTTGGGTATGAGGCGAGGAATAGGGATGGGGTGGAGTGGATTGTCGAGATGCGTAGCGCGTGAGTCCTCTCTCTTTCTTATATTGTGCGGCGACTGATGAGAGACAGCGAGCAACTCCGTGAATGGATCAACCAGATCAAGTCCCTCTCGACAATCCTCCGCGCAGAACAAGAAGGCTATGGACATGCTATCAACCAGGCGTATGCTTCTGGCACTGTGCGTGGGGACGACCTTGCCCTAGCACTGAGTCTGCAGCGCCGCACGCCGAGCGGGTCAGTGAAGAAGCAAGGGAGCCAGGGTGGGAGCGAGGGCGGCGGCGGCGATGTATCTCCTGCGCCGGTGCTTGCCCCGGCCGTGGCGCCAGCCGTCGACGCGAGGATGAGCGGAGAAGCCGCCCGTGCAGAATCGCCCTTGCTGCCCATAGACTCTTTGCCTAGAGTATCCGCCCAGCTCAACAGGCTCGACTTGCGTTCTTCTACGCGTAGGTCATCATTGACGTCTGGCTCTCCCTCGCCATCTGCTATAAAATCACCAGGCCTCAACGGGAATGGGCTGCATGTACCCAACAAACACTTGCCACCCGCCGTCACTCCCCCAACGGCACCTCTCCCTTCTCTCCCGTCGGATATCCCTCCATCGACTTATCCTTCACTCTCCTCTCACTCCCGCTCGGACTCTATGAGCAGGCGATACCAGCCCCAAGATCAGCCTAACCCGCTGCCGGCGACGGAAGAAGAGGGAGAGAGGCCGTTGACGGAAGCGGAAAAGATCAGGCTGGAAGCGCAGAGTCATCCTTATCGCGCTACCTCGCCTCCCATTCCTCAGACGACAGAATCGGTGGCAGTCCGTCCGCCTACGCCGCCTGTGGTGAAATCGAAAGAAATTCCGGCAGATGCGCAGAGTGTGCTTAGTGTGCCGAGTGTCGCGAGCGGGGCTAGTACGGGTGCGAGTAGGAGAAGGGCGGGAAAGAGGGTTGCTGTGGATGTTAGTGAGTGTTACCTGTTTCTATCTCCTCTTTGGTGTGGTGCTGACCGAGGGATTAGTGGCCGAGTTCCATGATGATTACGAGCCGGAGGAAGAGCAAGAACCTATCATTGAGGATCGTCCCAGAGCGATCAGGTTCGCTTAGAGGTGCTTCTCGGCGAGAGCATGAGTGTAGTCAGTGCCATCTCTACTTCTATCTAACGACATTATGTCCTTATCCCTCTTTCCTCTACTGTTCTGACGGATTATCCGTTTTGTAGCTGTACATAGACTTTCTACATCTTATCTGCTTTGCTTCTATACGACTCTTACTGGGTTGTTTGATCGTTTTTGGGATACTCTTTTCCTTTACTTCTTTGTAGATGCATACATGAGATGCCAGGGAAGACATACATAGATGACTTTTGACGAATGCATCTGTACAAGAAGCTCAACATTTCCAAAACCTTGCCAACATCGCTACTTTATTCCGCTTTATACATACCCTTACATTCCTGCCCCATTGCTGGCGGTATCATTGTGGCTGCCCCCCTTTTTCGATTCGTAGATAGCAATAGCCCCGGCCCCGAAACCGGCTATCACCACCAGGGTGATACCCCCAGCGACTACTGTCGACAACTTTGGACCTCCGCCTCTCTTGCGGCCATCGGCGGTCCTAGTGCCGTGCCTGCTGCCTTCCTCGATGTCGAGTGTTTCCATGTTCGTTCTGATACCATCATGCTCGGCGTTAGTAGATGGAGTGGCATAGGAAGGGGGCTTGTCCTCTGGAAGATCTTCTGGTGACGAGAATGGGTTGACGTCGGTTGCTGGCTGAGAAGGGTGGGTACTTCCCGGCCAGCCTGAACCACTCCTGAATCCACTCTCCTTCCCATCACCTCCATACCTAGACTGCGGGCCACTCGTGCCATATTCAAAGTCTCGAGAGGTATGGTGGTCTCCACCCAAGGGAGAGTAGTAGGTCATGACAGGCTGCTCAAGGAGGCTGTTGTCGAGCTCGTAGTTGGGATTGGTACCAACCTGCCAAGACTGAGAGGCAAGAGTATCAGGCTGGGTAGGTTTGGAGGACATGATGAGGAGGATTGGGGTTGGAGGTGAACGTCTGGCAGATGCCTTTATACGTACAGCAGATGAGGCAGACAGCATCTTCCATTGCCGAAGGAGCCTCATACGTCGGATGCGCTTCGCTGAAAGGTATCTCAATGAAAGGTATGAGGCCCAACACGGATTGGCACGGTAGCCTCCTTGATACGGCTTTCGGGCCTTCCATTTCATTCGCCACACAGTCGAAGAGGGACAACCACGCTCGAGGACCAGAATGCCAAGCCCGACTATCCTCAAAAAGCCTTGAGCAAACATGAGCTACATACCCCTCTCGACGAAGTATCTGTGAACTCTCTACTGATTCTGTGACCCCGAATCACCGTTGTCGTCTACAACAGTGCTTTTTATCATGTTCACCACCACAGCAGCTAACCCGAGGCTCGTGAGGCCCAAAATCCAGGCGGTGCTTTTGGCTTTCTTCCAGGAGTCTCTTTGTCTGCTAGGCCTCGTATCATCCCCAAATTGCTCGAATGCCTCGTCATCGTATTCGGGCTCGTAGAATCTGGTCTGGGACTTACAAGGGGGCGGGGCACCAGGCGGGAACCGGTCATTTTGGGAAGGAGCTGTCTCGCTTGGGGCACGAGTGTCGCCATCCTGAGGACGACTTGGGTCGTATGCTGCTTCAGGCTGAGATGGATGACCGTCTACGCCTTCCAAATATTTGTCATACAGGCCAGATTCCCGCGAGCTCATGCTTGGTATCATCTTGCCAGTTGGACAGAGGGGAGTGAGAGGCCGCAGGAAGACTGGGGAAGGATGAACGTCGATGAGATGCGTTGATGTTAGAATCTGTGGAACGTTGCTGAGAGGCCATGGTGCGAGAGAAACTGGATGGGTTATCGCACGTCGTCACACTTGACGCGATGAGGGGTTTTATACAAGCTTTCAGGCCCTTGGGCCGAGTCAGTCAAGGCACATTTGAATGAAAGGACAGAATCGCCCAAAGGTTGTTGCATTTGGGTCTGAGAAGGCGGATTAGATCTATATTCGTATACTGTCCTCTGTCTTGGACTCGGAGCAGCTTACACATGACAACGGGTCTACGCTTAGCAAGTCTGTCATCAAGACGATCCGGCGTTTCTCGAAGCAGTCTCAACTCCATGATAGCGTTATGAGGTGGGCATCGCGAGCCTGAGTGTCGCTAGACTTCTATAGTCTACCGAAGAGAGTCTTTTGCTGAGGTCTTTGAACAATGGTAGGTCGGCGTCGCTATACAACTCATGAGCACGTATACACGGAGAGATCGCAACACCCACCGACATCGACTTGACACTTCTTGCGTCTATTTTCGAGCTTCCAGCCTTTGCCTATCTGTTCGCCAGACTCCCAGCCTTGAGCACGTCTAGCACTGCCTTTCCCCCGGCCCGCATAGCGTCCTTCCTCGAGAATTCGAGAGCCGCCCGTTCCTCGGCCCATTGCGTCAACTCCTGTACTGTCGGCGCTTGAGCCTCATTCTCCTTCTCCAGTGACTTTGGCAGAATCGGGAGGGACCCGAAGAGATGAGACTGAGATGATCCGAGTAGAGCTACTAAAAGCTGGGTATCTAGATTCTGATCAGCATTTGTACTATAGAACACAATGTACGCACACTCGATATGTAGACTTTCCAAATTGCCGACGCCTTCTCCTTCAGCAAATACGCCTCTTTCGACCTTCTCAATCTCCTTTAAGAGCTCTTCCATCCTATCCAAGAGCCCCTCCGCGCTCGCCAGACCTTGCAACATCTGCGCTCTGTCTCCCAGCACCTCTCCTGCCTGTCCTCCTGCGATTCCCGGCGCTTGCCCTCCATAATTTGAGAAAGTGAGAGCCGGTACAGACCCAGGTACAGATCCTAGATTGGGAGGGGTCAATCCCAGGCCAAAGTTTGGAGAGATGCCGATTGGTGCGAGGGACGGGTTGGGGGTGGTACCGGGGGCAAGAGAGGATGCCGCTAGAGCGTTGGCGACATACTGGGACAGGGGAGAGGGGGCAAAAGCGGGGGAGGGGTGGGTGAGATGTGGGACGGGGAAGGGGGAGGACATGGGGGGCTGGCTGGAAGTTGAGTGATGAAAGAGGAAATGGTCGCATGGCGGGAGAAAATGCAAGAATCGCGAGGAATAATTATATGACACGGTTGTTTGGTTCGCTCGTATGTCGCCAAGTCATTGTTTGGGCTTAGCAGTGTACCAAACAACATGCGTTGGAACTCTTTTTTCTCTCATTGCTATCGAGCAAGATCCGTCGCAGTCGCCCATGCTCCTGACAATTACAATTACTGGATGTGTCTGCCGTGTCCAAAAAGCTCAACATCTTCAGCCCACCTCATGGTGGTTCGCTCCAATGCTTGATAGAGACAGAGAACTGTAAACAATCTGCATATGTCAACTCTTAATAGACCACTGGATATGTCTAAGCAGCCTCGCCATACAATTGCATCCAGCTGCTATTTTGCATACCTCTCGTCATCGCTCATCAGCAGTAATGCGAAACTTTTGACCTTTACTAATTGACTGGAGCTATAGACCACTTGGCCGTAGAGCCCAGGTCGTTCTCCTCAGCTTGAGCATGCTCAGCTACAGTATTCACGAAAGCCCTGTTACTTTCGGCTGCGCTCGATTTCTCATAGACATGGGCAGCCCATGGAGTCTCGAAGAGCGCGTTCGCTTTGTTTTTGACAATCTCTCCAAAAAATGGTGCTGCTGGCTCTACCATGACCAGTGGAGGTGTAGGCCACGCTGGGCCTGAGGGAGCTTCCATCAGCATTGGCGGCCGATGATACCGTGAAGGCACGGGAGTCACTTTCCGCGACTTGTGAGTTGGCGTCAACTTGAGGCATGTTCTCTGATTGATTTGCTGGTTGGGTTTGAGGAAAGAGCTGGGGGATGATGCAGTCCTTACAAAGAGCTGCCAGCTTTTATAAGCTGACCAATTGACCACATGACTAGCGCGCGAAGTGTGCTCGCTTGGCGTCTTCCCATTCTTCGCCAGTATCTCAGGCTTCCGAAGACCGTCCCTCTGTTCTGTCGGATTTATGGGTAAGTGATACATCTAGTACTGACCGCTAGAAAGTACCAAAGGAGGAGAAAAAATCGGCCGAAAGACACACCCTGATCCTTCTTCTCGTCAATCAACATGAGCCCCGTTCTGCGTCGTTGGTTGAAATAAATCGTTGGTTGAAATAGTTCAAGGCCAGAGGAAGGATTTGATGCCCCGTGAAGGGTGACAAGGGGCTATAAGCATATGGCTCAAGGCTACCACAAAGAGGACGGCCGAAGTGCACACGAGCAGAAAGGATAGGATTCTTTAGACGGCGCTTGTGATGCCATTTCGGCCTAACGTACCCTACTCGTACTCGTACAGAATCGCATGGTCGCCGTGTCGGACTTGGAGGAGGCTGCAGCGCCAAAGGATCCAAAATGGACGCAGTGAGTCTATGTGGTATGCATTTTCTATCTATTCGTACACTGACATCGCCCCTCTCAGAAGGTATATGTAACACATGATATAAAGAACCGAGTATGTGAAAAGGTCTGAGTGGTGATGGGTCGTAAACTATTATAATATCCTAAACAAATCGCGGAGCTTCCCCATCCAAAGCTGCCTTGCCCCTCATAAACACCGCCACCGGATATCCTCTCTCCTCCATCCGCCTGAGCACATCCTCTCCTCTCGCCTTGTCGCCACACGAGACCTCCGCACGGATCATTGCCTCGTACGTTGACGGTTCGCGGTACACGACACCGCTGCTGATGATAGCTTTTGTAGAAGGCTTGGCGTGGCCGGAGGATGTGAGGAGGGTGGGGTGGTTGTTGGGTGCGGCAACGCCAGAGACGCTGTCGCCCATGCTCTCGAATACTTCTCGGGCGCGCTCAATGGTGCCAGCCCTAGAGTAACCGTTGATGAGAACGTTGTAGACGTATGCCGTGGGTTGAACACCACTTTCCACCATCTTGTTGTGCGCCTCTTCCAGCTCGACGATAGTCGCCTTCTGGCTAAGAACGTTCAACCAAGCTTCCCACACAACAGACTCTTGGACATTGCCCTTTTGTGTTGATGGTATGCTCTCAAAGACCTCCTTCGCCTTTGACAGATCGTTGGCGTGCAAGCCGTAACCAGAGATGAGACTAGCCCAGTGGGTACCCTGCACGCGAACATTTCTGTCGCCAGACAGTCGGGAGAAGACGAGCTCCATGGAAGGAATGTCGGTGGGAGAAAGAGTAGCGTAGGCGTCGAGCAAGAGCTTGTAGGTGTGGGCAGAGGGAGGGACACGAGCTTGTTGGAGAGCAGAGTAGTAGTGGAGGACACGTTCACGGTTGGGTTGTGTCTGGAGGTAGAATTGCATCATGGTGCTAGTGTGATTGTCAGCATGGCCTCCGGTATTGTTAAATTAGCGCTTACTTGTAAGGGGGCACACGGGGTCGGAAGTTGGGCTTGGAGACCATCTCCTCGAAGAGAGTCTCCGCACTTTGAGCATCACCTACTCGGCAACAAGCATTCTGTCATGAGTCAGCCAAGCCCCAAATCCGAACGCGATCGCACTCACAATGACAGCACCGTAGGTCACGCTGCTAGGCTTGATCCCCGAGTCCTTCATCCTTCCAAACAACTCCAAAGCACTTTCAGCCTTCCTCGCCCTACTCAGCTTGCTGATGATAGTGTTGTACAAGAACAGGTGAGGCTTGACGCCCATACTGAGCGCCTCCTCCCAAAGCTCCCTAGCGACGAGCGCGTCGTCGGTAGTGTCCTTGGAAGAAGCAATCATGGTGGCATAAGCATCGGAAGAGGGGGCGAAACCAGCCTGAACGATCTGAGCTCGGTGAAGACCAGCTTCCTCGAGGTGACCAAGGTGGCAGCACGCGATAAGCATGGCGTTTTCGATAGCGTACCAGCTCTGAGCCTGCGCCTCGGGACGGACAAGACTGTGAAGGACAATCTGAGCAAGGTCATACAACTCGCGCACCTTGGGCTCGTCACTCGCTCGCGCGAGGTGATCCACCAGATTCAACAATGTCTCGAGACGAGGGACTTCCTGTTTCTGGAGACCGGTTCGGAGGATGGCATATGCGTCGAGGGGAGTGATGGAAGGGTTACGTTGAGCAAAGCGGTCGATGTTGCGGGTCAAAGCTTCAGAGACGGTGAGAGACGGCATGGCAGAAGTGGCAGAAGTCGCGGTTTCAGAAACCTCGCCTGAAGAGAGCTCGCTCTCAGAAGCAGGTTCTTCCACAGCAGGCTGAACCATCTCCTTTGCAGCATCACCAAAGACGGGACTGAGCATGCTCTCAGCCCTCTCCACACCGAACCTGAAAGCCAAGATCTCGGCCAATCGGCCAACAGCAAAGTGCTGCTGGGCCCTTCGGAGGTCGCTGTTCTCCCCAGCGTCAATCTCCTGGATGTCGGTCATCAGTTGCTCAAGGACAGTGTCGAGATCGCCCTGCTGGACCTTTTCGGTTGGGTAGGCAGCAAGACTCTCAACGAGAGTGAATGCAGCCTGCTGAGTCAGACCGAACTCTTGAGCAGAGCCAGTCTTTCGCTGAACAGCGTAGGACTGTACGACACTCTCGGCGACGACGGGGGTCAACTTTTGCTGGAAAGAGCTGAAAGCATCGATAATTTTGATTCTGTCACCAAACGGCATCTCGAGAGACGCCACCCGGTCGAGGGCAGAAGCATAAGAACGGAGGTATCGAGGAGAGAGATTGCCGGCCTTTTCGACGAGGCTCAAGATCTCAGGGATAGCAGTAAATTGTCCGGCCTGCGCAAGGATATCAATGTGCTTGATCAAAGAGTCGGGCTGGATCCTTGAAGGGAACACTGCCAATAAATCTCGGCTTCCCTTGAGGAAAGCGTCCCTCTCTTCGGGAGACGCAGCTTTAGCGGCTGCCGAAGTCAAGGCGGTGTGGCCTCGCCAGATACGGTACTGAACAGCAGACCTCGTAAAGTGCTCGACATCGGGGGACAAGTTCTTGATGTGAGACATTACAGAAACAGCTTCCAGCACCCTGCCGTCAAAGATGAGCACATCGGTGAAGGCGGCGAGGTGGGAGACGTTCAGTCGGTGGAATTGCTCCTGCTGGACGAGGGAAGTGCTGCTGACCTTGTCGAGCCACTCGAGCGCGAGGTCGATCTGCCCGGATTTGGCAAGACCAACGACGAGCTCACCGCAGGTGTTGACGTTGGCGGCGGGAATAGCGCTCGTAGACTCGGATGTCTCGGCAGACTCGGCCATTCGGCTAAAGATCTCGAATGCCTTGCTCAAGTCGCCCACTTGCAAAAAGGCGACAAAGCCCTTTTCGTACGACTCGCGCTTAACGCCCTCGATCCTGGCCGCAGACCTTGAGCTTCCCCACTCCTCCGCGCTCGCCTGACCTGCGAGTGTTTCAAACTCTTCCCAGACCTTGCCCAACTCGGCCTCCTTTCCGGCCTTGGCGGCAGCCACGATAAGCTGCTTGTAGACCGAGACAAGCCCCTGCACCTTGTTCTCCCTCCCGAACTGCACAATCTGCTTCATACCCTCCAAATCCGGCGAGTCCTTCAGCGACATGGCAGCCAAGAGAGAGCCGTAAGTGGACGCCTCAAAGTTGGCCTGACCGGTGAGGGCAGCAGCGCGGAAAAGCTTGAGAGCAGAGTTCAAGTTGCCTTCAGACATGTACCTTTCAACGTCGGCATCACGGCTGACAGCCTCTGCAGTGTCCCATGGGTATCCGCAAGTTTCCTGGAGCCAAAGACCCCAACGTTTGGTCATATCCCAAGAGGCCTTGTTTTCCAAAATCTCCTGTTCTCGCATAGACAAGGCCCTGATGACAGTCCCGTAAGTGGTGTTGTCGGGGATCAAGTCACGTTCCAAGAGCTCATTGTAGAGCTCAAGAATGGGGGCGATGCTTTTTCCGGGGGTGCGCAGTTGGAGGAGGGCATAGAGACAAGTGTTGTAGCCTCGAAGGGTGAAGGATGACGGCAGAGGATAGGCGCTGGCAAGCTCGGGTAAACCAGGAGCAGCATCGGGAGAAAGAGGGGCGAGTTTTCGGGGGGATCGGTAGTGCTGTACCAGACGCTCAGTGGCCTTCGCGTCGTAATTTGAGCGGGCCTGGTTGAGCGCATTGAGTATGGCCTGTTCGAGCAGCTTGTCGCTCTCTGATTCAGGAGAGGTTGGGCTGGAGAGGTCGAATGGAGGCTGGTCGAGAGATGGGCGCTCAAGGGCAGCAGTAGAGTTTCGCCTGAGCCCACCGAGCTTTTGGCCGAAAATGTCTTCCTTCCCGGCAAGATCCATCAAAACTCGCTTGGATTGTCCCATAGTGCGGCTTTTTGGTGTTTGCACACGCGGTGTCATCCTCTCACGCTCCTCAATCGCCTCGACGTCCTCAGCTTCCATAGCACGCGTACTCGTCGAAAGTGCGCGAAGGCTAATAGATCGATGCTGGGGAACGCCGACTTGTAGAAGCTCGAGAGGTGTCGAGGACCGCGAAAGCAGTTGGGGGGTAGAAGATCGCGAAAGAGGTACTCTGCCAGAAGCATAGTTGGCAATAGACCGTCTCCTCTGCTTTTGGTCAATGTCGACGACGGTAAACTCTTTTCCACCCTTGCGGGCCTCGATTTCACGCCTAGCTCGGACTGATTCGTTCATGTAGACGATTCGGGGAGCTTTTGACAGGCGCTGGCGGAGGAGAAGGGAGGTGTTGGGGGAAGCATTCTCCTTCTTTTCATCGAGATTTGTGCTCGAAGAATCGGCAGAGGCGGTTTGAGGCAGCGACAAGAATGCTCTGGCATGGCCCTGCTGCGAGTCAGATGTAATTCACAAGCTGAAAGAGATGTACTGACAGTGTATCCACCACCGGCATTCGCTCCACCACCATAGCCAGCTCGGCCGGCATGTCCAGAGGCACTACCAGTCTGCGCCGAGTGCTGTCCATGAATCGCCAAGGCATTGCTAGAGCCGTGCTGAGGGAGGTGATGTAAGAGGGAAGGGTTGGAGGTAAAGTGGTCGGGGGAGGCGGGAGAGTGGGAAGAGGGGAGACGGATGAAGGGACGAAGATGGGCACTGCGAACATGTCAGTTGGGGATCTCAGGGGTGGGCGGTACTCACGTTGCCTTTGTGAACATAGTGCTACAAGATATGGGGGTAAGGGGTGGGGAGGTGAGGTGGCCTCCGAGGCGGAGGGGATGCTAGGATGGGAAGATGAGGACGATGAAAGAGGAGATGAAAGAACAGATGAAAGAGGAGATGGGCGCAGTGTTCATTGGACTTTTCTGCCGAGACGCATGCGAATTGGTGGCAGCCTCCACCTCCGTTTTTACCCGCCGGGACCAATTATTTTCACACTCACGGCTCATCGGCGTTTGCCTCGCTCATCCGCCCCGTCTCGTCATCCCTCTCGTCTAGTGCTGCGTGGTCTTCTCTGCACCATTCACATCAACAGCAAGCATCATGCATACATAAAGATAGTCCCTCGGCAAAGTGTCCGTAATCACGTCAAAAGTATACTCTCCCCTCTAATACAATCTGATCTCTCCTCTATTCTAAGTTATTCTATCTTCTCGACATTACTTCCCAAGGACACCCCACATTCTAGTCTAGCTTTCAAAGAAGACTACTTTTACAGCATACTGCCGACAAAGGCAGAGGCACCCATGATACCGGCGAGGAGCCAGCCGAGGGCAGAAGTGGCAGACACGCCAGAGCTCGAGCTCGAGCTGGAAGAGGAGGAAGAAGAGTTGGATGAAGAGGAGTCGTTGGAGTAGACCTTCAAGTAATTGATCTCAAACTATGACTTTGTCAGTTTGGTCCACGAGCCGCGAGAGAGAACTCACGTAGGCGGTGTCGTAGTTGGTAGAGTCAAGCACGTAGGTAGTGTAACAAGTGTCGGAGCCGCTCAAAGCAGAACAACCAGTGGTGGAGAGGATGTTAGACTGACCAGCCCAGGAGCCACACTGCATCTTCGTTAGCTTGCCATCCACCAATAAAATATAAAGGAACATACAAGTGTAATGTCAAAGACAAGGGACTGGTCACCAAAGAACTCGGTGATGTCACAAGTGTTCGAGCCCCAATAAGCACTAGGGGTACCCAAGCTGCTGGTGTCGATGCTGTCGTTGGCATTGGAGACGGCATCGGGGATGGCAGATCGCTCAAAGAACCAGATGCTGATACCATCCTCAGAGAACTCGGTCACGAACGCACCGCCGCCGTTCGACGCGAAGCCAGAACCGTAAGAGTTGTAGTCAGTGTCGGTGACACCACAGCCAGAGTTGTCGTTGTCAGAGTAGTAGCACGAGGTGTCGTTGACGGTACCAGAGTACTGGGTGCTGGAAGCCTCGAGGGAACAACTGCGAGATTGTTAGCAGGGGAACTGTGGAGGCGCGTGGGGAATGACTGCGACTCACCCGTCCTCAGTGTGCAAAGCCATGTGGTTCGAGTAACCCATGTTCACGCCCTCGATGGTATCAATCTCTCCCTGCTCAGGCCAGGTGGCACCGGCACCGTAACTCCAGAACGCAGGCCAGACGGAACAACCATAAGGCAAGTGGACGGCGTCCAAAACCCATACCGAGCCAACAGAGTAGGTGTCCTCGGAGGTGAGCCTGATGGTGTTTCGCTTTTCGTTGTAGGCCACGGTAGAGGTGTTGTCGACCTTGATGACGGCAGTGCCCGCATCGGTAAGGTAGGTGAGCTCGGGCGAGCCAGTCGCGACACTCTTGTTGGCATACTATAGATGGTCAGAGGCGGTTATTTCCGGATTTCAATGGGCTCACGTAGGCATCACCGTTTGTGGTGTTGTCGTAATAGCCGTAATATTGCTATGAAGGTGGTCAGCCCGGACAAGGCTGCAAGTAAGATACTCACCCATCGGTCAAAGAAGGTATCACCCTCATAACTTCGAACCAGAGGCGTGCTCGCCTGCACACCAGCACCGGCCAGAACCAAGCCAAAGACTGCAGAAGCGGTGAATCCAAGCATTATCGTCGATTCGAGGTCGAGTGAAGTCTCTGTTGCTTGAGATGTAAGGAATGTAAAAGAGAGATTGGATGTTGAATCGTGCGACAAATGCAAAAACAACGAGAAAAGAGAGTTTCGCGTACTTTTATATAGGCGTCGACGGCGACGTTAGCGCAGTCGTCAAATAAAGCCTTCATCTCGTTGCGCTTTGCGACGGCGATACCAGCGCTACTGGGGTAAGCGGTGCCCTTCTTCATATCATGAGGCCCGTGCGATGCAAGCGCAATGGGATCATGGCATGTATGGATGGTAAGAGAGGTGCGTAGGCATTGCTTTGTTGTGCAGAAGGGATGAAGCGCGACGCGCAGCGAGAAACCGGAAAATGCCCTAGCTGCGATTTGCAGGGTCATTTGTTTACGCGTGCGTGATGTCATTGGCAAGATCGGGGCACGCCGCCATGGCAACGCGCTGTTGGAAGGTGGGTTTGTTGTTGACTGTTGCTCGACTGGATGTCACTTGACGACTACTTGGGGTGGAGCGGGCAGGGGGTACTGTTCGGCTGATACTTGCGCGTGGCGCAGACAAGGGAGAGGGTGAGTTATAGTCCATTTCGATGGCCGTGGAGAGATGTGACGGCTCTTGCTGTTCCGACAGCCCACCGGGTCTACGCTTCGAAGCTTGGTGTACTATACGAGTGGTCTTTGCAAGAATGCAAGCAGGCGAGCAAGCGCGTGGATGATTGTCGCGAGAACCTGCTGAGAATAGAACCTGCTGAGAATATCATGAAATATCTAAATGATCACTTGGAAAGAGATCGAATACGAGCGCACATGGAGCGCCGAGTCAGGAGGACCAAACACACACCATACGTAACCCAAGTAACCCCGCGCCCAGACCCTTCAGGCCTTCTTGTGGCGAGCATTGTGCACTCAATTTGATAATTCGTTCCATGCTTTGCTTACATTAGGGTTACGATGCTATTGTGTATATACTCTAGACAATCATCCATCTAGATGACTCCTGAAAACGCGAGTGAAAAAAGGTGTGTACTATAATCTATGACATTTTAGAAGAATTCTATATGGCCATGCGGGAAGGTGTGAGACGGCTGAGGGTCGCGGGTGATAATGGAGAAAGGGGCGCTTGGGGGGCACCGTTGGCGAAAGCAAGAGGAGATCCGGGAGAGTTGGGCGCAGTGGAAGCACTCTGCTTTTCAATGCTAGCCTTCTCATCTGGTTTATCGTCAGTACTGCACCAACCATCAAAGACGCAAAGACTCACTGGAAAAGTGGTGGAAAGCATTCCTGCTCAACTCATCTTCGTGCTCATGATCATGCTCATGCTCGTGCTCCTCCTGTATAGCCCTCTGCTTCTCCTCATACATGATCCTCAACTCTCTGACCCTCTGCATCCTGTCCTTCTCGGCGTCGTAGGCGTGATGCCTTTTCAGAACGACCTTTTCAAACCACGAAAGATGTCGGGGATGCACGGCAATACCGTGGTACTCGTGAGGTCGGCCATCACGGACATACGCCCAATAGCGGTCTTGTTCGCGTAGATCTAGACCGGTAGTGTCGGGGATGAATAGAAGGGTGACAAGAGCCCCGGCAAAACCGAAGGGAAAGACGATCCAAAATCGCTCTTGGGTGCCGACATAGTTGTAAATGACGGCGGGGAGGAGGGCACCAATCTTGCCGCTAGCAGCGGACAGACCATGCGCGGTGGCTCGAACGGATACAGGGAACACCTCGGCCGCTAGATTATCGTCAGCTATGCCCGTTCGCTAGCCAATGAAGGACATACCGAGGATGAACGACGTCGAGTTGGGCCCACACTTCGACCGTCGTCAGCGAATGAACCCCTGATGGGACGAGCCAACTGTACTCACCTGCTGGAAGAAACTGGAGAGGTAGTAGATGATTTGGAAACCCTTGATGTGCTCGGGAGAAGAGAGTTGGGTGTACCAGACTGACGCCGCGTTAGCTTAGACTTTGACAACCTCGGGAAAGACTCACTGGCAGCAATCATAAAGAGCACAGCATCACCCAAGAACCCGATAATCTGCATCCTCTTCCTTCCGTAGAACTTGTGGTCCATCAAGAAGGCGGCCATGTAGTACCCGACCAAACTGACACCAATGTTGACCATGTTCCAGTTCCAAGTGACAATCACATTGCCCGAGGCACTGGGACTGATGATCTCGATGAATGTAGAAGCAAAAAGCTTGTTGCCGTAAAACAAGAAATCGTTAAAGAGCCAACCGAGGGTGGTACCCACAAGTCGGCCGGCAAAGTGGGTGCTGACGAGCTTGAGGGAGGCAAGATCGTAACCAGACTGGTTCACTCGCATGTTCTTCTTTGATCGGGAAAGGGCAGCAGAGCTGTAAGTCTTCTTGTAGTATCGGTAGTAGGCGAGCCAGAGGGTCATGACAGCCATGATACCGAAGGAGACTCGGAAGACGTATTGGGCAGAGACCTCAGAGTAAGGAGGGTTGCCGGAACCGTGGTGGAACATGAGGAGGAGGAGGATGAGGACGGCTTGATTGAAGAGCTGACCCCAACCTTGCATGAGGAAAGCGAGAGCGACGTTACGTCCTCGGTGGAGCTTGTCGTCTCGCTGACCGCCGGCAACCTGTTTTGACTCCATGGCGGTGGTAGAGGTCATGGGGTATTCTCCACCAACACCGATACCGTAGAAGAATTGCGCGAAACCGTAACAAATGACCCAGCCCTCGAGGGTGACACCCCAGGAGGAGGTAAGCATGACCAGACCGACTGCAAAATTGTCAGGCATAATTCTCTGGAGTGAGGCAAGACTCACGAGTCATGACCAAGGCATCCTGGACAAGACCAAATCGACGACCAATCCAGTCTCCTTCGAAACCGACCAAGACCTGACCCAAGATGATACCGATGATTTGCAGATAGTCGACCTATTTTCAAATCAGCTCCGCAGAGTGATGCAAGGTGCATGGCACTTACCGCAGCGATCCAGTTGGAACTGCAGACCTCGTGAGTATCCCAGCAAGTAGGCCAGACGGCCTTGTAGAGGGCAGACAAATTACCGATAGAGAACAAAGCGTAGCCTTCAGTGAAAAGACCGAAACCGCCCATGACATAGCGGCTGAAGTAGGCGCTCATGGGACTGAGAGGATCCTTCTTGAACATGCCCCAGATATGCTTGAGTTCTCTAGCAACCTCGTCGTTGTTCTGCTTGTTGACCCACTTTCTGCGCGCGTTGAACGGCAGATCCGCCCAGTAGATACCATCCGTATACGAGTCATCCGGACAGAGATCGTGATACAGCGGATGCGACTCGTTGAACTCTCGGTTGTTGACCTTGCCGTCGTGGTGCTGCTTCTCCTCTTCGCTCAGGGAGAGCTTGGGCGGGGGAAGAGTACCGTCGTCGGAAGATCCTGGGGAGGGATTTGTGGGGGGCATGGCGGGGGTGTTGGTGAGGGAGATGATGGTCGGGGACGGTGCGTCCCCGGGAGCGATCATAGGGGTCTGGTCATTGTCACCCCGGAGGATGAATGACAGAGCCATGGTGCTTGGGTTCTAGCGAGGAGAGTGGCGAGGTATGCGGAGATGGAGGATGGGGGACACTTTTTGTGGGCTGTCTTTTGTACGCGTAGGGTGGGTGGTGGGTGAGCACTGATGGATATAAATATTAAATATATACTGCATTGCATCACCCGATCCCTCATTTTCGAACGTTTGGACTTTGGAGCTGCCACGAACGTGGGTCGCTTGTCGAATCAGGAATCCTCAAAATTTAGCCGCATCAGCGCCAGGCACCAACGCGTGGCACCCGCCGCTTCGGCACGGGATCAAATCCACTCACGCAATAAATGTGTATGTATATTCCAACTGGACTGGACATAACATCATGGTTGTTGTGACATCACACTCTCGAGGCTCATACAAGAACGACAAAGAGCCCAATACATGACAATATGAGTGATCCGACCCTCTCAAGCGCCGGCAGCATCAGAGTCCTGATTACGATAATCGATAGCTTTGATGAGAGTATAGAGCCTATCGCTAATGTCAGCAGACTCCTTGTATACTCTTCACGATATTTACGTGGTGATAGTCGGCACTGATACCCCAAGCCTGATACCCTCTCGTACAGGCACACCCAAGATCACTCCCACCTCGGAAGGCCGCCCCGCCTTGACATCCGCCATCATACTCGACGGCAGCCCGGGATACTCTACATCCGTGCATGTCTTGATGAGTTCCTCCACTTTACCTTCGGGTACTGTGAGGCCCTTGGCTTTGGCGACGGCGGCCACTTCGTTCATGATGGAGTAGCACAAGGGCAGGGCAAGGTCGGAGGAAGCGAAGAAGGGGCCGGTTTTGAGGAGCGTGGCGGCGGGAGCTTATGTAGAGATAGGAGAAGGGGGACTTACCAGCAGCAGTTCCAGATAACTTTGACCCATCTCTCGCTTTGGATGTCATCAGTGACAGTGCAGTCTCCTTTACCCGCTGCGAGCCAGTCGACGAGCGTCTTCAGCTTTGCATCTTCCTCCGTCTTGTCGCCTCCTTTCCTGTAGTCTACGCCAATTGTCAGGCCTTCGCGATTGAATTGCTCGACACCGCTATTATCTGACAGTGTCTTGCCGCCAGTCCAGACGACGGCAGAAATGATGGTGTTGTCTGGGAAAGATTTGTGAAGAGGGGCTTCGGCGCCGACACCGTTTTGGAGCAGGACGACGGAGGTGGAAGGATTTAAGATGGGGCGGAGGTGGTCCGAGAGAGAGGGACTGGCATCGAGAAGGGCCTTGCTGGCGCACAGGACTGTGAGAGTCAGTCGTACCTCTGGCGTGATTACGGATGCTCACTGTAGGAGAACTCGGCACCGCTGGCAGCAGCTTCGTCGGTGCTTTTCCACACTGCGCTACGTTAGCTGTGATCGAATGGAGTGGACAAGACTCACCACCTGCAAATTTCATCCCCGTATGATCCCCAAACTTGGGACTGACAATAGCAAAGCCATTCTCCTTGACCTCTTGATAACTGCTCCTCGCGACGACGTGAACGTTGCAGCGCTGTGAGAGCTGGAGGATGGAAGCGTAGATACCGCCGATACCACCGAGGCCGAACAAGAGGACATTAGGCTTGGAAGACATGATGAGATGAGAATACAGCCACAAGAACAATAATGTAGGGAAGGGTATAAATGTGGTTCGAATGGTGCAGCCGGTAAATCACGGCACAAACCACGTGAAGTTGTCCTTCGGCCTCCCGGAGGGCCCGGACCGTGAGATGCATATTATTGTGCTCTGAAATCGCGGCGTTTTCATGCGTCGAGAGGGATTGTATTATTATATATTATTATGTGCATGCTTGGGGACTGGTTTTGGAGTACATACCACCTCGAACATGATCCGAGCGAGCATCTCTGCGCTGGGTAATGGCACTGGACGGCGATGTGGCGGGGGTCAGCCGCTCGCGCGCATCTCCAGGCAGACATTGTCGACCATTGCAGAGCCCGCCCCAAAGAACAATGCCAGGTGGCTCATGGGTAGTGCTGTAAGCCTACTAACAACCTTGTGACCATACGCTGATACCACTATCGTAGGCTGTGACATTAGCAGTCGCCTGCACTTACACCATCCTCCGTCCCGTCCATCTCAAAGACGAAACCAGCCATCTACCAGACCCTTCAGCCCCCACAGATCAAGCCTCTGGAAGGGGCCTGATACCGTACATCGAAGTCAACAAGCACAACCAGCCGGATGATTGCTGGGTCGTCATCGCTGGAAAGGTGTATGATCTGACAGAGGTGCGGCTTGCTCTTCCCGCGTTGAGACAGAGCTGACCGTTTTGCAGTTTGCAGAAAACCACCCAGGGGGTATAGCTCCCATCCACAGAGTGGCCGGTCGAGATGCTACTGCCATCTTTGCGCCCATACATCCACCTGGTACTATCGAGAATGGTCTGCCTCCCGAGAACCTCGTGGGGACTGTAGATCCAGCTACGCTGCCGAAAGTGGTGGATAAGAAGAAGGAAGATGGCAAGGAGAGGCGAGTAGACTTGGCCGAGATTATAGGTCTACCAGACTTTGACGTGAGTGTCGGTCTTCCATAGATAAAGTACTGGGGACTGATGAGTAGTAGGCTGCGGCGAAAGCCAACCTTACGAGCAAAGCCTGGGCATACATGTCCTCTGGAGCCACAGACCAATATAGTATGCCCCCTGCCTATCGTGAGACTACAGCATACTAACCATGATGCAGCACTGGATCTGAACCGCAAAGCCTTCAACTCCATCCTCTTCCGCCCCCGCATCATGATCGACGTCGAATACGCCGACACCCGTACCGAAATGCTCGGCCAAGAGACCTCTCTCCCCATCTTCATCTCTCCCGCCGGTATGGCCAAGCTCGCCCATCCTTCTGGCGAATGCCTCCTCGCTTCCGCAGCTGGCAAGAGTAACATCATCCAGATGATCTCCACCAATGCATCTGCGCCTTTGTCTGATATCATCTCGTCTGCCACGTCGCCGGATCAGCCGTTCTTTATGCAGCTTTACGTCGATCGGAATAGGGCCAAAGCGGAGGCATTGTTGGAAAAGATCGATGGCTTGGGGCTAAAGGCGATCTTTGTGACTGTTGATGCTGCTGCTCCAGGCAAGCGGGAAGCGGACGACCGTAGTCGGGCCGAGGTCGAAGTCGCCTCTGGTATTTCTGGTGGAAAGATCGGACAAGACACCAAAGGTGGTGGGATCGGTAGGAGCGTGGGTGGGTTTATCGATCCGAAGCTGAGCTGGAAGGATCTGGAGTGGTTGAGGAGTCATACAAAGGTGCCGATTGGGTTGAAGGGGGTGCAGACGGTGGAAGATGCGATCAAGGCGGCGGAGATGGGGGTAAATGCGATCTATCTGTCCAACCACGGGTGAGTCACGGTTCTTTGGGATAGTCACTGACAGGGTGCAGCGGCCGGGCTCTCGACGGATCACCTCCAGCCATGTACACCCTCCTCGAAATCAACAAATATTGTCCCGACCTCCTTGAAAAGTGTGAGATCTATGTCGACGGCGGCTGTCGGAGGGGCACAGACGTCGTGAAAGCTTTGTGTTTGGGAGCCAAGGGTGTTGGGATGGGCAGGCCGTTCTTGTACTCTCTAACGTATGGCGAGGAGGGGGTGATTCACGCCATTGAGAGTGAGTTCTGAATTTGGAGGAGACAAAGCTGATGAGTACAGTCATGAGGGACGAAATTGAGACGACCATGAGGTTGTTGGGGGTTACCCGCCTGGATCAGCTCGGTCCGCATCTGGTAAGTTGAGAGTATCTATAGTTCAGCACACACGCTGACCCTCTCAGCTCAACACCCGAGCACTGGATCCCCTGGTCTTTGAGCAACCCGTGTGGGGACCCAAAGAGAAACCTCCGGCATAACATCTTATGCATCTTTCTTCTTATGTCTCTATTTCTCTCCCACTTAGTACTTGAAGACATTGTCGGAAGTGTAACCCAACTCCTTGAGCGCACCAGCCAATTCACCCTGCTTCATACCGTCCTTGGGTCCAGAGATGGCCTTCATCTGGCCGGGAGGACCACAGACGAAAGCACGGACCTTGTCACCCTCGGTCCTGGGGAAGACCTTCTTGATGAGGTCGGGGGTGATGAAGCCGGTCTCACCCTTCCAGCCCCAAGGAGCCTTGTCGACGACGTACTTGATCTCGAGTCGGTCGGGGTGGGCCTTGGCGAGGGCGTCCCATTCCTTCCTCAACACTGCGATGAATCAGCCTTGACCTTTTTAGATGAGATTAAACGCACAGATGTCAGCCTCAGAGACGTTAGAGTAGATCAAAGTCCACTTGGTCTTGTCCTCGGGGAGAGACAAGGAGTGGGTGATCAACTGCCACATGGGAGTGATACCGGAACCACCGGCGATACAGAGACCCTTGTCGAAACCATTGGGCTGGTACTTGAACTTTTGGAGGGGACCCTTGAAGAGGACCTGGGCACCGGGCTGTTGACCGGCGAGCCAGTGGGAGAACTTGCCGTCCTGGTACTCCTTGATCATAACCTCGATGGAGCCCTTCTGGTTGGGAGGAGAGACGGGAGTGTAAGGCCTGCAGACGATAAGCGTCTGTCTCCGGAAAAGTCAAAATACCTACCTGATGACAGGCTTGCCCTTGTCATCCTTGAGCTCAAAGTCGCCCTCGGGAGACCTCATGAGCACAACGCTGGCAACCTCACCACCGGAAGTCTTGTCCTTGCCCTCCTCACCAAAGCTAAAGTGGTAGATGTTGGTGTTGTGGTTGTACTTTTCAACCTTGGTGAGGGTGAAAGGAACGAAAGAGTCCCTGATCATCGCATGAGTCGGGGTTCTTTAATGGGAAGGCAGATACGTACTTGACGAGGGCAGCGATGGAAGGAGCAGCTCGCTCGGCGGCGTCCTTCTGGGCCTCGGCGGACTTGACGCCCTCACTGACCTTGCTCTCAAGCTTGTTCTTGATGTCTGCACCATTGTCAGCTGGGGCCGTAATGTGATCTTCGGACATACCAGGGTTGGACTGGAGGTAGGCATAGGCGCCGATACCAGCCTGTCGATCGAATTGTCAGCAATGCCACAATCTGTGAACGCTTAGTGAGCTCACAGCACCGGCAGCACCAGCAATAAGACCCCAGTCTGCGAGATCCGGTCAGCATGAGCTTGTATATGGTAGGGAGATACTCACTAGCACCGCCAGTGGGGGCGCCAGAGGCATAGCCTCGGGCCTGGGTGACAGTCGTGGACTGGAAGAGGTGAGCTGGGTGTCTGTGGGCGAGGGCAGCGGACGTACAAGGGCAGAGGGGCGGGCGAGCCTGGCGGAGGAGAAGAGACGAGCAGCCATTTTGTATGTATGGGACGAACAAGAACTGAACAAGAACTGAACAAGAACTGAACAATCAGATCAGAGATGACCGCACATTTCACATCATCCCAGATCAGGACACCCCGTCTAGAAATCATCATCCCTATATATATACATTGTACAACGGTCGTGGCGTGATGCTAATGCTACTATATACTGGTACATATGCTATGCTGCAGTCCGTGATGATGTTGGTGATCATGCTTTCCCTATCGACAGTCGTGCTTGCAGTGCTGTGATTCCTCCGATACCAGTTTCTGGCGGCCCATACCCTCCAGGCAAGGCATTTCGGCAGACCTATAGCTCAGAGTCAGACCATCGAAGTACTGGAGGTTGTCAATACTTACAGGACACTCCCCTTCAACAACCCAGCCTTTGTTCCCCAGATTCCAGAGCCCCGCAAGGACCTCCCTCGGCTCAAGATTCATGTCGTCGCCCCCGCCGTCTTCCATCACACAGGCCAACGCCGCTTCCCTATCCCCGGCACTCAATCCTTGCCCTCTGAGCGTGTCATCATAGGACATTTTCTTGTACGCCAAAAAAGTTTCTTTGAGCCCGTCGGGAGTCCAGTGAGCGGGTTGCGGCTCTTTTGGAGTGGTGTGGGCGCGTCCGCCACGAGCTGCACCTCCTCGACCTCGGCCACGGCCACGGCCACGACCTCCGCGGGAAGCCGATATTCCTCGAGCAGCCCATGGGTCGGGCTGGGGGTTGGGGTTTCGCCGTATAGCTGCGGTAAGGGCAGAATGGAGACAGCCAGCACAAAGGATATGGCCACTGCAAAGATGGTTAGACGAGTACAAGGAACGATGGATGAAATATGTACCATGGTGTCAGGATGGCAGGACTAGGAGCGTTGAAGCAGATCGGACAAGCTACAACAGGTCAGCAGGGTTATCAGTGAACCCAGCGACGACTTACCATAGCCAGTTGCGAGTGCATTGTCCTCATCGATCCCTGGTTCTTCCACCTCGACTAATTCCCTCGTCTTTATATCCATCAACACACTGTCCTTAATTTTTTCGACCGCCACCACGCCGTCCTCCTCGTCGGAAGAGATCTCGATAGCAACTGCCGGAGGAGCCCGGCCTTTCCCCTTCTCTTTGGCAGTCAAACGGCGGGTGTAGGTAGAGTCTGGAGATGACGAGCTCGGCTGCGCATCCGGAGTGGAGGAGGAGGAAGAGTTACGGCTCGCTCTGCCATTGACAACACCCGCATGGACATTCCGAGATGCCCGTCTCGCGGCATTCACCGACCGTCCTCTGCCCCGACCTGTTTCAGGCGAGATGGCGATAATACTCCCCTGGCTACTATCTTCCTCCTCATCGCTATCTGAGATTTGTATCGGCGCGTTGGAAGCGCCTCTGGGTTGCGTCGCCGCCGCTACCGAGCGAGTGACAGCAGTCCGCCGGGTGGAACGTTGTGAAGGCATCTGGCTGACTTCTCGACTCCCCGTTCTCGTTCTCTTTCGGCTTCCGCTCGGTTTTAGCGCTGTGGCACTGCTTCCGCCGCTAGAAGAGCTACCGACACTGCCACGGGAGCCGTCCCTCAACCTGCGTCGGGGGAGGATAGGGATATCGGCGATGGTGGGCCTGGGGCGGAGGGAGGCGTGTGGTGATGGCGGGCTCGGGCGTGGTTCCGGGGGCATTTGCTTGGGGGGATACGGAGATAGAGAGACTGAGATTATACAGATGTTGATGCAGAAACGAACAATTGTCATCCATTTGATGGATGCATTGGCCCCCTGCGGGCCTTTCTCCAGATCTACTCTAGATATAGATAGGCGCGCGTGAAAACCCTCGGGACTTCTCTTTGTTCGTCATATCCAGCCCTTTTTTCGGTCTTGTTCTTTCTCTCTTCATCACACTCAGACTATCTCAACATGCCTAAGGTAAGCCTCAATTGTCGGTATTCGGTAGTGGCATAAGCTGACGGAAACTCGCAGAACAAGGGAAAGGTTCGTTGCTTTTCGCCGTCACGGCGCGTTGGAATAAAGTGTTCTGGACAAAACGCTGACTGATTTCTCATTATAATTCAACTCTTATTCACTCTCACTCGACTACCCTCGATCATCCGACCCTCCCAATCATGGAATCATCTCAATATCAACCATTTCATGCTTGTCGACACCAATCCGATTTTTTCGATATCTCACGCCACCCACTTCGTGTCTATACAAACATGATCACTTTTCCTATCCAACTGCAACTCGACTCAACAGGGCGGCAAAAACAACCGACGAGGAAAAAAGGACGACGGTGAAAACAAGCGAGAGTTGATCTTCAAGGAGGATGGCCAGGGTGCGTTCAATCTCCGTTCATCCTTGCTTTGTCCGAGAGCGAGAGGCGTATTGGCCCCAGGACCAGCCTGGACAATCTTCTAGAGGGTAGAGGCTCACGTCGACACAGAATACGCTCAGGTCGTAAAGATGCTCGGTAACGGAAGATTAGACGCCAAGTGCCAGGACGGTGAGAACCGACTTGCCCAGATCCGAGGACAAATGAGGAAGAAGGTGGGTTACTTCTTTCTATGGCTGAGTCTTGAGCTGACCCGTGTGTCCAGGTCTGGATCGTTGTCGGTGACATTGTTCTCATCTCTCTCCGAGAGTTCCAGGACGAGCGTGCCGATGTCATCCACCGATACACTCCCGACGAGGCCCGAAACCTCAAGACCTACGGTGAATTGAAGGACTTCCAGTTGGTGGAGAACCAGGAAGCTGGTGGCGAGAGCGACGAGGAGGGTGGTATTGAATTCGAGGAGGCTGATATTGATGACATCTGTGAGTTTTGTTGGTTTGTGCAAGTGGTGGAGACTAATGAGTGCGATGTAGAGTCTGTCGGGTGTATATATATCTCAAAATGCATTCTGCAGCGATGCCCCAACATTCATTCCACGAGAAAAAGCCTGCATTTGTTGGACTGAATTACTAATACAAATCATCGGTACTCCAGCACAAATCAATAATCAGAGACTGTTGATAAAGTCCGGATTCTGTCTATCGGTCAAGTCCTGGGCAAGTCAGCGCGTAGGGACAATAGATGGCTGGACACTCACCTCGAAAGCCCGGGCATTCTCCAGGTAAATATTCTCCCTCTGCGGCCTTGCGACCCTCGATACCCTGAAGATTTTTCTTGTTGCGGCGAGCCAAGAGCATGATGAAAGATGATGAAACCGCCATCTATCCCACGTCAGACGATTCCAGCGCGGGTAAGTGATCAAAACTCACAAAGTGCGAGGTGAATGTAGAGTGAGTTGAAGTAACGAGGACCCCATTCCGATTGGAAGATTTGCGTCGAGATTGCTTTTCCTCCAGCCCAACCAATGACTTGGACCTCTGTCAGCAATCGTCATGGGTCTCCAGCGGCTTACTCACATGTAACGGCGTATTAGGTGATACTCTTCTTTGTTTTTGACCCGCAGAGTTTCTGGCCAAGAGCATCAAGGTTGCGGGATAGCACTGTGTAGCATGTCAGATGTGCCAATGAACCTAAGGGCTATTGACTTGCAGCTCCGAAGAATTGCATCACGGGGAAGGAGACCACCAAGCCACCCTTCGTCTTGCTCGTCGGCGCGACAGTGAGTAGGACCACGGTGCCCACGATGTTTGGGATGGTGAAAGCGATCATGGTGTAGCATGTCTGGTTGGTCTTTCGGATGCAGAAACTGGAGCTCGTGAGCTGAGATACCAGGTTTGTGGGGGTTGAGCTTACCCCATGGTCAGGAAAGTGATCACGCCCATAGCGCCGATAGGAATACTCAGCAATTGAGCATCCAAGTTTGAGAAACCAAAGGCCTTAGTGATGAGCAGACCTGAATAGGTGCTGATGCCCCCGACTACCAGAGTGTTGAACACGCAAAGAGCGAAGAGACACAAAGTGAAGGGGTCGGTAAACGCTTCGCGCGCTTGAGCCGTGTTCCAATGTTTCTGCTTGAGACCTTGGTTGTTGGCACGGACGCACTCGACGAAGAGGACCTTTTCTTCTTCAGTCGCCCAACGTGCTTTGGTAGGAGAGCTGGGCAAGAAAAGGAAGACGATGACTGGGAGATTGGAGTCAGCTAGAGCTCGGCGAGTCGGCGAAAGAGGGCTCACTGGAGCAGACAAAGCTGATGAGAGCGACTGTGATGTGAAGTCACTGTCAGCCATGGATCTTTCCATTCTGGATATGGTAGAATCCGTACTGATGAAACACTGAGTCAGACGGGATTCGTGCGACAGCGCGAGTATAAACTTACAGCGAAAAGAGCACTAATTCCGGTCGCAGTGCCGAGCATAGCTTGCCAAATACTCGTGACGAAGGGCTGTTCTTCGATTTGACACCATTGTACCATGACTGACATTATTAGTAGCAGAACCTCTTAGTACATCCAACACTTACGAGCCAACATGCAAGGGCTGACGGCGGATTCGGTAAAGCCCAACAGGAACCGAACTCCGAATACGGTATGAAAGTTGGAAGAGAATCCCAAACCGATGATCAACTTTGCACAATTGACGCTTCAGCTTTGACTCGAGGCTCAAGAGACACTCTGTGCTTACGACACTCCAGATGAAGATACTGTCATGGTTAAAGGAGTCATCTGAGTAATTCCTTCATTCAAGTAGATTCAGTAGATTAGTTGTGTGTTGTGGACCGTGCTCTCCGTTTATACACATATCAGAGTCTTTTTCATAGTTCTTCTTCTTCATATGCGACAATAACGAGAAGGGGTGATTAAGGCTTTGGACCAGCATATTCGCGGTCATCCGTACTTCCGACAGTTCCCGGAACTCAGCCCATTCTTTCCCGCTAGCATTCCACCATCAGTGGCAATCGTCACGCAACCAGGCAGTTGATGGATCACGGCCTTGTCTGTGAGTGGTGATCGTACACACGTTCCAGCGACGCAGAGCTGATTTGGTGTTTCAAACAGACGCCGATTTCTACCTGGTACAGTTTGGCAATGAAGCTCTCAAACTCCGACCTCTGCCCAACTGAGATTCGAAAACCGATGATTGATTGAGGCCGTTTATCCGTTGTTCTTGCCCATGAATCATGATTGCGCCTGCCAGAGATTGTCGTACTGTATAAATGTGACGTGCTGGAGATGATTATACATGTGCCTTACAGATCGTACTCGTCAGAGTCAGAGTCGTCCCTCTTCCTCTGGATCTACCATCGCTGTCAGCCGAGTTCAATCGCTTTGAATGGTGTATGGAAATCTCCCAAACACGAAGCAAAACGCACAGTGATGCCCTTCCCAAGAGTTTTTGTTCTGGCCGAGGTCGGCATAGCCGGTGTGTTCTTTGCGGGTGGCGGGTTGGAAACCTATACTTTGATCAGCATTTCTCCTAGTCATAGCCTTCTCGATCCCACATACCTGCTCCAGAAGCCCCTTCAAGGCTTCATCAGACACTTGCCCCCTGATCTGCCCTTGCTGGCCCATATTCACGAGGATCGTTTCTACTTGAGAGGCGAGTTGTGGTCGGGTGAGGGAGATTCTCGACACTGTGGACATTATCAGCAGGATCCTGTCAGCGCTACGGAGGCTGGACTCACGCCTTTCCCTCGCAGCGGGCTCAAGCATAGCCGAGATCATAGTCCTCTTCATCTCATCCTGCTGCCTCGCTCTGGCCTCTGCCGCTTCACGCTCTGCAGGCGATGGTCCGCCGCCTTGTCCCCCGGGCTGTCCGGAGGGCCTGAATCCTGCTGGGAGCTGCATGCCGCTCATGGTGGGTTGTTTGGAGTGGGATGGAAAAGAGTGGAAGCAAGAATTGTTTTGTTGCGAGAACGCGCCAGGTGGAGGCTCCGTGTGGTTCGTCTGAGTCTCGTTTGCGTCAAATGTCATTTCACGCCGACCACAAAATCATCCACATCACTCAACATGGCTTCAGTCGAGACCCCCCAGCCCAGAGAGAACCGTGGCCCCGTCGAGGAACTCATCTACAAGCGCACAAAAGCTTTGGGCAAAAAGATCGTAAGTCTCCTTCGGTATGTCGCTGCCTGGCTGACATCTTCTCCAGCAACGATTCAAGGCGTATGCATCCCAAAAGCCAGAGTCATTGAATGAAGACCAGAAGGCAGGTCTGGCAAGCTTGCCACTGCTTGAGGGCATCTACAGAGAGCTCGAGGATATCTCCAAGCAGGTCGAGGTGCGCAATGGTCGCTTTCGGATGTCAAGTTCAGTGCGCTTACAGATTGATATAGTATGTCGAGCTGGAGCAGGCTGGAAAAGTGAGGGAGATGAAGGAGCAGTCCAAGAAGGACGCCGAGGCTCATGGCTTGACAAAGATCGAAGAGTTCCAAGTGAGGATATCTCGCACATGCTCGAGTCGTGACTGACCGTTCTCTAGACATCTCTCTCGACACCCCTTTCTCTCTTTATTCGACTTCACTCTCTTCTTCACCCTGCTAGACCATCGGATCACGATCACCTTACATTCGGTCGTCTCCGACTGCCGAGTAACATGAAGGAGGCTGTTCAAGCGACCGATGTCTTGAGGGTTGGGCGGTGGTACGACGACCTGAGGGCCGGTGGTGATAGAGGCAAGGTCGTCATCGGCATCCTTGTCAAGGGTCCTCAAGGGACGAACGAGGAGGACGACAGGGTCCACCATCTGCTTAAACTCCTTGAAGAGTCTGATTCTCTCCCCGAAGAGGCCGAGGAGGAAGAACGACAGGCCGAAGAAGCCGTTGCTCCTACGTCTCAAAATGCTTCTCGAAGCCTTACCTTCAACTTTTTGCAAGACGATGAACTCGTCGCTCCCGCCGGTACCCAGCCGACTGTGTCCGAACCTCCCGCTCCCACACCTGCCCCCCAAACGACTCAACCTCCTGCCCCCTCAGCTGTCGCCTCATTTGATTGGGCCGCTGAAGATGACGAGACCAGTCCCGCTACTGCCCCTGCCCCCGTCTCAAGCGCATCCCAAGCTTCTCAGCCTACCCAACCAGAGGCAAAGACTTCTAATGATGCGGACGCCGATCAGATCATTGAAGAGAATGTCGCTGCCAACTCCCATGTGTTGTCCGGATTGGCAGGGACGGACGCCAAGCAGGCGCCTCCTACTGTTGGTGGCCAAGCTGCTGCGCCTGGACCTGTAAAGACTGTTCCTTCCGGACCAAAGAAAGGAAGAGGACGAGGCAGGGGTGGCCAGGGACAGCCCAAGAGTCAGCCTCAACAAGAGCAATCACCCGCTCAGTCTTCAGCGCAGGGAGGTGAAAATGGGCTCGCTGCCGACGGCAAACAAGAGCAGACGCCGACGCCAAATGGTCAGGCTGGAAGGGGTGGAAGGGGTAGAGGAAGATGGGGTCGTGGCCGAGGTGGAGGTGGGTCCTTATCGATATACGCAAGTAGGCAATAATCTGATGAGTCTTGCAGGTCGTGGCGGTAAGGCTTCTTCCGGCTCTACTACCCCTGTCGAGGGTAAGCCTGCTCCTCAAGGGCAGCAGCAACCAAAGGCCCCCAAGCCCTCCAAACCCGCTGCACAACAGCAACAGCAAGCCGAACCTACCACAGCTTAGACTGTGGCAGTGATGTCGCTTGGACAATAATCCTTGTCACCTCCTGCATAACCTAAAAGTCTAGTGCCAAGTCAACATCGTGTGAATACCAAAATGCATAGGTTCAAATGCACACACGAGTCGACCCTTCGTTATGTCAAACCCCTCACCATCGCAGCCTCTAGACTTCCGGCTGGGACATAACCGAAACCCCACAACACTCACATGAAGGGAGAGAGTCATCAATGCCCTCTTTTCAATCTACCTCCACAAAGGAAACGCGATAGAGCTCTTGGTCCGATGCAGTCGCGCGGGTCGTATAAAGGACAATTCGAGTCACTGATGATTATCACCCACCGCCTTCCCAGTGTTCGAACTCCCGGTAGCTTCAAAAAGGCCCTCACGATGTCCTCAGCAGCGAAGACAGCCACCACTAGCACCTTTTCTAGGCGAGCACCCGTCGCTCCATCACTTCCCACTATCCCCACCATCACTTCCATATCAACCTTGTCGACCTTACCCAACACTTACCGAACCAAACTACCTCCACCGTCTAGGGGACACACAATCACTCACCCAGTGATGCCTCCAAAACCTACCACAGAGAGATATAAGAGTGTCCAGGCGTCGTACCAGTCCAAGACAAAGACTGAGACGAAGAACGCTGTCCGGACCACTGAAAAGAAGAAGAGGGTGAACGCCACCCAGGCCCCACCTCAGGCGCGCCCTCCACTTCCCCCTCCCTCACCCAAAAAGGAGGAGAGGCCAAAGGGTGATCGAGCTAGGGAGCTGAGCTACCGTTATACGTATAGGAAGAGGCAGGTCACGATAAGGCGCTGAATGTGCTGCGATGTGCTTTCTGGATACGTTGAACAATTGCGTTCATGGACATTGGTGACCGAAAGAATCGATGAGCAGATGCATGTACTCTACTGTACGAGTACTATATACAAGAAGTATGGATACAACATAATTTGGGACGACGTCTCATTTGAAGCCTCCCACCCTGCCCGCTAAAGATAGCCAAGCCACTACTCTCCAGCCTACACAGATAGCAATCATGATCCCCATGTACTTCTCGGTATTGAGATCGTGCCAGTTGAATAGTGCAAGCCTGAACACATGGTCAGCCAATCGGAAGACATCAGACAACGAGGACTTACAATTGATCTCCAGATTGAGCGACGCACGCACCAGAGGACACCTCCTCTTCGGTGCAATGAAAGACCAACCCAGCGGCTTCGTTGATGATCTGGATACGGGTGGCTGCTTTGACGCATGTTCCCCAAGCAATCTAGAATGATGTTGGCTCTTTCATAGCAAGCAGCATACGCGAGAGATGGACTGACCGCTGCCAGCCACTTTGGGACGGAGAGAGAGATGACACCGCTGACCTGGCCGACCAATGACAAGATTGTCGACACGACACTGGAAATTGAAGCGTCAGTCATACTATTCAGGCGCGGTATACACATACGTTACTGTCAGACCCTCTGTTTGTATCCAGCTTCCCAGGATCATGGCATAACTCTCGCCCATATTCGTCATTGCCCAAATGGAGATGGAGAACTCAAAGTAGATTCTTGCGGAGGTCTGCATACCTGCTCCAACATTGATCTACGCGATTGTCAGTCGAGATTCGTAATATTCATCATGTACTCACGATCGCCCCGTAGGCTAAAGCAGCCAGTACCTCGAATCCAACCTCTACCAAAGTGTACATGATGATGAAAGTCGCAGGCGAATAGCGCGCGGATGATTTCGATTCGTGCAGGTAAAGATTTCTGTCTCCGGGGAAGATGCTCATGGCATTGAGTAGACCGACGAAGGCAACAGCAGAGGTAGACTCGATGGCTATACCAATACGGTCTTGTGCACCTGCGATATTGTCAGGGATCTTGGCAGCCTATGAGGATATTGAGCTTACCGGAGGGACCATGAGTCAGTCTCTGGAAAAAGAGAATAAACAGCCCTCCCAGCAAAGGTGTCTGCACAAGGCGGTTGAAAAAGACGTCTTTCCTTCTCCAGAGATTCTTCCAGTGTCTCCCAAGGACAACCGGCAAAGCCGTTCTCATCGCCGTCGTCTCAGCTCCACGCTTGACTGTTGTTTCGTGCTGGCTTCTCTCTTGCTCGTGCCCGCTCTCCTGATTTATCTTACGAGACTGCCATCGGCTGGTGAGATGTTGTACCCTATTCAGGGAATCCTGGTGGTAGGTTGGACGAGGGTCGACGGAAACAAGATCCAGCAAATGGTCCGCGGGGTTGAAGAACTCTGACGGCATGGGGTGATCAATTGAAGTAAAGTATTCGAGAGCCTCATTTCTCGTGCCGGAAAACTAGATGACACAGATTAGGCTCGGAAAGGCAGCTTGTCATAAGACTTACAGCAACGATGCCGCCTTTTGCCAAGAGAGTGACGTTATCAGTCAACTTCCAAATGTCACTTCGAGGTTGGTGAATCGTTGCTTCAGATATACGTCAGCAAACACTCTCGAGATCTGAGGGATCTTACCAATCACGGTACGGCCGGATGATGCGATATCCCGGAGAACTTGCATCACTCCCAACGCGATGCTCGCGTCCAAGCCGGAAGTTCTGGGTGGCCATCAGCATCCATTGAGACGTAGGCTTCTGAGGATCTTACGGTTCGTCCACTACCAAGACAGCGGGGTCATTGATCACTAGCAAGTGTCGGGTTAGTCTATGACCTTCTAAGGAAGCATCCCGCCACTCACTTTGCACGGACAAACTCATTCTTCTCTTCTCTCCACCACTGATACCCTTCAATAGCGCCCCTCCTACCGGTAGATCTGCACAATCCTTCAGCCCCAGCATCCTGAGTACCGTCTCTGCCCTTGCAATCTTCTGCTTCTTTGGCATCTTCTCCGGCAGCCTCAAGATAGCAGCATACGTCAGAGTCTCCCGTACAGTGAGCGATGGCAGGTGCCAGTCATCGCCTTGTTCCACGAAAGCGACATTGGATTGGGTGGTATGTGTGATGGGTTCGTTGGCGAAAAGCAGAGATCCGGTGGATGTGAAACGAGACAAAGGGCCGGCAGAGAGGTGGCGGCCGGCAATAAGCTGGAGAAGTGTTGATTTGCCGGCACCTGAGGGACCCAAGATGGCCGAGATCTCCCCCGCTGCAGCACCGTCAGCTAACATAAACCTGCGATGGGTCGACATACCTGGAAAGTGCATAGACACGTCGTCCAATATGACTTTTTGGAGGTCATTCACAGCCCCCCTTCCTCGTCTATTCCAAGAAAGCGTGAGATTCTTGACCTAGCAATATCACGTTAGTGACATCACAGCACCCGTCACACTTGACTCACAGTCACATCAATCTTGTCCCTGGTCATATGGCTCTCCACGACATCTGTCCCCTTTCCTCGGTTCTGCGACTCGATCTCTGAAGCGTGTTTCGCCCCACCACCCGGTATGGCCCAGAGTACGACACAAGCGAGCGCATACTGGACGATCGCGAGTCCGATAAGGCCCCCGAACCAGGCGCGAATGTTGGTTTCGTAGTTGAATTTGAGACCGTTCAGCACGTTATTGCCGACGCACTATCACTACGTCAGGTAAGGTTTCGAAATGGAAAGACAAACATACCTGGTTCAAATTGGCATCCGAGTCAGATGGACAGTCGAATATCCGGTCTTTGAATTGGGTGGTGGCCACGATGCCTACGCGTGATTAGCACGCTTGTCCACAGCCCTGGAAGGGTGTCTTACGAAAAGAATAGAAATACGGGCTGATCCAACGGATCCAAGCAACATAAGGAGGCACATGGGTCCTGACCAGACATCAGTTTCGGCTCGCTACTTTTGGCGAACAATGCTTACAATATGAAACCGGATGACATGCTACAAACCAGCATGAGTTCCATGACGACATAATAGCTGAGACACAAAGACTCACATCTGAAACAAGTTGATGGAATTGCCCAGCATGGATGCAGCCGGGAAAGATCGTAGCGTAGCAGCCTATAAGGTAAGGTCAACACTTTCTCTGTTTATATGGTCTCGAAATCCTTACAGATATAAGTGCAAGACCCTGAGTGGTCATTTGAACAAGCAGTGTCTATAACATCTCAGTGTCAGCTGTTGCTGACCTAAGATCGAGTCAATCAACATACAGAGGCAATAGTCGTAAAGAGATGCGCGGCAAGTTCGTCCGTCCTCAATTTGGAGATAAAGTACACAAGTACAACATATATCGTTGGTTCAAAGATACTGGGTATCAAGAATGATAGATAGTCAGAGATTACCCATGGGATTACGTCCTGTAGAAGCGTCAGTGGATGTTCTGTTAGGGAATGTGGCGTACATATAAGCTGTCTTCCCTTTCCCGGTCAAATATGACAAGATCCGTGCAGAACTTGTAGATCCCTGTTTGGTATCAGTAGAGGCTCCATCACACAGAGCAACAGAGACACTCACAAAAGACCTGTTGTAAATAGAAGACACCTGGTATCAGCTGGAACGATAAATTCTTCAAACTCTGGACACCTGTTGGCGTCTTGGATGAGTTAGCGACTGCAGCCGGCTTTCCGAGGATATAGATACTTACCTCTGATAGTCGGTAGTAAGTTGTTCCTATGATGACGCCCAACAGTACCGCCTGAAGCCCGAACCCCACTAACTGCGGTACGTTGCGGTACACATTCTTGTGCGCCCTCACAGTCAGCACCGTTGTTTGTTTCCAGATCCCCGGCCGTCTTTCATCTTTAGCTTTAGCTTCCTCTGGTCTTGCAAGGGTCCCTTTCTCGGCTGAAGCAATGGGGATTGGAGCGACATTCTCCGACGAGATGGTAGAGATGCCGTCGATGGACCGTTTTGCCAGGTTGTCGGCCCAATGAGTTGGGGAGCGGAGGTTCCAAGCTTGTACAAGAGATCGCACACGGGCTAGCGAGGACTCTTCGTTTTCGGGCGTCCTATTGTCCACAGAGGATATATCGATCAGGAAGTCTAAGCGTCTCGTCAGCGTCTTTTGCTTTTTTGGCCACAGTGATCTCACCGAGAGGATTGACACCTCTTTCCACCTCATGCCCCAAGCTATAGAACCATCCCAGACAACTGCTCCTCGGCCCAGAGTAGACAATCTCTCCTTTAGACAGAAGGGCGATACGGTCGAAAAGGTCAAAAGCGTCAGATCTCGGGGCGTGAATGGAGAGGACGATCGTACGTCCCCGGCGAGCGAGTTGGGAGAGAGTGAGAAGCAGGAGGTATGAAGTGAAGGCGTCGAGGCCGGATGTGGGTTCCTACGTACAGACAGAGGTCAGCGAGCACATATGTATTTTTTTGGACTTGACCTACGTCTAGTATCAGGACGCTTGGTAGTGTCACCAGCACACAGCCAATAGATAGTCGCCTGGCAGGGACAGATTTCAGCACTGACCATCACCATAATCAGAGGTGCTCACCGTTTTTCGCCTCCCGATATGCCTTTCCGCAACGGTCCTCCCACGACTGTGTTGCCTGCGTCCTTCAAGCCCAATTCTTCTATCGTTTGCTCGACTATTGAGTGAATGGTGTCATCCGTAAGGTGGGTGGGCAGTCTTAATTTGGCCGCCTGTAAATGGCCATTAGTCTCCATCGATCGTCCTGATGTCCAAAACCTCACGTAGGTCAACGTTTCTCGGACTGTGCGTACTGTCAGATGCATATACAAGCAAATAGATGTAAGAGCTTACCAGTCAGACACTCCACGAGGTAATCTTGCTGCCGGACGAACCCGATTCGCTTCTTGACTTGGCTTCTATCCAGCTTCTCGCCCCTGTCCTCTCCAGGAGCTGATGACGGCGAGAAGTATGCCACTTCACCGTTTGTGGTAGGCAATCCTGTCAGGCGATGAGCTATAGAGTTCAGCAGGGTCGTCTTTCCAGACCCAGAACCTCCCAATCTTTCTCGAATGTCAGTACGTATCACGAGAAGCCAGCCATGTCGACTTGGAACTTACATTGCAAGCACCTGCCCACTTCGACATTCACAGCTCACTTCATTCAGGATCCACTTCTTCTTCGGCTTCTCATCCTTTTCCTCGACTTCGCTCTGCCGCTTCTTCCGTCCAAGGAGACGCCTGAGCCATCTAAGCCTCCTGTCAGTCGCCGGTCTCTGCACTTTTGAGGGAGTGACTTACGATGGTCCACCATGATCGGGCACGCCGACCGTGAGACTCTCCACAGCCAGATCGAATGGCAATGGCGGGGGCAGGCTGAGTATAGCGTTGTCCTCCCAGTCAGCATTGGCCCGATGCAGATGCTCTTGCTCCACCTCCTGTGCTTGGGCGGCCTCCCTGGGCTCCTGCTGAGCCCCTTCTTGGGGGACGTCCGAGTGGGCTGCGGGCTGGGGCTCTTGGGTTGTGGACATGGCCGCCTGGGAAAGTACAGACGAGAAAAGTCCTCGAGCCACGAGATGGATGCATCGATCCCCGTCTCCGGCCATTTCCAGGAACTGCAACATCTCGGCTGCCGGTCCCACTTTTCCATTTGATTGTATTTCTCGAGCGATTCCCAATAGAATTGTGGAGAACTGTGCGTTTTACAGACTATCCTAGGACATACATATTGCAATGCACCATCTAAGAACGCCGTTTATACTTGAAGAGTTGTCTGATCCAAAACCAAGGGACTCCAACTGAGCGATAGTTCATAAGAACAGGCCAGAGTCCCAACTCAATAGGATCAACCACCGTCCCCCCTGGACCCCTCACCACGTCCAAAACGAACAATGGCTTGAAGGCCTCCGATTCCTCAAAACGAGGGTTGGAGGTGGGGTCATAAAGCGGAAAGGACGCTCGTTCTTCCACTCTCGTAACGGTCCATATGCGTGATAATCTGCTTATGGCCCTGACTGGAGTGTGGTAGGAGAGATGGGGAGGAGGGATGGGAGAAACGAGGCACTTACAGCGACTTGATGTGATTGGACCACAAAGAATGATTGTTGTACGGCTGACCGTCCCAGTGAAAGATGTCTGCATGCAACTACCCACACTTCCTCTAAGCAGTAACGACCCAGACTCGGACAACGTTGTCGGAGAAACCAGCAAAGAGAGTCTGGCCGTCGGCGGACCAGGCGAGAGAGGTGCATTCGGGCTTTCGAGCGGACTCGGAAAGACCGTCGAAGTCGGGTTGGAGGTCGTCAACAAGGGACCTGAGAGATATTTAGTGTGTTTCTTGCTGAGGACACGAATGACATACTTGGACTCGAGGTCGAAGATCTTGATGGAGGAGGCGGTGGCAGCACAGAGCCAGTATCGGTTGGGGGAGAAGACGAGAGCGTTGATGACATCTCCGGCGTCGAGGGAGTAGAGGTGCTTGCCCTCGTTAAGGTCCCAGAGCATGGTGATGCCGTCCTTACCACCGGAGGCGGAAAGGGAACCGTCGGGGGAGACGGCGAGGGTGTTGAGGTAACCGGTGTGACCGTGGTGGGTGGTCTTCAGCTTGCAGTTGTTGAGCTCCCAGACCTATTACCAAGAGATTAGCGTTTGCTTTCGCCTTCTTTCACACAAATTCGTGCAGGAGGGTAATAGATCAGAGATCTTGGTGGAAAAGTGGTCTCATCGGGTCTGTTTCACCCCTCTGAAGTAGCAAATATATAATGATCGCATCATGTCGATTTTCCCTCCTGCACGTTTTCGCGAGCTCAAAACTCACCTTGACGGTCTTGTCCCAGCCAGCAGAAATAATGACGGGGAGGGCGGGGTTGGGGGAGAATCGGACGCAAGAGACCCTAAAACCACCATTAATCTCCGTCCCTAGAAAGTCTTCTCATTCCCAGAAACTCACCACTCGGTGTGGCCATCCTCAACAATGTCGAACTTGCATTCACCGAGGGTGTTCCAAAGCTTGATGGATCGGTCTCGGGCGGCAGAGACGATTTGTCGGTTGTCGGCGGAGAAGGAGACGCTGCACGAAAAAAAGTCAGACCCATGCTCCCAGCCTTCCCCGCTTTCCTTGCTCTCCCTTATACTCACGAGAGGACGTCACCGGTGTGGCCGACAAACTTCTTGGTAGTGAGACCAGTGTTGAGGTCCCACAACCTCAAAGTGTGGTCCCAAGAGGAAGAAAGAGCGAACTGGCCGTCGGAAGAGATGGCGACGTCAGAGACGAAGTGGTTGTGGCCGTGGAGGATCTTCTTGGGGTAACCGAAAGAGTTGTCCTCACGGGTGAGCTGCCAAGCGATGACGGTCTTGTCTGCAGAAGGTCAGCGATTTGCCCAAGGATGTTGTGGCTGTTGTAACTGACCCCTGGAGGAGGTGAGGATCATGTCGGGGTTCTCGGAAGAGGTGGCGATGGCGGTGATCCAGCCGGAGTGGCCCTCGAGGGTGCCCTTGAAGGAAAGATGCTCAGACATTTTGCTGGTTTTTGTGAGTTGAGATTGGAAACCGACATCACCATTACATCCCAGGGCACAACCACAATTTGGCGCCACGAAGCGAAACGCCGCGGAAATTTCCACATCCTATTACGTATGCACCCCGTCCTCGCGCGCGTTTGTTGTTGGCTGACGCGACGCAAGGCTGACGGAGAGATTCCACTGATGCTGTATGCATGCACCTCCCCGACCTGCTGTCTAATCCCTTCTATATACTGTATAGCCTGTACCTCATTGCGTGCTTTGATTTGTCATTGTCAATCCACTTGGCGGTCCTCTCCTTCGCCCAGACGCTCTCGAGAAACCGGCGATCCCTCCACTACCACCATCCTGGTTGCCATTGGTGATGGCATTCAGTGACTCCCATCCAGACTGCCCTGCATCTCCCAGACCGGACGGCGACTCAGTCTCTTTCCCTTGGGCCTCTTCTTCAATGTTTCCATCTTCGCCCATACGCCAGTGGATCACCGGACTATTCTTGTCGCCATACATTCCAAAGGGAATGTCACCCCGGATGGGGCTTGTTGGCTGAACATCCTCTGTGGGGAAAGCGCCACTGCTTCGGTACGAGACAATCGTAGGACGTGGCGCGCTCCCTCGCGCAGGCTCTCCTGATGTTGAGCCCCTCGCGGATATCCTGGCTCCTTGGGCTCTGGGATCAATCCACGCTTCCTCGTCAGCTTCATTAGACACGTCTGTAAACTCGGTCTCAGCCATTGATGCACGCCCCTCTCTTACAGCTGCTGGGTCCCCTTCGGGGATGCTTTCCCAGGTCGCGGGCGCTGGCATCTGCACTCTCCCAACTGATCTAGGAGACATGGAGGGCGACCACGCCACGGTCGTCGTCAGTCCACTTCCTGCGCTTGTCGGCGTCGTGCCGCTCGCGAGCGAGGTTGATGAGCCTCCAGTCTTGACGTGCAATCCCAGTCCACCTCGTCGTTGCTTGTAGACTGGCTTCCTCAAACTTTCTGGTACCTCCACGCTGTCTTCAACATCCTCCACAGTGGTACCGAGATCCGGTGAGGACTTGGGACTCTCGCTGCTTGCTGCCGGTATGCGAGGAGGAGACAAAGGGAAAGCGAGGTCCACTTCTGACCCGTTCCCCCCTGTAGACATGTGCGTGGCTATCTGGATGCTTTCGTAGGGATAGGAAGGCTGTCGATTGGGTACAATCGCCATCATGTTGGGGTCTGAACTCGGGAAAACATCCGATGGAGTCGCAGATGCCGGGGTGCTGTGTCGTTTCCCCTTGGATATGAAGTCTTTGAGTGCACTCTTGCTTGCTTTGGAGAATCTTCTCCATCTGGACGGTTTCTCATCCCAGGGGTCGAAATAGCTTTTTTGAGAAGGTCAGCATCACTCTCTATAAGTCGCAAGGTGATGGAACTTGCCTCGCGTTTGACGATGGTTCTCCTTTGGCTTCCGTATCTGCTGTGCGAGAGAGCTCTACAGCTGAAGCGATTGCAGATGTGATTGGGGGCCTGTTATAAGGCCCTCCAATACGGCTGCTACTACCAGAAGGGCTACTCATCGGAGCTCTCCATTGTATAGAGCTAGTACTTGCATTCCTGATTTCTTCAATTGGCGACCCGGGGCTACTAGATGTGCTCCCGCTGCTGGCTGGACTTACATTTGCAGAATTCTTTCGGCTTCCTCTTTGGCCTGGGATAACGTCATCTTGTCGAGGAGGGTCAATTCCCCCCGGCAATGTCCACCCTGCTGGATCATGCAAATGCAAATGGCTGACTTTGTCTCTTCTGCTAAAGTCACGCCCTCCGATGTGGACCTCCTGAGGAGGGGGAAAGTAGTTTGTAGAGTTTGGTCTCCGTTGGGATGCACTGAGATCGCCCATGCCAACAGAAACGCCAGTCATATCCGAAGCATAAGAATGCTGCTGGTGAGGCAGAAGGGGGCGGCGAGAGGCAGCTTGTAGCTGGCCTGCTGGGGAGGTAGGTGACTGAACATGGCGTAAAGAACGAATGGAACGAGATGAAATGCTATGAGGTGGTGCTATGTCCATGGTGAGCACAGATCAAAGGTACAGAGCTGAACAGACTGACTACGATTACCTCCCCTCAAGCTGCTTTGGGCAGACTGTCGACGTGAACCATATGGAGAATCCCAGGCGGGATCGGCAGTGGTGTTGACACTCTCGAGAAAGCGGGCTGCTGGGGTAGTTGAACGAGGGTTGGCTGGAAGGCCAACAAAAAAGTTGTGAGGCGGTGCTGAGGTAGAATGTCAGCCGTAAGCTCATTGACCAGGTGGCGATTTACTTCGATCTCCTCCTCTTCCAGTGTTACTAGCACCTGAAGACCTGCGAGAAGCTGATATGCCGCGCTGGTGAAAATTCCTCTCTCCTTCGCTCATATTTCTTCGACTTTGTTGCAGGCGTTTTGCGGGGTGTATTTTCTTGTCCGGGGGTTGTATTTGACCTGTATGTGAGACTCGACTTTCCACTTTTAAACATTGAGACCCAGCCTCAAAGAAAGACTTAGGCCCAGGAAAAAGGTCATGATGTGGTGTTTTAATCACCGCCGCGCGTACAGGGGTATTTCTCGGGAATCACTCGACCGGCGCTTCCATTCATTCATGTGGGTGATAGAGGACCGACACGAGTTGGACGGGATCTCTGCTGTATATTTGTTACCAAATCCAATGTGAAAGGCTAGCCATACACATGACAAATTCTTCTCGTGAAAGGTAATTTCAAAGGCTCATGACGGGCGAATCCTTCTTCCTCATAAGCTTAGCGAAAGGAATGCATCGGCGATATTGATGTGACTTTGAATACTGTCGTTAGTGCTCTATGGTACATACTTGAGGCTTGGCATGTGATGCATGTTGAGTGATCTGACGTGATTTGAGCTGGGCAGGTAACGCACTAGGCGTCGACACATGTTTGTTGTATCGATCGCGAGCATAATGCATCAGCCTATATATGGGCCCTACAATCACTTTCTGTGTGCAGACTGTCTTGGAGTCTCCTCGTCCGACGACCCGGGAAAGCTCGCATGGATTATTGCACCACTCTCTCCACATTCTCGTCCGAGACGAAAGAATGTCAACTGTTCAAAGACAATACGATGTCTCACCTCATTGTGGCAAAAGGCAGGACCCATGATTGCAATGAAGAGCTTCAACACATCATCTTCATGTTGCCAATGGTCATTGTGATATCTCTGTTCAGTCAGATGCATCTCTCAACTATCGGCCCGACGCCTCTCTTCGAATGTGAAGATTTTGGAACTACCTTTCACTAATCGTTGGTCAGTTACGAGTGTTTCCAAAGATCCCGCTCTCTGCCTTAGCTTCCCTCGCCCTCTTTTGTCGCTGCACCTCCTCATCAGTCGGAGGAGGAGGCCCGACGCTTCCCTTGTCGCTGATGATATTGGAATACATCGCATTCTCTTCCTCTGTGAAACGGCCGCTCGTCGCAGACCAGGGGGAAACGGTCCTCGTATTCCTGGAAGGACGCCTCGACCTTGGAGAGGATGTCGTTTCGACCGCGGATTCCTGGGGCTCTTCGACAACAGAGTAAGCAGAGGCAGCTTCCATCCTGGATCGAGTGGTGGGGGAGGCGGGGGGTCGAGAAGGGGGCGCGTCGGTACTGTACCCCACCTGAGAGGGGAAGGCGGTGTACACGCCGCGCGGCTTGTTGCTCTTGTTATCGTCTTGGGACATGGTTGAGATGTCTGGATGAATGTGGAGTAGATAATCTAAATGCCTTGTCAAAGCCCTCATTTTTATACCCCTCATCGCAAACTTCCCCGAACTGTGTGATCCACTTCTCTTCCTTTCGAGACATGTGAATATTCCAGATACCGTCATTCAACAAAAGAATTGTTCACAGCAGAAGCACTGGACTCGATTCGTTATTTACAGAGTTTATGAGAACGAGGTAATACCCCAGCTTCGACTTGTCCATCGAGGCAATACCAATGGGAGCCGCAAGTGCATGTGGCGGAATGTAGCATGATGCATATCCTTACCGCTTCTGAGGCATCTATACCATGCTAATCACCTACTCTTCATCTTCCTCACTTTCCGCCTTCTTCCCCTTCTTCGCCTTCCCTTTTGGTGCAGGCTTCTTCTTCTCCTTTGGCGGATTGATGGCATCCCGCTCTTTTCTCCACCTTGCCTCGATTTCGACCTTTTTGGTGTCCCACTCGTCGTCAGGGATGGCCTGGATTTCGTAGAGCATGGCGATCTCTTTGGACCAGATGGAGACGTGGTCGGAGGGGGTGGGACCGTCCGGGGCAGGAGTTTCAAGGACGATGGGGATGCCGGCCATGAGAGGATCGCGCATGAGTAAACGGAAGGCGGTCAGACCGATTTTGCCCCTTTGCGTCCGTCTCAGCAACATTCTCAGACAGGAGAGGAGGACTCACAGTCCAATGTTCTCATGTAGATCCTTGTTGGCTCCCAAGTCCGCCTTCGAGTCGTTCAGATGCACTCCAGCCAAGTACTTGTTCCCAACCACTTCATCAAACTCCTTCATTGTCTTCTTGTACGCCTCTTCTGTCCGGAGATCGTACCCGGCAGCAAAAGTATGGCAAGTGTCGATACACACTCGCACGCGGGACTTGTCTTCGACGAGAGCGATCATGGATGCCAGGTCGGACCACGCTGTGCCGACAATGTTGGAGCCGGCGTTGGCCATGTTTTCGATGACGGTGATGACTTCAGGAACGTCCTTGTGGACTTGGTTGATAGCTTTGGCAACGGAGGCAAAGCTTTCTTCTTTGGTACAAGCGCCGACGGTGGATCCCGGGCTGAGTCCTGTCAGACCACCAATCGAGCTATGAAGTGCCTCAACTTACTGCCAGTTGTAGAGCTTGACGCCGAGTTGATGGCATCGGGCAATGTCGTCTCGGAAGCATTCATAAGAAGTTTCCCATTTGGCCCTGCGATTGTCAGTATGCGTAATAATCCTAAACACTGACTCACTGGTCAGGATTACCGAGATTGATGAGGTAGCTGCCGTGTACAAGAATGCTTTCCGGCCCATAGCCCATACCTAGAGATGGAGTGAGATTGAGAAGAAAGCAACATGCACAGTACTCACCACCTTCTTCCTTGCTCTTCATGAGTTCTCTAAACTTGTCAACAACCTCATCCTCGTACGGCTTGCTCTTCCACTGCCTTTGACTCTTGACAAAGAACGCAAGACCGTTGGCACCTGCAAGTCCTGCTCTGAGCAGCGCAGTACCAACACCACCGGCAGAAGATACGTGGGCTCCAAGAAGCATTGGCTGGGGACGATCGCTGGGAGGGGCGATACCTCCATTGGGAGAGGTTGTGAGGGCGGGGAGTTCAAAGACAGGGTGGCCATGTCGGGCGGGGTGGAGAGAAGGTTCGATATCGGCTGGCGGCCAGACCTTTCCTTTGGCGACGCGTGGCTTCTTGGCCGGAGCAGGCTTGTCTTGGGATCGTTCGCGCTTGGGGGTGGACCTGGCCATGGCGGGGATGCGGGTGCGGAGGGCGGTCATCATGCAGAGATCATGCAGAGATCATAAAGAATAAAGACAAACTGAACGCGTTCAACTCACAGACGCGTCGCGTGCTGCATTACGTCAGCCTCCACGTGGCGCGCTCTTTATACTCGTACAGTTAAAGTAATACAGTTAAAGTAGTAATGCAGTTAAAGTAATACTTCTGTTGTCTGCCACATCCCCATGCCGCCCCGCCTCGCCGTCTATGGCGTCCTCTCCACCGTCCTCGCAGCCACCGTCCTCGCCTCCGCCCTCCAGTCCAGGGCAAACTTCTATGCCGCAGCCGTGTCCGTCGGGAAGAGCAGCGCCTCTTTGATGGTCAGTCCTCGATTTGTACTTGTCATTCCGGTGCTCATGGCTCTTGAACAGGTTATCGGCAACTTTCTGTTCTTCAACGCTCTGTGCTTGGGTATCTCGCTCAAGAAGCTGTTCTTTGGTCAGCTGCGAGCTATCGAATATGAGGTATGACGGTGAATGCTCTGTCATATGGACTGCCAGCTCATCAACGCTATAGCGATTATGGGAGAGATTATGGGCATTCATGACCGAATCCCTACTGGCCCTCGCTATCTTTAGAGAAGACTTCAACATCGGCTTCATACTCATGCTCAGTATCTTGATCTTCCTCAAGTGCTTCCACTGGATATCAGCCGACAGAGTCGACTATGTGGGTAGCACAATGTCTCCCACGTGTCACTACTATGCTGACGTTGACCATTGTAGATGGACCAGATCCCCCCTCCAGGTCCCCCAAAAACATTCCACGCCCGCATGGTGGGGATCATCGCCATACTCATGGTGCTTGATCTCTTCTTTGTCAGCTACGCTCTCAACACCATTCTGACCGAAGGCGTCTCTTCGATGATTATATTCACGACCGAATTCCTCATCCTTCAAACTTCTATTGCTGGAACGGCGGCAAGGTACTCTATTGGACTGATCGACCTCAGGCGAGCTAGAGGAAGGGAAGACGCTCCGCCCTGGGAGGCCAAGAGCATGTATCTGTTCTACGTGGATTTGGCCGTCGGTAAGTCACTGCCTACATAATCAACGGTACTATCCTGACTTTCACTAGACTTTGTAAAGCTCCTCACATACCTCATGTTCTTTACAGTCATCTTCCTCAACTATGGTCTTCCCATTCACATCCTCCGTGACGTCTACTTTACCTTCACCTCCTTTGTCGGCCGCTGTAAAGACCTTGTCCGATACCGCCAAGCCACAAGGGATATGGACTCTCGGTATCCCGATGCTACCGAGGATGAGCTGGAGCGGAACGGAGACAGGACTTGTATCATTTGCCGGGAGGAGATGATGACTACAGCCCAGAGAGAGCGGGAAGGGCTTCAGGGTGATGAGGGAGGGCCTAATGAGACGCCAAAGAAGCTTGTCTGTGGGCATATCTTCCATTTCCACTGTCTCAGAAGCTGGCTGGAGAGGCAACAAAAATGCCCCACTTGGTGAGTATCTTGTGCCATGACTGATCACAGGCTGACGCCGTATAGCCGTCGAGATGTTCTCAACCAACCTGCTCAGACGACCGTACCAGTCGTGCCCGTGCCGGCTGCTGCTACTCCAGCCCATGACGTACCCCAACCAGCTGCAGCGCCTCCAGCAGAGGGAGCAGCAGACCGCGCGAGGGACATTCTTCGCGATCGGTTATTCCCCGCCAATGACCCTCAAGACCCCGCCACTCCTCCTCGGACGCGCCCCCCAACTGCAGCCCCCACCAACCTCTCCGAACCTACTCGGCCCGTACCAGGTCCCGCCCGCACTGAGACTGTGGACCATGGGATACAACGGGGTATATGGGGCGGACCGATCATTCCTGGCAGGTTCCAACCCCTCCCAGCGCCTCCTCTTGGTGCTGCTCCCCGCTTCTCGCCATACACCCGATCAGTCGCCACTACCCCAGTGGCACAATACGGAGGCGCACAGAGCCCATCCTATTTCCATGGGGCTGTGCCGCATTACTCTCCGGGCCCAGTGTACCAGCATGGCTACGGATCACCTTACCCCTACGCGCTCCATCAACCTCAACCATACCCCCAGTACCCTCCTCCTCATCAGTACCTTCATCACCCCCAACCTCTTTCCCCATCCCAAGCCCAAAGTCAACCAGACAGGCCACGCACCCACTCCCCCGCCATCTTCCCTGCATTGCTCACTCCAGAGCAGATACAGGCTTTGGAAAGATTCGCAGGGCCTGTAGCTGAAGGATCACAGTATCCACGGGCTTTTGAGGCACGGGGTCAGGAAGGGCACTCGCAGGCATCGCCGTATGGGGGTGTGTCGGGGAGCGTGACGCCGTGGCACGCGAATCCGCCATTCTCTTTCTCGTCGACAGGTGATTATCGGGCTGCTGGGAATGGCGCAGGTCCAGCGGAGCTCCAAGTTCCTGCGTCGTCAAACTCGGGCGGTCTGAAACAGGCGTTCAGGGCGGGGACGGAGGGCCAACAAGACGAGGCAGAGGGGGCAGTCGGTGAAGAAAAAACGAAGCAAGAGGAGGCAGAAACCGATGGCTTGCCCGAGCTTGTGATAGAGACGAGCGATTTGAAGACCCAAGTGGCGCAAGCCGCTCTCAGGCGCTTCCAGAACTCCCCTCTTCAATCCACTTCGCGTCCTTCTTCCGAGCATAGCCAGGCTGTCGCGCGAGAAGATATTGAAAATGACCAGGGGGCGAATTGAGGAAATGGGAGGATTGTTGTAGTCAGCACATATAGTATCATATCTTGTAGAATTTGTCCATAGGGTCTCAGCATAGAACGGCATGCATTGCATCGATATGCTTATTGCGCTGGACTGTCTGTGCGTCAAAGCAGACAGGTATATGCATGCTTGTATCTTCTTCAATGCTCAGTGTACAACCCATTACACCACCTGCGCAGCCTATCAATCAAGTCAGCGCGCCCGTCTAGAACAGTGGGAAACGGCACCCACCTTGTCGTAGAGACTCTTGACAACCTCGTTCACATTCTTGAGGGTGTCTGAAACACTAGTGTAGATTGGCTGTAATCATGTCAGTCAAATTGCCCGACGAGAGGCATATGCTCACTTCTTCGGCCGCTTGGTCATGGACCTCGAGTGTCCCGAGAGACTCGTTCAAAACGCCATGGAAGATGCCATCAAGGATCATCTGACTCAACCTGATGTGCACTGGTCAGAGGGGTTACGGCAAAGATCAACAAGAGACTCACTTCTCCTCGACCACCTGCGAGCTCTGCCCCACTTCTTCCGCGACCCATGAAATCTCAACGTTCGAGTACGGTTCGATAATTCGGACCAAGTTTTGTTCAAGAAGCGTGTCGTAGAGGAATGAAAGATGGGATCGGATCAGAGGGTCTTTTTGCAACTCTAAAGAAACGTCAGCGTTGCTTGGAAGCACACAGGAATGCACGAACCCTGGGTGTAGTCTTTCAAAGCGGTCTTGAAGCTCTCCAAACTCCTGTCCTTGAGGGCGACAGCTGCAGCCTTCATAGCGTCAAGATCACGTCCAGCATAGGGTTGAGCGCTCTTCAAAAGCAAGGAGGAGAAAACGTCATCCGGCTATGGTCAAAGTCAGCTGGCCGACTAGCTAATAAGAATATTCGAGCACGCACCAGACCCATCATGACTTTACACAAAAGCATGTACTTGAGAGCCTTCAGCGCTCGCTCATCCTTCTCTGCCACCTGCGTGTGACCTTCAAACGCCTCAAAGAAGTAGGAGTAGCCAGTCTTGTAGTCCTTGTCGTCAGCCATGATGACACCAGACTGGAGATCAAGCTGGGCTTGGAGTATAGGAGGACAGTAGATGCTGTTGGCGGTGGTTCGGGCGGAAGTGAGAGCGGTCTTGGCCCGTGTGTGATTTTGGATGGCGTGGGCGGCTCGAGATTCGAGAAGGTAGACCTCTGTGAGGATGATTTTGTCATCCAACTGCTTGAGCTCCTTCAATAGACCCTCGATCGCAGTCAGAGCTGGTCGATATTGGCCGGCATCAAGTTGCCTTGAAGTCTGTGAGTACTTGACCAGTCACGAAGAAATTGACTCACAGTGAGATTAGTTTGATATCCAAGCTCTGTCTCAGGAACACCCGCTTCTCCTTCGTAGCCCACTCGATATTGTCCTGCGTGACCTTCATCTGCAACTCTCTAGACTCGACCGGGAACATATCAAGCAAGCCACGGACTGTACGTTGTCAGAGCCCACGCTACGCTTGAAAGAGCCGGCTTACTGATCTTGGCCGTCTTGGCCTTGGCCACCTGGGACATGAAGCTTCGGGAAGCTGTTACTAACTCTGCGAGATCATTGACCCGGCTGGATAGAGAATTAGCATCGTCAACTGTCGATGGTGCTGACGTGAACGCACTTTTGATCCTTGAACAAAGACCCCAACTTCAGCAAGGCACTCTCTTTATCTCTCAGGGATGATTCATCCACTGCACACTGTCAGCTGGGATCTTACGGCCACCTCTGGCTGACTGACCTTGGTTGTTGTTGAGAAGCTCGCGGTAGAGCTCCTCGGCGCGCTGGGGGCTGGTGGAGGCGACGTCGTCGGCCTGTTCGAGGAGGGTGAGGGAGGATTCGAGGGCCATGTTGGGTGATGTTGGGCGATGTCGGCGATGAATGGTGGCTGCAGACGATTCACCGTGACGCGCGTTGTGGAGGGCGGAGAAAACACATAAAAGCGCGGCAGGTATTTAATAGTTACGTAAGCGCACAGGGTAACGTTGAGCGACGACGACGGAGAAGATAGAGAATGAAGAGGCTGCATCTGAGCCTGATCCAAGCTGTGCTTGAAGTTTGGCTATAGACAGAAAATATGTCAGAGATATCAGACTTATTGGTTTCTGCATACACGCACAATCTGTACTGGAAAGAACCACATCCCTCCCACCAAGGACACTCATATATTATTTACGCAAGTCGCTTCTTCTTCTTTCCTTCTTTTGCTGCGCTTTTTGAATGATACTTTACTACTCCAGAGTCCATTCAAGTCCAGGCCGCCATCAACACCAGTGACCCTCACCTTCCCGGTATGACTCGTCGTAGGAAATCTTCTTGCCATCATCGACGCTGCCACCGTTCAGAAGGCTTGGACCAGACGCCAACGATGTGGTAGTTGCTTTCTGGCTTGCTACTCAGCCTGGTCGAGTTGGTAGAAGCGAATGCCAGGCAAGTCTGCTCCGCAACTGATGATCTCGTCAGATTATGAATCCCCACCCTGATTTTAAAGCCGGAGAGGACTTACCAGGGAGGCTCTCACCATCATCGACTTTGTGCACACCCTCGGCATAGTGTCACACGTAGTAATTCCTGAAGTGGCATGAGCGCTGAGTTGTGTGGATGGTTGAAGGACGCGCGGTGTACATACTCAATTCATATCTTACTCTTCTACTCTTTCTCTATGCAATAATACCGAAAAGGACTTTTCCCCTCCAAAAACACCTTTTCCCGTCCCTTCCCTGCTGCGTCCCAGCTAGGCCGTGACACATAGCCCCTGTCACGAGAACAACCAACACCGCGTATCCATTCTCTTTGTTTCTTTGACGGTATATACCCAGCCTGGTCGTAGAGCAAGAGCACACTGCCTGATCTAACGTGCACACTGATACTGCCGAGGGGCACTGATTGCTACCAGAAGAAGTGTCGAGTCTGGTGTGTGTCCACCAGTCCACCCAGAATGTGCTAACTGGCCGGTAGTGGTGGTCTCGTTGGGCTGAAGGACGGGAACTGGACGTCGTTGTCGAGGTAGTCGGGAAATGCAAATTCATGAAAGAGAGCAGTCAGGGGGGACTATATCACTCAATCAGTATTGTTTGGCGAGGCAGCGAAAGATACTCCTGCGTCGCCACTCACGTTCCAGCGATAGCAGCCTTGGAAAAAAGAGAAGACCAGTAAGGTAACAGTTGATATCGAGCATTGATAGCTGTGATAGAAGCCTCTCTGACAGAGTTCCAAGTGTACGGCTCCTGGCTAATGGCTCTCTTGATGTTGTGATTTCTGTAGAAAAGAAGGAAGGCTCCAAGCAAGCTGCATCCATCGATTACATAGCTCTTCATTGGTTTCTCCTTCAAACCCACAGACGTCCGCGCCAGTCATGGGCTATTCACGGTGTCAAGGTGTTCATGTCGGTCATCCGAAGGGCACATCTTCTTTCACTTGTTCGGAACATGGTAATCCGTACGTTTACATGCATACCAGGTGAACCTAGACCTTGAAAGAAAATGCCACATCCTATCCACAGCCTTACTCTTCACTCTCCTCCCGCTCCTCCCTGAGCGCCTTCTCAACCTCCTGCCTCTTCTGATCCCTCACCTTCCTCTGCAACCTCATCCAGTTGCCCACAGGTGTCACCTCCTGGCCTTGTCCCTCCAAAAACCTATCCATCTCGCCCCTATCTCTGGGCGCAAACGACACGTTGCGCCTCTTGGTCTCGATGAATGTGCGGGTGGCTTCGAGCTTGTCCAGGAGCACTTTGAGTTGTGATTGGACTTTGGGAGAACCGGCGGACCCCTTTTTGATCTGTTTTTTGATAGTGATGATCACTGGGAGCACAATCTCGGGGAAAGCGATTTGCGTCGAAATGGCAGCGTGGTACTCGCCCAACAAGAACACCAACTCTTCACCGAGGCCTTCCTGGAAGACCCGCGTCTTGGGATAAGCCGCCGGCGCGCGAATAACATATTCAAAGTCGAGCGGTTTGAGAGTGCCCTTCTTGGGGTTGGAGCGGCGGAACTCGGTAGAGTCGAGTATTTCGAGGAGGAAGGGCGCGAGGGGAATGTAGGTGCCCGTGCGGGAGATGAGGCGGAGGAGAGAATGGAGGACGTGGAATCGAAGGGGAAAGTATCGCGATGACGGCAGGAGTCTATTCAATGTTAGACTCATTCAGACTTTAGAGTTGGGGTGCTTACCTGACGGCTCCAAGAGCGATTTGGACAAGGGGATAGATCAACGGCTTGAGGGGGCTTTCCAACCCCGCATTCGCCTTTTGATTCTCCAAGCTGCCCGCCCCAGCGAGCGCCTGACTCCAAAAGTCGATACAGTGCACATACTGCCAGTTGTACACCGCCTTGAAAGCTTGCTGATTGTCCCCCGCTTTACCGGACGTACTCGATCGTACAACGTTACGCAAGTGCACAGCAAGCATACGGATAAAGCCGAAAGCGTGTTGGTAGGAGAGAGAGGGGGCGAGCTGGTAGAGCTCGGACGCAGTGTTCTTCATGAGGTTGATAGCAGGGAGAGTGTGGGGGGTGACGTTTCGCAAAGGAGGCAAAAGCGCGCGGTAGATATTCTGCATCACTGTCAGCTTGATTTCACGAGGGCACACCAAGACTTACTCTCAAGCAAAGATCCTTGACGGCATCGTCACCCTGCACAAACAGCTTTCGCACAGCCAAGAAAGATGCTATTCTCACGTCGTCGCCCGCAGAACTCCAGAGATCCAGCAAGACCTTCAAGTACGCCCTCAAATGCTTCCTTGCGCTCAAGATCCAAGGGATGAGCTTGGTGCTCTCCCCCACAGCTGTCAAGAGCAAGCCGCTCGCGCCTTCCTGCTCTTTCGTAGCCACACTTGAGGGAGTGGTAGGCAAAGACTTGATCAAATGCAAGAGCGTCGTAAAGTGGGACAAGACCAAACGGTTCAACGCCTGGTTGGCCTTTTTGGGCGGCTGGAGCTTGACTCGCCCGGTGGGGAGGGTCTTGTAGGGGAAGTGGTGAGAGACGACGACGGGGGTGAATTTGAGAGCGGTGAGGACAAGTTTGTTGAAGACGGCGGCACTGTCGACAGTGTATTTGGTGTCGAGACCGGAGCCTTGGTCGCCGTCTTCTTCGTTCATGTGGGCGGCAGCGCGGAAGGCAATGAGTGTCTTGCGTAAAGACCTCACGGAGTGTTGCTAGATCGAGTTAATATGTTGTCTGCGGGATTATGGACGACTTACCTTGAGCATACCCTCCTGCCACAGACGGAGCATCTTCATCGTGACGCTGACCTTCTTCCTCTCCGCGGGCGCTTCATCCTCGTCTTCGTCCATCTCCTCATCACTGTCCATTTCTTCGTCTTCGTCCTCGTCCTCCTCCCTCTCCTTGCCCTTGTCCCCAAACTCGAGCAAATCTTCGTCGTTATCCTTCAAGTACTTGAAGAACTCTGGATCCTTCTTGGCCAAATCCTTCATCGCCTTCTTCATCGCAGCCTCATCGAGCGGCTCATCCTCTTCATCCTCGCCCTCGTCGTCATCCTCTTCATCCTCGGATCCAAGGTCCTCCAGTTCAGACTCCTCCCCCGCATCAACATCCAACCCACCAGCGCCGAAGAGCTCTTCGACACTCTTCGCCACACCGCCGGCTTTACCGCCAGCAGCGGGCTGACCGATCTTGCGAGCTTCATCATCATCATCATCTTCATCTTCATCCCCAGACCCGCTTCCGCCTTCATCCTCGGAATGGGCGGCACCACGCTGCTTTGATCGGTGCGCTTTACGTTCTTCAGTCTTTTTCTTGATTTGCTGCGTTTGGCGGCGCTGGCGGATGGAGTCCTTGAGTTTGCCGGAAGAAGCAAACTTCTTGAAGGCTTTTTGTGTTTTGGCCATGGCGGAGAGGGATTATGGGGGTTGGATTTGTTGTCGTCACAGCTGGAGATGGTGCAGAAAAATCAAATCTTTGTGCAGCGCTGAAGTGGAGGCGGGCACCACCGCCAGATGTTACGTAATGTGATGGAGCGAGAACTTCTGCTGTGGCATGGTGGTTGACGTCTCTCTTCTATGTTGAACCATTCATATCCTGGCTACCGCGCATTCCAAGCATACCATATGTCCCTAGACGCCCCACCCGTATCCCCTGATGGCCCCTCGCTTCGTACTCTCCCATCGCTTACCCTCTCTGATCCGCCTGCTCACCGCTCATGTCTTCCGGACGGCAACATTCCCTCACACGGCGACTGGATAGAATCATCGGGTGATGGACAGCTAGGAGCTGTGATGGACCGGGACGCTGGATATCGTCATCTGGAAGGACCTTCGCCCCCCTGCGACGGGCATCTCACTATCTCTGACGACGCTGAAATCGACGAAAATGAAGGAGAATCTCAGGAAGCCATCTTTGAGCAGCTCATGCTCCGGAGAGAAGCCTTGCTCAATCCTTTCATACCTCAACGGGAAACACCAGTCGCGACCGGCATCGACCTAGACATGGATGACGAAGAGCAGGAGCAAGGAGATACGGAGGAGCAGCGAAAGGCTACAGAGATGGATATTGATATGGTGTATTTCTATGATTCTATGGAAGAGCGAGAATACAGAGGGTAAGCTTGACGTGATGAGAAAATTGTGCGTTCTCAACTGGTGGGTAGCATCAAAGGATTGAACTTTCTCCAAACGCTGGCTACTTCCTGCATCGACCAGCTAGCCGCCGTGATCGAAGAGGACACTCGAGGGAATCTCAGCAATGTCGATGAAGACGCGACATCCGAGAGCAACAAAACGGATGACGAGACTCGAGACGGAGGTGGACTGAGCATGGCTCTGAGCTTGAAGAATCGAAAAACTGGGTACGTCAGCGAGCACAATCACTGACTGTCTGACATTGTCCACCATAGCGCGTTGCAAGTATACTCGTATCCCGATAGCCCAGAGCTAGAGTCCGATCGACAGGGTGCCCTGCACAAACTCAGTGAGTCCCCGAGTCATGGACAAAGTCTTTCAAAGCTGATGGTGTTTGGCAGCATGTATTCTGCGAGTGGCATCTGTGATGATGGAAGCCCTTCTGGAAAAGACCGTCATCACATTGCGGTAAGCTTCTCTCCCCCCCCCCCCCCTCTTTTTCCATTGACGATGCTGCAGAGACATCTTTTACCGCGACAAGAAACTCTTTGGGAAGCAGAGCGTAGTAGACAAGGTCGGCCATGCCTCACATTCTTCTGAACAAGACTCACAGTCAGTACAGATTGCCGACGATATTGTTGCTACAGCAGAGCTACGCCGTGCAGACTTTTACATCGCGAGTAGCTATCTGGTGTGAATTGTACATGTAGCTAACATTATTGGCAGTGCGCCTCGGCGAAAGGCCTTATCGCAGCAACAGACCTTGTCATTCATTGCATATCAGGACAGAACCTGCACCTCTCTCCACGCCATGTAAGATGCCGCCTACAAAGTCGCCGCAAGATACTAAAACATCTATGACCAGGCAACCCTCATCGAGCCTGTCGAGAATATTCAGCAACTGTGTGCCCCGCTGGGGCTCGAATGGATTCTGATTGTTGAAAAAGATGTTGGTTAGTCTCGAAAGTTCCGGTGGATACTGATATGTGGGCGTAGGCTGTTTTCCAAAGTCTGCTGAGCGCGGGCTTACTTGAAGATGAGAGGCTTGGGCCGGGAGTGATCATCACAGTCAGCACACTTTCGACGTTGACGTGCCGTCTAACTGTACGCTAGGGAAAAGGATTCCCGGACCTGTCTACCCGTCAGCTGGCTCGATGCTTGGTCGATACTATGCCAGAGTGAGTTGCCTCTGAAGACATTCAGAAAGACAGCTTATCACCATCCAGCGCACGATTCTTCGGCCTCTTTGACGCGGATCCCCACGGCCTCAACATCCTCTCCAACTATACGTATGGGTCGAAAGCCAATTCGCACTCCACTGAACACGAAGGGCTCGCATTGGGAGAGAGGTTGGAGTGGATCGGTTTGAAGGCTTCAGAATGGGAAAAGTAGGTCAGCAACGTACCTAATAAGACAAGCGAGCTAATGCGTTTACTTGCAGACTCGGGATCAATTATGACGACCTTCTGCCTTTCGAGACTTCAGATGACAGCTTGGTGAGCCTTCGCAAGAGTCTCGGTGTATCATGCTGAATTGAACTATATAGGCAGTCAGCATGTTACGAGATCACGAACGTCTTCCCGCCGCTTGGAAGTGAGTCATATACTTATTTCAGCTGTTTAGTCTTGCTGAACTAGTAGCAGATCTGAACTTTGTCACATGCTTCATCTGCGACGCAAAGCCGAGATTGAAGTTGTCATCGGTGCTCAAGAAAATGCCAACCACCAAGAGAACGGGGATGTAAAAAATGAAGACACGGGATCCGGAGTCGCAAAGCTGGTTGACTGGATTGTTGGCAAGATTGGGGTTTCCTAGGAGAGGCAGAACATATCCCGCTACCTACATGTACTGTATACATTGACAATGCCTGGACAGTCCATTATCTACTACTGCCCTTTCGGACCATATCCAAGAAGCTCTCCTTGGTCAAGACATCCTCCCTGGCTCCTCGACCCAGAATATTGTCCTTCTCCTTTCTCTTGGCAGCCTCAGGCTTAACCTTGGCTCTGTCTGCCAAAGACATGTCGGAGGCTTCAGCATTCTTGGATGCAAGAAGGATGGCATTGAAAAGCTTGACCACTACGAACATTGGGGTCAGCTGTCTGTCAGACTCCAATGCAGAGGCATTACGCACCACCCTTCTGCGCTGTCTTTCTCAGATTCTTCTCAAACTCTTGTCCACCAACGACACCATCCCCACTCCATCCTTCCACGACATTCTTGACCCTCGCTCGATCTTCCTTTTCCTCCTTGTCGACTCTGATTTGCTTCTTGGCCTTTGCTTCTAATGATACTGAAGCCTTTGTGGGAGGCTTGTGCGCGGACAGAGCAAGAATGGGATTTGTTGTCGACTTCTTTTTGGGGTCGACAGCCGGTTTGGCTGGTTTGGCCTTTTTAGAAGGGTGCGTGAGAGGGTCGGCAAGCAGCGAAGTAAGAGTAGCACCGAAATCGGCAGCTGTCGTGGGAGCTCTTTTTCTCTCTGCGCGATTACTGTCAGTCAAAGGTAAACGAGGGGCATTGGTAGCTTACTCTGGCCCTTCTTTCCCTTCTTAGGCTCCTTGGACTTTTCAATCTCCTCATCCGTGTTCATTTCCTCGTCTTCGTCAACCACCTCCCCCTCGTCCCCGCTTTCGTTCTCAAATCCACTGACATTGCTTTCACTGTCGCTGGCAAGGTCGGGACCACGGAGCTTCTCTGGCTTCTTGGCGATAGAGACAGTCGCCTTGGCTTTGGGTTTGCCTTGACTGGGCTTGTTGGCAGAGAAGGATGGCTTGGAGGGGCCGGCAGCGGGGGTTTCGAAGGATTTTGTGGGTTTCTTCAGAGCGGACTTGAGTGGGCGTGCGGGCATGGTGGCGAGCTGCAGAAATGTGGGAGACAGATATCACAGACACGAAGTACTGATATGAAGCAAAGTTCAAAGAAATGCATAACCGCAACTGAAAATCTCAAAGCGGGGGACACCGCCAGGAACTGGAGGCGGAACCATCCTTCCGCCGTCACCATCATGGGTGAACCGTCGGTATGATTTGGGTCTTGCTCTTGATGCAGACCACTAATACTCGTCCATGTCGCAGTCCATGTCGAATGGAATCCCGAGAAAATAGATGATCCAGGACTGGACATAGTAGTCCAAGATATTTCGGGGATTGTCTATAGCTCGGTTGCGCAGAGGCTCACTATGGTGATAAGATCAGCGCCCTGCCAAGTTTGCCTTACCAGAATTCTTGATAGCAGGAAGTCATAGTAGAGAGAGGAACATACTCCTCGGGGGCCCACCAAAAGCTTCGTCTCTCCTCAGTGGCATAGGGGGTGAGCTGTGCCCTATACATGTTCGCGTCTGCAAAGTCGTCCAGGTCGAGTGCGGAATCGGGAAAGGGCATCCAACTTGGCATGATTGATGTTTGGCGTATCTGTAATTGGTATTTTGGGTACTCGAAGCTGACAAGTGGCGGTGAAATGTACGAAAGAGCGGCCTGAAGGATGACGGTGAGATGAGATGCAGAACTCGAAATGAATCGGCTGTCTGCAGTATATATGGCTCTTATGGATGATTGTATCCGTAAATCCATCAGATACGATAGGACGTTTCGGCCTAAACGATCCAAGTGTGGCGGAAACCCGGCAGAAACGAGTGCGGAAACATCTGGTGGGGGGGCATCACGAGGTCAGCACGGAAAGAATAAACAACTACAGGTCGCCTTGCCTCTGTCTGTGACGTCTTACGGTATGAATTGCCGACAGTTCAGACATGTCACTGTACAATCACACAGCATGTATGTGATTCTACAATTACTCGAGGTATAGACACTATCAAAAGCCCAGAAGAACAACGGCCAGTCTGTCAAATACACATTATCATAAAATCAATCAATACCGGCTTCTCGGTTGGGGTCGGACAGGGCGCGAGATGAGCCATGGCCGGGCTCGAGTCAAATATCAATACAGAATCACAGCAAGGCATGACCCGGCTTACCTCCGACACCGCGGGCCTGGCGCAAAGCGCGTAGCCTGTTCATTTCTTGAACCATGGGATCCAGATGGGCAGCTACGGGATGAGGCTGCGGTGCCATCATAGGCGGACGAGGCAGCATGGCAGGCATAACATTTTGAGGAATAGGGAGTCCTGGGCGAAGGGGCGCGGGAAGTCCGAAGCGTTGCTGGGGTAATAATTGGAAAGCAGCTTGGTTGCGAAGATGCTCATCGCGAGCTAGGAGAGCTTGATGATGACCTGGTCCTTGAAGATTGAGCGGTCCATGGGGCGCTTGCATATTAGGTAGAGGAAGCGGACGGGGCATGGGCTCTGACAAAGGTGGATGGCAAATGTTAGACTTTGATCGGCTGATGTTTTCTGGGGCGAGCAGATAAAATGTTACATACGTCCAGGAAGGCGCACAGGCGCTCCAGCGAGATGGGCATACGGATGGCCCGCTTGAGCAACCCTATCGGGAAGGGCAACATGGAGGTCTTTGTCTTCTAGGTTGATACCGTCACGAGCTGCCGCAGCACGGGCTTCCGCAGTGGCGCCGTCTCGAGCAGCTAGGATCTGTGATGTTCATCATCAGCTAGCGTGACCACCAGCCGGAGGATGAGCTCACCGCAGCCTCATCCGGATTTGCGTCCTTATCCCACAGTGCGCATCTGGCGGTTGCGATTGGCGCGGCATAGTTGGCCGGGTTTCGATCAAAATGTTCATAACTGTGAAAGAGATGTCAGGCACTACCCTCAACACGGCGGCACATCAGAAAGCACACTCTTTGATGATTTGCCGACATATGTAGCATGAGGTTGTTCTGCAGTTGGAGCACATTATCTTATTACAACTGCAGGGTAAAAGTCAGTCACAGCAGATGGCGATTCTTGAAATATCGTACCCAGATTCTTTGATAAACGGCTTCGTACACTTGGGACAATTTCTGATGAGAGCTGCAGACATGGCATCCTCCACGGCATGTCTTCGGTCCAACTTGCTCTCGGCGTCCATTTCTGGGCATCGTATAGTCAGCTGTTATCCGTGATCACCGACGGGCCACTCACCTTCACATGTTTTGGGTATATGCTCCGGTCGTCGGCATTTCCTGCAAGTCACACGTCCACAGCTTTCGTTCATGCACCTGAACAGCTTTTCGTGAGGGTTGTCAATGATGGCGGAAAAGTCGCAACTAGGACAGCTTTCGAGACCTTCAATGGCCGCAAGCTCCAATTCCTTGGACTGTTTCAAACGATGATACAAGTCGAGAGTCTTGGTGGAGAGTGACCGTCTGAGTTCGCTCTCCGGGAATGAACATTTGCATTCGGAGGTGTCCATGCAAGTGATTGTCTGCAAAGTTGGATGAGTTTCGAGGCAAAGATTGCCGATATCTTTCACTTACAGTCGATTGATCGCCCAGCTTCGTTTCTGCATTTCTGATAGTACAGTCTTTGCAGAAAAGATGGCCATCTTCGCACTGAAACATGTTTTCCTGGACATATTAGCTTTGCATCAAAGAGGAGCTCGGGCGGACGTACTGGTATGTCGTCTCCAAAACAGCAGCCGCATTCTATCGCTTCTCCCTTGGCAACTGCCGCATCGATCAGTCTTTGTCTCGCATCTTCTTCGTCTTGTTCTCGCTGTGTTTCGCCTATCAGAGAGATCAGACACCGATCGGTAGGAGAGCCTTTACGCACTTATCGTAGCTTCCAACCAGGCGAGCTCTCTTTCAAACGCCACCTTCCCGACGTCGTCATCTGCAACCGAGTGCCTAACTGCAGCCTTGGCTTTACGAGGCCGCAAGAGGGCATTGTATGGTAATGGTCGCAGTCTGCTTTTCTCAAGCAAGATGTAGTATGCCGGGACAAGAAGGGAGTTTGTCTCTTGAAAAAGTTGCCGGATACTTTGAAGCGTAGATTGTCAGAACTGTTTGGCAGAAGGAAACATTGACTCACTACCCGACTGGTATTGAAGCAAACTTGATTTCGAGCTCGCGCAAGCATCGATCTTGATATTGATACCCCTTTCTTTCCTCGGCACGATGGCCCGGGAGCTTGTACTGTTCAATGCTTTCTTCAGGTGCTGGCCGGCCTTTGCCTTTATCAATCTTGACCGTGGGGTATCCACCCTGCACTTCCAAAGCTCTGTCGACCACAACTTCTGCCAGTCCGTTTGCACGGCCAGTGGCAAGAATTGTATCTATATTTTTGAGGGCGTATTCAGGATCGATATCGGGGAGGATTTCGAGAACATGAATCAGGATATAATTTGGGTCAAGGGGGTTTGAAGGGACATCGTTTGATGAAGCAGGTTTCGAAAACGGGGTGTCAGGCGGAGGCACGGCATCAGCCGGAGGAGGGGGTGATGGGGATGCTGAAGGGGGCAGTGGGGGTAGCTGAGCAGCTTCCTCATCTGGAAGACGTTCGTGCGGACTGGATGGAAGAAAGAACAGAGGACCCGGAGCATGCACAGCTACAGGTGCTGCATGGTTTGAGGGACCAGCGCCGGCCGGCTCGTCGGGAGCGGAAAATCCAACAGCATCGGCCTTGCGTTTTTTTACGGGCGTGTTTGAAAACTCCGGTTGAGGCGCATCGTAGAGAGGGCGAATTGCAGATCGGGGGGCTACAGAGCGGGAAGGGCCAGGAAGGGGTGCCGGCGGAGAAGCATGTGGGGTGATTCGGCCAACGTGACTGCTAGAACCGTTCGTATGCGGCCACCCTCTCGCGCGGCCGGCCGCTGTGGGCTTGGCTGGGTGAGGTACAAAGATGACACCGTCATCACTGTCATCAGAGTCAATGTCGATGGGTGCTTTGACGTTGCCTTGTTTGTATCGGGGACTTTTGTGAAGAATAATGACAGAGTCATCCGAGTCGTTGCCATCGTCGGTCTCGGCCCTTCGCTTTCGCCCACGAGTGTCGTGCTCGATCTGGACGTGATCAGCGAGAATTGAGTCATGCATGTATACACCAACGCTTACGACGGAAGTCATGGAGCTACCCTCTTGTACGGCTGGGAAGCGGCAGGAATGAACTACGCTTGATCGCTGGATAGGTAGAGCAGGCAAAGGCTGAGGACGGACTGGGCCAGAGTGGTGGGGAGGGGGGAGGATATATCCGCAGATAGGGCATGCGATCCTACCCCCGATGGAAGTGTATGGTGTGAGCGTCCGCCGTGGAAGAGACAAAAGGAATAGTCAACATTAGGTAACAAGAAGTCAAGAAGGCGCGAGGTTACGTAAGCCGGACTGTCAACGCGACAGCGTCTGTCGTTCTTAGACAATTCTTAGAGGTGGTGTTGGTTGTCCCTATCTCCCTATCTTCCCAGCCTGCCGCCATGTTCATGACCAGGTAAGCCCCCCGCCCCGCACCCGCCCCCGCTCACCCCCGCAGATCCGAATACGACCGAGGCGTCAACACCTTCTCCCCTGAGGTACGTCTCCTCCAAATCTCCTTTCTCGCGCTGACTCGCTCTCTAGGGGCGATTGTTCCAAGGTGCGCTGCTATCCCTACTCGCTTCCTTGCGTGGCTCGATAACTGACCCTGACATCGCAGTCGAATATGCTATGGAGGCCATCAAGGTCTGTCGTTCTCGTCGTGTACGGCAACTCTGCTGACTTGCTCATAGCTTGGTTCCACAACGGTCGGCATCACAACGTCGGAGGGAACCGTGCTTGCAGTAGAGAAGCGTGTCCCTTCCCCCCTCCTCGAATCATCCTCCATCGAGAAGATCATGGAGATTGACTCTCATGTCGGCTGTGCCATGTCAGGTCTTACTGCCGACGCCCGAACCATGGTAGAACACGCCCGGGTGACAAGTCAAATGCACGCCTTCACCTACGACGAGCCGATCGGTGTCGAAAGCTGTACGCAGGCCGTCTGTGACTTGGCGTTGAGATTCGGAGAGAGTGTGGAAGACGATGACGCGTTGATGGTCAGTACTGTTACGGGGTATGAGCTTGGCTGACCACCGCAAAGTCCCGACCGTTTGGTGTTGCGCTTCTGATTGCTGGTATAGATGAGAAGGGTCCTCAACTGTCAGTATTTGCTGCTGGTCCATGCACTTTGACTGACTAGCGGATAGCTTCCACACCGACCCCTCTGGTACCTTTGTCCGTTACGAGGCCAAGGCCATCGGATCCGGTTCTGAAGCTGCCCAGCAAGGGCTCCAAGACGCTTACCACAAGCAAATGACCCTGGCCGAGGCTCAAACCTTGGCGTTGAAGGTCCTCAAGCAGGTGATGGAGGAGAAGCTGGACGAGAACAATGTCCAGCTTGCTCAGGTGACTCGGGAGCAAGGATTCAAGATTTTGACAGAGGAAGAATTGAAGGGTGTCATCACCACCATTCCCGCCTAGAGAGAAGGGTGAAATGTAGATTAATGCATATCATAACGAAACGTCCCGATTGTCCTTGATGATGCGCCTTATGCCTTGTATAGCTTGACTGTCTTCCACTCCCACTTGGAGGCCCTATCCCAGACGCCTCCCATACCCTTCTTCATCATAGCCTCGTCCATTTCCCTTGCTCCGGGATCTCTCAGCTCCACCATCATTCCAATATGTTCCTCTCCACCTGCCCCCTCCTCGCCCGCCGAAAGCTCCACTTTGGTCCATTCCAACCACACGCCCGTCCATCCTCCCGAACCCTTCTTGGTAGGTTCTCCCAAGCAGCTCACTAGATCTCGCCCAGTAGTCCCCGCCGTCAACCTCAACTCGATTGGCCGCTCAATCGTCTGAGGTGGCTCCTCTGACTTGGAATCGCGTAGAGGCAGAGGCAAGGTAGTACTGGAAAAACGAAACACCACCTCGGGTGCATCATCGTACACCGGCCCTCTCACCCGTGATGACGTGTTGGGGTGCGAGTCACGGCTGTAGAGATCGACACTGTCCAGCCCTGTAGAGGGCAAGAAGCAAAGGCTGACGCCCAGCGGGTAGTAGTTGTGATAGATCGCATCCGGGTACGATTTGATATCCGGCTTGGGGGCAGAGATGCCAGCGGCAGTGGAAAGGGAGGATATGAAAGAACAGATTTGAGGAGAGTCCGAGGGGAGGGTGAACAGTAGGGCGATGGGGAGCGCGGATGTTGTGGCCATTGTTGGCTCGATTTTGGCCTTGATGGAATGATCCAAACGCGCGAACGCACTCACGGCTGCCTTGGGCTTGGACAAGCCGAAGCCAGGCCGAAGCGCCAAAATCAACGCGAACGCGCTTATCTTATAGACTTATACAATTGTTTTTCTTATACTTTCCCGTTTCTCTTCTGTAGAGCTGTATTTGCCACATCTAGATATCAAGCTATGCAAGTACATGAAAGTGTATAGAGACCATATATGCAGGGTATCATCACCAATCTCCAAACAAGACAAGGCATGAGCCGCATGACAGATCAGTCCAATCTGGTACCGCTAATTGGACTGCTTTCCCTTGGATCCCTCCCGATACACCTCTGCAAAAAGTACACAAATGCACCCACAACTGCCACAAGGAGTGCCAGAGCATAGATAGGATGTTCAACGCTCGTGGCCTGAACATGGTCAATGGATTGCGCCTCCAGCAAACAAATAGCACTTACACTGAGGCTAATCAAAGTCTGAGCTGCGCTCCTGGACGACCATTCTAAAGTGGATTCAATTCTCTTTGGGCGCAAGAAATGTTGGTAGAAGCCCTCGAGGACGGAAAAGATACTGGCACCATCAAAGGTGATCTTGTTGCCTTCGATGGTGGTGTCATAGTATTGCTCATTCTGCTGACTGATCAGAGCTCGTTTCTGGGGAAGGTCAGGTTTACTTGCAGGAGTGTCCACAACCACAACGGCAGGGATATTTGCCTTTTTGATTCTATGCTGCAATGAGCGACCGGTCGATTCCGATTGTCACTCACGAGTAGAACTGTCTCAACCATCTCGACCACTTGTCGGCGTCCACCCAGACAAACCATACAGGCTGTTGAAACTTTCTCCCACCCTTCTTCCAAGCCCTCGCAACCTCCGCAAACTCGTCCAACTCTTTCTTTCCGGCCTCCCCTTTATGTACGGCGCCCAGCACAACCACAGCACGACTATCGCTCCTCATGAGCGACTGAAAGTTGGAAGAGTCTAGTTGGACGAGGGTGGGAAACTTGTGCTGGTTGATGAAACGGTTGAGATCGGAGGGTGAAACAGGAAGGGCAATGGTGCCTACTGGCCGGGGAGAGAAGGAAGAAAAGGCGAGTAGTGTCGAGGTGGGCGGTGGGTTGGCGATGTGCAAGCGCTTGTACAATGCTGGGTCTTTGGATGTGTATGCGGGGACAGATCCAAGAAGGGGTTCAAGAGCCTTCTTGATAGCATCCTAGGATGAACAGTGAGTCTGCTGGCTGAGAATATTTTCCGAATGCTACACGTACCACTTCCTCACTAGAGGTATCATACGACTGCAAAAACAAAAAGAACGCTTCGTTGGCCTTTACAATATCGTCAAAGTCACCGGCCTTGATGCTCTGGATGCTGGCGCTGTACATACCAATGCTTAGTGAGTGCACTATAGTAAATGTTATACTTACGCCTCTTGACCCATTTCTGCGAATTTCTGGAGAGTGCTCAAGGTTCGAGCACCGGTGAATTCTGTCGAAGTGCCGTGGTGAAGCATGCGGATGGTAGGATATCCTTTGACGCCAGAGCTGGAACAAAAGCTGTGGTGATCGTCGCAATTCACGGCGGCAATGTTGACCTTGCCCTTCATTGTGGCTGCGAGCTGTTCATAGACTGCACAGGCAAACGTCAGTACCGGGTGAAATCAAATGCAATGCCTTACTAGGACGCAACTTCTTGCAGCTGTATATCTCTCAGCTTGGGCAACACTTGGATATGAAATGACCCACTGTCCACACCAAGGCGCAAAGTATTCTGTCAACACAGCCCCCTCCTTCTTCAGCACCTCCAATTCTGCCGGGTTTACATGCTTTACCAAACCCTCCTGATTAGCTCTTCCCACCAACGACGTCCCTTGTTCGGTCGAAGATTGTAGGAGGAGCTGTTCCGAATAATTGTTAGAGTGTTCGTCAATGTATTTGGAGAGGTCCTCGTAAGAACGGTCGCCAGAGTAGTGGGGGGAGGGTTTGCCGTCGACATATCTGTGGAACATTGTCAGCAGAGGTGGTAGGGCCGCTGAAGGACCAACAGTATGATTTGGGGGTCTACATTGGGTAAGCATGAGCTGTGGAGGTATAAAATCCAATGTACTTACAGAATTTGATACCATTTGCGTTACACAGATCTGAAGCTTGTATGAGCTCGAGGTTTCCAAGAAAGCTATCAAGTCACTCACCGCCTTGAGCGAGACAGTTCACCTGTGTCATGTGAAAACCTGTCAAGCGTTCCAGGTGCTGATTATCCTTAGCTAGCTGTGTCCACGTCGGAGCGAACGCTCGACAATGACCACCTGCATATTGTCAATATACCCTGTCGAATCTGCACAATAGTCGACTGACACTTTGGGGAAAAGTGCTCGACAAGCCTGTCAAACGGGTCAGATAGTATTCCATATGCAGGCGGAAACAAAGATAATACGGACCATACACCGTTGGACGTTTCCGATTTGAAATTTTCGTCTGTCAACTGGCGCAGCTGGAATTCATCATCATCATTTGCAGAAGCGGACACTGAGCGGACGAGTCCGGCGGACAGGGCGAACGCGGAGAAGAGGACTTGCTGTAGACGCATGGGGAGCCGATGGTGTACTGTGCTGGAGGGAGGCGGGTCTGGGGGGTGGCCTGCATGAGATGCAGCTGAGAGAGGCGTCTGGACGACAACACAAGGACAACAACGGAAGTGGCTGGCGGAGGTGGCCGCTGCTTTGATCCCGCCAACGCCGTAACGAGGATATCGCGATTCAGCCGCAATTACATAGGACTTAGGAGGATAGGATCCATTCCATCTCGCTTTGCATCTCGCCCTGCGCACTGCCAGCGACCACGCACACCCCGCCATGAACATCTTGGTCAGTGCCGGTATAGCCGCCGAGTCAGGGCTGACTTCTATACAGGATACTCTCTTTGGGCGCTCGACGACCCCTGCCGAACGTCTTCGCCAACACCAACGGTCCTTACAAAAGGCCCAGCGAGAATTGGACCGAGAAAAGGGCAAACTTGAAGCACAAGAGAAGAAGACTATGGGAGACATCAAGCGGAACGCCAAGGCGGGCAATATGGTACGTCTAGATGGGCCTTGGATGAGGGTAGGAGCTCACGGGAAGGACAGAATGCGTGCAAGATCTTGGCGAAGGATTTGGTTAGAACGCGACGATACATTCAAAAGTTTACGCAGATGAGAGTGCAGCTACAGGCAGTGTCGCTCAGGATGCAGACGTTGAGGAGTAATGAATCGATGGCGGTGGCGATGAAAGGGGCAACAAGAGTCAGCCTTTCGTCCTTCATGATGCTGTACGTGGAGCTGATGTCGTTCCCCAGGCGATGGGACAAATGAATAGAAGTCTCAACCTTCCCCAGGCAAGTCATGTGTCTTGACCTTGAACACAGTCTCACTAAAGCCGAGCACAGATCCAAAAGATCATGAACGATTTCGAACGCGAATCGTCGACGATGGATATGAAGGAAGAGATGATGTCTGATGCGGTTGATGATGCTATGGAGGACGAGGACGAAGGGGAGGGAGAAGAGGCGGAAGGCGACAAGATCCTGAAGGAGGTTCTGGATGAGATTGGAATGAACATGAATGATTCGGTGAGTCTTTGCGTTTAAGTGAACTGGCGCCCTCGCCTCTACTGACCGTCAATAGCTCGCCGCAGCCCCTACATCCAATCCTTTGGCATCTGAACCTCTCCAGTCTTCCCGTGTTGCTGTCGCCGAAGGCCTGCCGCCGGTGGCGCCTAGCGGCCCACCAGCGGGAGGTGCAAGTGCCAGTACGCCTGGTGCAGGTGGGCCTCTCAGCAGCGAAGAGACCGATTTGCAACGAAGGCTCGATGCGTTGAGACGAGATTAGAGTAGATCGAGAAACCAGACAGTAGAGTTTATCGTGATTCGATGGAGTTCTTATCTGCGGTTGATGTATTATTTTATCGGCATGTACATGCAGTATGCGGCGTGTCGCAGATGTAGAGTTGATGAGTGGGGCAGCTTAGGGTATTGCCCTGACGACATCACTTGAGTGATGACTCTTGCCGAGTGGTGTCTAGTGCGGACCCTTGATGACCGGCTGACTCCAATACATAGCATGATGGCACCCAAGACAAAGTTGGGAGTTGATGGACTGGCCGCGGGTTTACCATCCCCCGCCCATGCATGATATCCAGGACCACCGGCGAGCAAACAAGTACCAATTCTCGGCAAGAACCCAACATCGAAGTGTGCTGTACGAAAAGCTAAAGATGCGCCCAGCGGATTGCCCCGTATTTGTATCTGATACGAGATATCACCTGGATCTTGGCAAAGATGGGGAGAAATCAGATAAGATCATGCAAGATGGATAAGATCATGCAAGATGTTATTACCGAGAGTTTGGAACTGAAAAGACTAGAGGTTCGGCCGATGGAAGCGAAGGGTCCTTGTTTGGGATATGCCAAGGACAGGAAGAGCGGGGCCAAATACCAAATACAAAGAAGCCAAGAAGGTATACGATATACGAGGAGGACGCAGGCCACGCAGGGTACATAGTTACATACGCATGCCAGACGCCAGCGCATGGCTGACACGAGACACAGCAGGTGGCCGTGGTGCATCGGGAATACGCGGAGATTGGCCGATGCGTTAACCGAGTCCGAGACTGTGCTGTCGCCCCTGTTGTTGTTTTGCCAGGTGCATGGCCTGGCGTGTGCATGAGTTGGGAGGGATGTGGCGTGGACCCCTGGCATGCATCCCTGAGAAGAACCACCCCAGACGAGCGCGTAAGTAGGTGTATAACAGTATGCACAACTAAGCCCTTTGCCCTGCGGACATCACCGCAAGAATTACAACCAGGGCGGAGGTAAGAATTGGGCTTAATTGAGGGGTCTTGAGCCCAGTGGCCCAGTTCTTGACAATCTGATAACAAGACCCTGAGGACCCCCCTGAGGGCTCGCGCAGACGCAAAACTACAGTACTTCCTCTTTTCCTCGCAGAAAAGCGATGGCCTCGGAGGGAGCGTACAGCAGCAGACCATCTCTCCTCAGCACAAACACCCCCAGGACTCCCAGCCACCTCACTCCCTCCCCCGTCGTACCCAACTTCCCGTTTAACCACAGCACCCCGATGAAGCGCCCCCTCCCGCCAGAGTCCCACGCCAGCTCCAGTGGCTATCCAGAACGCAAATTCAGCACAGATAGCACCAGCCACATCGACCACACCCAACCCCAACCTCAGAAGAAGAAGAGAGTCAGCCTGAGCTGTGCCCAGTGTGAGTGTGCCACTCTTTTTTTTTTTTTTTTTTTTTTGATCGCCTATCTCGCATCTTTTCATCTTCTCTTCCCTCTCTTGTGATGTTTTCACCTACATATCTTTGGGCAGACGCTGATATCATCCTAGGTGCCAAACGGAAGCAAAAGGTATGCCCAGAACTCCCAATGTGACGGGATAGTAGAACTCACTTCTCCTGCCGTCATGTAGTGTAATCGAGAGTTTCCCTGTCAACACTGTACGTACTCTGGCCTCGGCCTATCCATTAAAGCCATCAAAGCTGACCACCCCAACTCACAGGTGTCGGTAAGCCAGCTTTCTCTGCCTCGTTCCCTTCGATGCGCTAATCCCGTCACCCGTTACAGCGAGGAAAGTGCCTGAGCTTTGCGTATGTCGAGTTTTCCTTCCCACGCGGATCTTTGACTCATGTTTGCCAGGTCCCCTACAATCCGCAAGCAAACAGCAACAGCAGCTCCGGCCCTGATCCCCAGACGCTGGCCCGCCTAGAAAGCATAGAATCAGTGCTTTCCGTTGTAGTGCGACATACCAGCGGGATAACCCACTATGAGGCAGTGAGAGACTGGATTACTTGTACGCCTCTATCAACCCTGGTGACAAGCAGCTCAAGTATTTCTAGCACCACCATTCCAAAAGCATCTTCAATCAGCCCCTTCGACACCCGCATCTCCCCATAATCTCATGACACCACAGGCCAGCGTTCCGGGGCCATCGCGCCCGATGACTGCCTACCAGCCTGACGCCCAGGATCCTAATCTGCTCGAACGCGGCGCGAGCTCGGATGATGATGGCCTGGCACGAGTCGGCAAGGGATGGCTTGGAGAGATTGATGGGTGAGCTTACTGGTTTCGCGCATAGTACGAGTGCTGATCAATTGCTAGCGGTCTACCAGAAAACGTACGGAAACGTTTTAAATACTAGCTGCTGACATAAGCAATAGATGGATACGGACGAAAAAGTCAAGATGAAGCTCGACATCCATGGCACGCCCGCCGAGAACCTTCAGCGTCTTATAACCGACTGCGGTGTCAGCCCTCATAAAATTGCAGAGCTTGTCCAAGAACTTCCTCCCAAGCCATTTGCAGACAAGATAATCGACTGGTTCTTTGAAAAACTCAACTTTATTCGGTACCCTATCGACGAACGTCTCTTCAGAGCGTCATATGATGATTTGTATAACAAGGCGACGGCATTGGACCCGTCGAATGTGAGGGCTCTGCCGTTGGTGTTTATCGTGCTGGCCTTGGCGGTCAGACAGGCGCCGGATAAATGGGCAGGGGATGAACAGACCAGGCGCCTTTCAAGTTTGCGGATGTACTGGAGTTGTGAGTCCTCCGAGTATATGATGTGTCTCGGTCTGACCAGGATTATCAGCGCGTCGAAGTATCCTCATCGCGACAGCTGTTCAGTCTGAAAGTCTAGAACTCGTCGTCAGCCGACTTTTGGTGAGTCCAGATAAGATTGCCAGGAAAACAGCTTACATCCAAGCAGAGTGCCATGTACCTCGTACTCATCCACGACAGACGTCTCACCGAGTGCTGGTCACAGCTAGGGGCCTCTCTACGTACCGCTCAGGCAATAGGTCTCCATCGCGATGGTTCAAAGCTTGGTCTCGAGTAAGCCATCGCCCATTGAGACTGGCACAGTGACTGACGTCTCTTAGCCCTTACCAGACAGAGTACCGCAGACGACTTTGGAGCTATTTGTATCACGCGGACAAGCAGTACAGTTTGGTCCTGGGAAGACCACCCAGTATATCTGACAGTTATACCGACACGCAGTGAGTTACGCCTGTATCCACAACATCGTCCCTGACGCGGAATGTAGGGCCCCATCCAACATCGATCTCACCGAATACAACCCTGCCCTTGGTCTACCACCTGCCAAACCCTTCCACGAGCCCACCCCCGCCCTCTTCCTCATCCTCCGCCGCAAGCTCGCTGTCATCGTGGGCAGAATAGTACACCATTTCCAGAAACTGAACGAACCGGCGCAATACTCGGACGTGGAAAAGCTGCAGCAAGAGCTTGACCTTTTTGTGGAGCAGCTGCCGCCGCATTTCAGGATGCATGATCCCGACAAGGCGTTGGATAAAGGTCGGTTTCATATACTTTATAGTTGTTTGCGGTACTGACTGTCTCTAGTCCATTTCTGGCTCCCGGTACATCGATTCATGCTTCTGACAGAAGTGCTCGTCACCACCATCATCCTTCACGTGAGTCTGGTTTTCTGCAATACAATTGTCCTGACCCGTTTTCAGCGACCCTGGCTCTTGCGAAAGCTCTCAAGTAACCGATATGCCGCTTCTAGAACGGCATGCTTCGAAGCTGCCAAGCTCGATTTCCAGATACGTCAGGATTTCCAGCGTGAAGTCCCCGATTTCAAGCTTTTTGCCATCACTGGCAACTTTAAAATGTTCAACAGTGCCATGATCGCGGGTATCAGCGCCATTATTGGCCCTCGAGGACCCGATTCCGATCAGATGAGAAAAATCTTGACTACGTTTTTGGAAGAGAATCCCTGGCATGAGGTCGCCAGCAAGGATGCGACCACGAGAAAGGAAGTGCAGATTGTGAGTACCAGCATGCTTGGCATTGGACATATCTGACACGATACCAGATCCAAACTCTGTCGCGGCGTGCTGCCAAGATTTTTGAAGATTCATTTGGACCCGGTGAACCGGCGTTGCACGACAAAGACAGCGTTGCTCTTCTGCTCGCGCTCCGTCAAAGCAATGACTCTTCTACCTATTCTAACGCTTATCCCAAGGGTGTCCAGCCAGAAGATGCTCCCATGCCTGGTGGACCTGGTATCGGTCACAACAAAATGATGTACCCTCCGCGACACTGGGGGCAGACACCAAATGTTGCGTTTGCGCCTGTTCACCACGGGGGTATCAACCAAAGCCCCGCCTCCACCGGAAGTCACGAGGACGATCATTCACAAAAACTGTCAGTGTATTCAGCCAATGTTGTTGCCTGGTGCTAACTAAAATCAGACTCGACCATTGGATCAACGCCAACACCTCTATGGCAGTCGGCGGCTCATCGTTCAATGGCGGCCCCATTCCGACGCTCGACAATTCCGGGATGGGCTACTTGCCTATGTCAGCCATGTCGGGCGGCATGACACCCCTCAGCCTGTCCAATGGGCCAGGCTTGACGCCCAACCCGGCCTTGTCAGCGTACGGCGGCGGTCCCTTTTCTAGCTTCATGGAAGAGGGTGGCGGCAACTTTATGGGCCACACGTCTGGCGAGTACTCTTACCCCGACCAATTCGGTCTCTTGGCAGTGGAGGGAGGCTCGGGTCAGCCGAGTGGGCGACACAGTACCGAGCCGGGTGCTGAAAACAGCGATGAATATTGGAACGCTCTCATTGATGGTATGTCGCCGTTTGTCGTGTCTGGCTAGGTTCTTACAATCCATATAGGGATCCTTGGTACCACGGGCGGCATGTCGCACGGAAATCAAGGGAATAATTGATTGGAGAATGTTTTTCAGCGTGTCATGTTCAGGAAACATGTGATGAAGAATAAAGCGAAGGTGGAAACTAATATTACTGCTATGTACTTTCTCAAGGCTACTACGGATGTACTTCTCCAACTGAAAGCATCTGCATATCATTCATGGGTATCCTTCACATTCCGTATAGAAATCCATGCCCCAAAAGAAGATCCTTCGTTCATTTGTTTCTTGTTCTATTTTGCAATCAGTCTAGTTATGCCACAGTGTAGTTTGAATCAGTATTGGACAAAGACGCCAGCCTCCTTTCGGGCCTTGGTCATGGCTGTTGGATGGTCAGAGTAAAGTCTACAGTGCAAGGAATGGACTTGCCAGCAATGATGGCACTGCCCACACCGGAACCATCCTCAGCGTGGTGGGTAACAATTTTTCTACCCTTCTGGCCGAAGACGTCCTCGAGCGCTTGGTGGACCCTGTCGGCAAAGTTGGGGTATTTCTGCGACCAGATCAACAACCGAAAGGCACGGCGCTTGGGACAAACTCACGTTGTACAAACTACCATCAGCACCGACCGCACATCCCTCCTCCAGGTAGCCCTTCTTGCTGACAATCGCTGCGATACCACACGCCGAGAGACGGGCGGCACGGGTACCGATGAGGACGGCAAGTTGCTTGAAGAAGGTACGTTCCTCCATGGTAGTATCAAGGCCAAAGAAGTGGGTAAAGACACCGACGATGGTGAGAAGTTCATCCGTGGGGTCGCTACTCGGATGTCAGCTTGTGCTTGACGAGAATGAGATACTTACGCTTCCATGAGAGACAAGAAGGCGGTGTCAAAGGCATAGGCCTTTTCGATTTTATAAGTGTTCTGACCCAGGAAGAGGTCACCGGCATCGATAAGCTCGCACAAGACCAAACGGAAGATCTCTCCGAGGTAGAGACCGGCAATCATCTTTTCAAAGGACTGCTCTCCGGGCTTGTTGGAAGACTCGTCGATGATGATGTCGTACTTGGTACGGGGGAGGTGTTGGTGGTCGAAAGAGTCGAATGCTCCCCATTCACAGTTGATAGCCATCCCCTGCCCCTTGGGCAAGCCCACATAGTCAATCTTGGGAATACACTCCGCCGTCTCCATGTATGCCGCGTTACACCCAGTACCGAAAATGACGGCAATCTTGGTGTGAGGGTCAACGTAGTTGGAGGCGATGAGAGTACCAGTGGTGTCGTTGATAAGGGCGGTGAGTTCGGCGGGGACGTTGAGACGTTTGAGAGAGTCCTGGAACATCGCGGCGACATCGTGGCCCTCGATGTTGGGGGCTCCGAAACCCTTAGTCCAGCGGATCAATTCTGGGGCATGTCAGTACTTGCACTCCTGATACAAGGACAGTGCTCACCTCCGTGATCGATTCGATCCTGGCTACAGGGGTAGGAGAACTGTTACAAAAAATTGAGCTTTTGAGCCAGGGGCAAAGACGCCAGCAAAAGACGTACAGTGAAACCGAGGGGGAGAAGACCGTCCTTCTCGGTACGGCCAAGAGTGTCTCGGATAAAACTGTTCAGGCATTCGGCACAGAAGTCCAGCCTGTCTTCATGTTAGCACTATGCTCTTCCCTCTTTGTGGACAGCGGCTCACAAATCCTGTCCCTCCCCTTGCTTTTGCTCCTCAGTCAGTCGGTACTTGGTCTGCGTAACTTCAAACTTTCCGTGGCCTTGGAGAGTGACGAGACAGACTCGGAGGTTGGTGCCACCGAGGTCGAGGGCGAGATAGTCGCCGGCCTCTTCGCCGGTGGGCCACTTTCAGCTTGTCAGTAATGGGGCGAAAGGGATGAAAACAAAATACACACGCCGAAAACGTAAGTGGGGACTGTATAGAGGTCCGGTCAGTCACGTTCACGACAGCGACTTGAAATACGTACTCATAGGCTACAAACATGGGCGTGAGCAAAAGCCAATGGAATAGTATAGCAGCACTCACGACGACCTGGTTGTTCTTCTGGAGACCGTTATCGAGAGTGTCTTCGATGGCTTGGACAATCATCCTCATCCTCTGGGGAGTGACTGGTGCGTATCAGCGTCCGCGGCTTGTCTGCAAAACCGGTACATACGGGTGAAAAGACTCTCATACTTGCGCAAGAGGTCGGCCATGGTCTCTGCAAAACACATGTCAGGCGTGTGATTCCCTTGTCGATCAGTCTGCTGCTCTGCACTCACTCTTCTCGGCGTGAGGAAACTCGATGTCATCCTGAACAGAACGTCAGCGCGTGATATCCCATGACATCCGCCAGCAGCTCACATTGGTCCTGTGGTGGTAGACAGTCTGCACGCCGCTGGGGGTGATGACCAATCCACTGCCTCGTCGACTGTGTCCGCCGGAACTGCCAGCACCGTGAGAGGTCTTGCGGCCAGCAGCAGAGCCGAGGTTGGTGCCATTGTCGACGACGGCAGAGCCAGAGCCGTGGCGCACGGTGGTGGTAGTGCCCAGGCTGAGTTCTTGGACGCGGGCGGCGAGGGTTTCTGGGGCTTGAGGCATGTTGGGGGCCTGCGGGAGCGCAGGGGCGGGGGTGAGCGGTGGGGCGGGGAGGGGGATAAGAGGCTTACGGATGGGTTGTGAAAGGCGTCTGTTGCGTGGGAATACTTGGGATACTTGGGGGTTACCTGCGGAACGGGGTCTACCAAAAGTACTAATAAGTGACTAAGTCCCAACTAAGTCTGCTCAACGAACGAATGGAAACGAAGCAAACGAAGTCGGGAGCCTCCGTCAACTGCCGACCATCACCACCCAACCCGTGACGCAACCGTGACGTGTCCCCGCAAAATCGCACCCCTACGTATATCACTCAACATGAACATGCATCGCGACCCCTATCACAGTCCATATGCCATCTCCCGGGTATAGCTCCAAGCGGTCTCTTTCTTCCACCATAATGACCGCTCCTTTGTCATGACATCAACATGGCATCTTGCTTCCTGGCACAAAAGAGTGTCATCCACCCGCCTGTCATCCACTCATCCGACTCTTCCTCCGCGCCACACATAATTTAATAAGCCCCTTGCCATCGTCTTTTTCCTCCTATCCATCTTGCCACTTCTAATGCTTCCATAGCTCGTAGGAGCATCCTCCATTGACCAACGTTACAACAAGAAATACCCTGGTGCTGATCTTATACTAATGTGGGGAGGCTACTGGGCACCATTCCAGAGCAGGTACGGCGGGTATGGGGGTTATGGATCGGTAGGTTCCATACCCATATGTAATTCTGATGCAGTCTAGGGAATACTGACTGGATGATAGATGATGAGTCCCTACTTTGCCGGGGGGTTGGGTACGCCTTTCGGGATGAACGCTCTCGGTGAGTTCATCACTTCCTCATTATGGAGTATACTTACCACGACAAGGTTATGGAATGGGTGCTGCTATAAATCCTGCCGTGTACGGCATAAGCTCCATGGGCATCGGCAACCCGTACGCCTATACGGGGATGGTGAGTCGCATTTCGCATGAAAGGAGCGCGTATAAACGGTCTTCAGCTGATCAAGTCGTAGTATGGCCTGCCTTATTGAGTACCGCGCCATTGATGTAGATAAAGACATAAATGTTGTACTTGGCGCTATATCAATATTCGTGCATATTATGTGACATCCTGTTCCGCTATGAGATATCTCGTAACCATGAGCGCCTTGCCTGATATGTCGCCGGACATCGTCATGTCGATAGGGTTCGCAGCCCAGACACCAACCAACCACCTTTTTCCAGTCCCCTCTAGCATCCTTGAACGCATCAACTGCGGGTCGACCCCAAGCCTTGGACCGTCCCAAGCCCAGGGCTGAAGCACCGCCAATACACGCTTAGGCTCTGGACGCTCTTGGGTGGGTGAAAATTGTGGATGAATGTCACACCAAAAGAAGAGTGTACCATGCACCTGCCCAATCGCTTCCACCGGGTAAAGAATGGTAGCAGCCGATTGGTGGATGTATTGCCCAGCCGTCAAATGGGACGACTGGAAATCATCATCGGGTCGTTTGCGTCCCGCCAAGCGAGAAGCGGGGAAGAGAGCGTTCTGAAGGGAGGTGTAGAAGAGAGTTTGTGAAGCTTTGGCAGAGGATAGCAGGTTGGCAAGCTGGACCGATGATGGCATGGCTCTATTCCGAGTCAGCGCAACGAGACATGTGAGGAAAGAAGATCTACCGAGCGCTAGGCCAATTGGTAACCCTTTTCCCTCTTGGCGAGACGCCCACCCCTTCATCTTCTTCTGCAACCACCACCTTCTTCCTCATAATAATATCCTCCGTCATCTTATCTGACAGCCTCGTTTCGCCTAGTCTCACCAGAGACATTTTCTTTTCGTCTTCGAGAGGTTCTCGTTTGATTACCCGTTCAAAGGGCGCCGTGACGGGCGTAAAGTCTTTGCCTTTTGTACCAGATCTAGAGTTATACGGCTGAGCGGCTGGCAGGGCTCGGAGGCTGAGGGGCACGAGGCTCGAAGAGCCCAAGGTAGGCCTATTGCCCCGTGGAATGGAAGGCGACAAGAACCGGGGAGGCTGTCTTATAGATGCTGTGGAGCTGGAAGATCCGAGGTTAACAGGAGACGTCCGTAAATCCGCCATATTCCTCCCGTCTTGTACTGGCCATTCAATGGCTGGCGACTTGGCTGAGGATAGATCGGAAACCCCCCGTCTCCCTGAAGATGACCACTCAGAACGTTCACTTCCCTTGTCCAGTACCGACTTGGTGCTCCTACTTCCATCGTCCTCCGAAAACGCAGGCTCCTTGGCTTCCGACCGCGGGAGATTGTGACCATCTGTAGGTCGGGGTACTCCCGTCGTTACACTAGTGCGTGGTTTCTTGGTGGACTTGGATCCCAGGGAGAAGTTGAATGCCGAAGCGGACACAAGCCGCTTTGACGACGAGGAATCAGGGGATGGGAGGGCTGGAGCCATGGTGTGAGCCTGGGTGATGGCCTCTGTACGTGCAGAAGGTGATGCGGGGGGTCATGTAGGTGGCTGCGTCGGCACAAAGAGAGGTGATTAGTCGAGTTAGGGTGACGAGAACATGTGTAGAAAGGCCGAGCGGAGATCGCCGCCAGCCCGCGTCACAAAGAAGTCAGCCTCCGTTCGGAATTGGTTCGGAAGGCGATAGATGTTTTGACAAGGTATCGCCATTCTATCAAGATCAATCATCGCTGAGCCCCGGACTCGGTACCGCACCACAGGCATAAACGCACAACATTTGTATAACAGCGACTATCAGTACACATCAGCATTAGTTCACCATGGCCGACCAGAAGATTGCTCAAGTCCAAGGACAACTGCAGTCCGAGACTGTAGCCTTCCAGAAGATAGAGAATGGCAAGTCAAATCTTGGCTTGTGTAGCCGTTGCTGAAAGATTGTGGCAGAGCTCGCAGGTATCATCGAAGCGAGACAGAGGCTGGACTCTCAGTTCTCAGAGAACGAGCTCGTCTTGAAAGTGAGACCCTTGCCCCTTATGCCTTGTTCTAGTCGAGAGCTGATGAAAAGAGTAGGAATTCAACATACTTAAATCTCACAACACCGTCTACAAACTGATAGGCCCAGGGCTTGTGCCACAAGATGCGTTAGAGGCCAAAGTGAATGTGGAGAAGCGTCTGGATTTTATAAAGAGTGAAATGTGAGCGTCTACCTTGAAGAAGTGGCAGCCACGCTGATAGTCACCAAGTCAAAGGGTAGAGTCACAGCTCAAGGAGGCTGAGAGCAAAGCAGCGAGAAAGAGGGAAGATGTACGTTTTCAGACTTGACAATGCCTGTCCTTACGCTGACAGTCTCACAGATCATCCTGCTGCAACAGCAATTCCAGGCATTGCAAGCACCCAGCGGCGGTCCTCAATAGATAGGATGTATCAAAGAAACAAGGCTACACGTCGCGACAATGCATGATAATCGTATATATTTACACAAGTGCCGGGTGCCAGAATACAGATACAACAAAGTCAAGATTAAAACGCAGAACTCTCTTGTATACTGACGATCCTCATGAAGATACGAAAAGTTCTGATAGTACTCGTGTATCTAAACCACAGATACTAGAACGGAGGAAGACGTTTACTCCAAGGGCATTTGGCTGGAGCCACTACCCACCCGCGCTGTCTGCGCATCTTCATTTTCCGACGTGGGCGAGTCCACCATCACCGCCCCAGCCCCTTCTTGGCCCGCACCCACACCCTCCAGATCGATAGCATCCGTATTCAGCTTTTTCAGATCGTTCAATTTGAACTTCCACGGGGTCTGCTTCTCTGTCTCTGCCGGTGAGACCAAACTCATCTGTCGAGGGGACATGACCTGATCCCCAGCGATATCTCCAAACTCGCCGTCCTCAGGGTCCGAGGAGAGAGAGGTGTTGGTAGTGAGAGGATCGCGGGAGGCGTACGAATCCATGGAACCAGATGCAAGCGAGGGATCGGTAGAGTTGCTGGGAGAGGAAATGGATTGGGAGGTTGTGCGGGTTAGGTGAAGGCGGCGGAGTCTACTGAGCGTCAGTTTTACAATTTCAAGCGGGCGGATCAGCTGACTTGTTGACGGCACGGACCATGTGGCTGGCAATGTGGTCAGCACAGATACCCCGGGGAGCAAAAGATAATGCTCACAAAACCCCACGGAAAGTCCCGATCGCATGGCTGACTTCCTCTTCCGTTGGCGCTTCAACATGCTTGCCCACATCATAGAGATTTTCATCTGTGCTGATCATGGGCTCCGTTCCGCCGTCTGTCGTCCATGGATGGTTCTATGCAAATTAAACATTGCCTGCTCCTTGTGCGCGAGTACTCACCCTGATATCGTCCATGACTATCCTCTGCTCTGGGTCCTTGCACAATAGCCGTCGCACTAGATCCTGAAGAGAATCCTCCCAGTCGTCAGGTATCCGAGGACTGTTTTTTGCATCAGCTCTGACCGCATATCGATGATCGGTCGGCTTACTCTCGCTCCATCACAGCAGCGTAAAGTTCGATGACGTTGGGGTAATTGAACGGCAACGTTCCCGTCAGCATACAGTACAGCGTGGCGCCCAAAGCCCATATGTCGACGGCTCGGCCATGGAGATCTGGAGAGGCTGTATAGTCTTTAAGCGCTGTTTTGATTAGTGTGACATCAGAGCTTACAACGAAAACTCTCTGGGCTTTGGAAAGCAGGACTTCCACCCGACTTGCCGATTCGGTCGTCCCCGTGACGAGTGAACATTTCCGATACACCGAAATCACATAGTTTCACAAATTGCCTATCGGCAGAGAGCAAAACGTTGTCTGGCTTGATCTACACTGCCGCATTAACACTGAATTCCGCGTCAATGTGGAAAAGAAAGGGCGTACATCACGATGGACGACATCGTTTGCGTGAAGGTATTCGAGTCCGAGGCAGAGTTGCCGAAAATATTCCCTAGTTTGCCAGACGTCGAAGGGGGGATGGGTTGTCGCGTCGTCTTGACCTATCTGGATTTTCATGAGAGTGCCACCGGGCATGTATTCCAGAACGAGAAATAAGGCGTCGGCTGTGGGGACGGATATTGCTTCGTAAAGATGCACAAGCTAGGTTCGTCAGCGGGGCATCGGTACTGACACTCTCTTGACTCACGTTGGGGTGGCTGCAATGTTGTCAGCTATAGCGGTCGGGTCCTCGCTGTTGAACTCACTCTATCTTTTTCATCACTGCGACTTCTCTCCGAATTAGCCCTAGAGGGTCACTAGCACTCTCAGCAGGTGCTTCCTCCTTGTGCATCTCGAATACGCTTGGCTCGTCATTATCATCAGGGACCGGTCCTCTCTGAAGGCCCCGTCTGGGACCTCTCAGGGGCCGTCTGCTCCTTGCAGTAGTCCGATGCTTCTCCTGTACAGACTGGTGGTGTAATCTAGATTTTGAGAATTCTTTGATCGCCTTCAAGTACCACTCGTCAGAGACCACAGTCAGGATAAGGCACAAGATGACCCACATATTCGATGCCCGTGTTGATATCTGTCGCGAGCTCCACCTTGGCATACGCGCCTTGACCGATACAGGTGCCGATTCTGTACTGATTGATCATGCGCTCGCCGTCTTTGCTCGCGGTCTGAGTCCCATCGATGGTCTCGCGTACGCGATGGGTCGAGCTTGCGCGTCGGTGATGCGCCACCCTTGGGCGGAAGGAAGGAGAGGACGGGGAGGGCGAGCGCAGGACGCCATGCGATGCGAAGATGGGTGATGCAGGGCGGAGCAGGGAAGGAGACGGAGCGGGAGATTCGATGGAGGGAGAGGGATGGTGGAGATCGAGAGACGGAGGGGATTGCGAGACCGGAGGCGCTGGCGATGGGTCGACGGGGGCTTCGAGGCGCTCTGGGGAGTCGGTGGTGGGGGGACGGGGACGGGGACGGGGGGAGTGGGGGAGCCTGTGGGCGGTGGGGGAGGGGGGCGATACGACGGTGGCGGGGGGCTGGAGAGAGGGGGCGCCCATTCTGGCTCGTGCAGCAGACTTACAAAGGCGACACGTAAAATAAAAGTCAAAACTGCACAAAAGAAGAGAAGAATAACCCCCTCCAATTCGGGCGCCGAGAATTCCCTTCGCCATTACTGGACGCTCGTACAGGGTACAGCCGAGTTGGCAGGCGGTAGGCATCGCAGCAGCTCGAGCAGCTACAGACAGGTTACGGGCACTGAACGGTATGCATCCAATCACGGTACGTTCCCTTTCGCAATAAACCCCTTCAGAGCCTCGTTCATCTCATCGTCCTCATCATACTGGCTCTCCACAATCTTCTCTGCCCCCACGCCAGCAGATATCGACTGCCCTTTCTCCTTGGCGACCTGAGCGGCAATATCTGCCCGGATCGGCTCTGGATACAGAAGCGCGAAAGTGAGGTAGGAGGTGTGACCTTTCATCTCGGTGGACGGTTTTGTGATGACACTGGAAGGCAATGGAACGGGCTCCTTCCAGAAACCGGAGAGATCAGGAGCTTCCAAGCTCTCGGAAACAGCCGGGGAAGTATCTTCAGCGACAGCTTCAAGCTTCCTTTTGGACGTTGCCTCTCCCTCTGCCAAAGTCCCCTCTCCAGCTTCATCAACCTTGGCCTTGCGGTTATTCTCCCGCGCCGTCTTGATTTGCACAATACGCCGTTCTTCTTTTCTAAGCTCTTGCTCTTTCAGGTTACCGACGACCGAGGATATGGAGTGGAGGTATTGAGCATTGTCGGGGAATGTGACCAGCTCGTGAGTGCGTAAAAGAACCTCTTGGGTGGAAATTTCTGCACGAGGTTAGACCTTCCGTCGTCAAAGTGTCCGTAGCACTTACCTTGGAAATTGAATTCTCGCAAACATGTGACAGTCCTGGTCACCTGTTCAATACAAGGACTGAAGCAGCATATCCGTGTGACGGTATCGGTCTGCTATACATGAGCCTCCGTGTCGAACAAACGCGTGAAGCTTACTCTGAGGGTGTTGATAGCGTGGGGTATAGCTTCCCAGGGTGCAGGAAGGTCGAGAAAGACTGTCGACAATGAGCAAATGCTAGACATGCGTTAATAACTCACTAGCTTCCACCCCTTGGGCATCGCCGAACCCGTCTTTGCAGACATTTCGATGTTGTAGCCGCACATTGCGCAGATCATGAGACTCAAACTCTGACAACGCCGTCTCGAAACGAGGCCTGTGGTACTCAAACGACAGCACCTGCCCAATCGGCCCCACTGATCTGGACAGACTGTGCGTCATGCTCCCGCTTCCAGTGCCCGCCTCGATCACCTTACCTCCGACTCGCACCTGAAGTCGCATGGTGATGTAAGATATGTCGGGGAGGTAAAGAATCTGGGTTCTATGGGGGAGAGACAGAGTCCAGAGCTCTGGGGTAGGACGTAGGAGGTGGAGATACCCTGAATGGGGTGGAGGAGAATGAACCTAAGTATATGTGAGTCGAGTAGGACACTGGCAGGGCGCCGTGGACCTACTTTGGATCCGAACTTCTGGCCAATGAAGGCATCGTGCGCGTATCTTCCGTACTTGTTGTGTAGGTATTCACCGGGTTGAACAGTGATGGCGCTCAGGTTGTCGCGAGCCTGCGAGAAATGAGCCTGGGGCCGACGGAGACACGCATACTCACCATGTACAGGATTACAACATCGCCGACCTCTATGTGGGAGCGCGAGTGGAACATGGGCCTGGGGACAGACATCGTGGGTCGATGGGTCGATGAGACGCAGAGCAGCAGTTACAACCAACTTTTTCAATTACGTAACTGTTGATCTTCTGATTTCGGTGCCTTGGCTGTCGTCGAGCTGACTTGAATCACTTTGTGCGTGGCCCTGCATTCAGCCGTCAACGCCTCTCTCGTCATCACCCCTGGCCATGGAGACAGAGACCAGGCGCCTGCTCCACGCAGTAGCGTTCCCTTCACCCAATGAGCAGTACATGAAGGACCAAGAGACCTTCGCCGCACTGTACAAAGAGCCAGGTGTGTACTGCCTGCCTTCTCGCATTCTGCCTCCGCGATTGACAAAGTCCAGAGTTTCTCGTCACCCTTCAACTGCTGTCCACCGATCGGGGCCTCAGTCACAATGAACGGCTCATGGCTTCTCTGGTTACCAGTCGCGAGCTGAAGACCAAGTGGAGGAACAAAACGTACGTCCCACATTCCGCTCTAAGGGTTACTGTACTGATCTGATGCAGCGTTGTCCCTGAATCCCGAAAGCCTGGCATCAGACAGTCACTCTTTTCCTTCCTGCATGAAGCCGAGCTGGGTGTGAGTATGGCAACAAAGCCGTGCTCGGGCGCTGACAGATTGGCTGCAGATTGCCCGACCTCAGCTCTCGCTGTTGGTTGCCATTGCCCGTATCGAGTACCCCAAGACTTGGGTAAACCTCCCACAGATCCTCCTCGATGCCCTTACCTCAAGCGCCAATTGTCTCAACGACCCGTTAAACATTCCTGCCGACGCCGCTGTCGTACTCTTGAACGTCATATGGACTATTAATGCTCTAGTCAAAGACTGGCGAACAGTGAGGGTAGCACAGGGTGCGGCGGCGATGCAAACGTTCGAGCAGGCTTTTTCGGGACCGATGCAGAGCGTCATGGAGGTCTGGGCAAGGAGCGCGAGGGAAGGAGGAGGCAATGCGACCGTGGAAGAGGCAGGAAGATATGCCTTCAAGTGAGTGACTACGGTCTCAACATGTCATTCCTTTTGACATGTGCTGATCTGTGACAGGATTCTCGCACGGTTCTGTCAGTGGAATTGGGCGAAAGCCAAGGGCATTCAGTCCCCTGAAGCTATCCAACGGATCACCCTCCTACTCCAACACACGGTCCAATACGCCCCTGTTCTACAAAGCAACCGTGTACAGACGATTTCTTCTGGTGCTTCTCAGGACAAGGCTCTTCGGTCTGCAATCAAGCACCTGCGATCAATCGGTAAATGGTGGCGGGTGATGATTGCTACAGATCCAAAACGGTTCTGTGCCATAGAGGGTGTCACATCGGGTGTTGGATGGTGGTGGAGTGCGGTCGGTGGGGTTGTGGCCAACTCGGATGGAGCGGTTGCAAATGATGGTGAGTCCTTCTCGGTTGGCAGGAATACGGTTGACAGTACAGATTCCGACAATTGCCCTTGCCCCAAGAGATTCCTCCTTTTGGGATTACTTCTTTTCAAGGACATACTTCCCATCCTTGCAGCAGACCACCATCACAGTCCGTATGATTGCATGATATCTGGATACCGGCTCACTTTGATTTAGTTTTCACACCTGATTTCATCCTCTCGGCTTTCCACCTTCTGGTCGACAAGCTGTTGCCCCTGACCTCTACTGACCTCGAAGATTTGGAAGATGAGCCAGAAGAGTGGCTAGTCAGAGAAAGCAATGATGAAGAGGCTTGGGCATTTGAATTTAGAGTAAGCTGCGCACTCCCTGAGGGTTTCATGTTGGCTGATATCCGGTAGCCCTGTGCAGAACGAGTCCTCATATCCCTCAATAACGCCTGTCGTAATGTACCAAAAGAGAATAGAGTCATTGAGCCAGCCATGTTGAAAATGGTTGCTGAAACAGAAGGTGAGTGTGGAGGATAAAACAGAATGACCGCTGATCATCAGCACAGGCATGTCACCAAATGACCTTCCAAATGTCCTGAGGCTCGAGGCAGTGTATTGTACCCTTGGCCGTCTCAGTCGATCCATGGCATCATACGGTGGCATAGACATCAACAATCTTCTGACTCAAATGGGGTCATGGATGGGCCAAGATTATCCTCTGTCAGCTCTGTTTTGCCTGACTCTCTCCAAGGACATCTGCTGATGTGTGTCTTTTTAGCCATCGCATTGTCAAACGACGTGTAGCCTGGCTAATTGGAGAATGGGTCACTGCAGATGAGGATTCTGCAAAACTTCCAGTGATATGGCAAATGCTGATGTATCTGCTCTCTGAGAGAGGTTCATCTTCAGACAAGGCAGTGAATTTGACAAGCGCCATTGCTGTCAAAGAATGTGTTGACCTCTGGGAGCTCCCTATTGACTATTTCTTGCCTTATCTGGAGCAGTCTGTACATGAACTGTGAGTACCATTGCAGCCCACAGATCACATAACTAAATTGTGTGCAGGGTGAAACTACTTGGAGAGGCAAGCACACTTGATGGAAAGAAATATGTCAATGAGGCAATTGGTGTTGTGATTGAAAGGGTTGGAGACAAAGTTTGTTGCTCTATTGTGTATTGTAATGAGTGCTGACTACTGCAAAGATGCTGCCATACTTACCGTCTGTTGCGCAGTCCATTCCTGTCCTTTGTGAGTATATTACACTCTGTTTGTAACATATTACTAAATCATTCAATAGGGTCAAGTGCAGGGGGTTTGGAGGGAGAATGGCTGTTCAAAGCATCTTTGGTTGTCCTCAGCACCAAATTGGTCACTGTATGGTGCTCACTATCTCCTGCTGCCATCAAGCTGATGTAAAATAGGCTGCAAAAGAAAGGTCTGGTGAATTGATGGAGCTTGTTATTCCTCTTATTGAGGAGAGCTTGCAGCCTCCTGCCAAAGAATTTTTTGAAGAGGATGGTCTGATTCTGTATGTTTATGTTTCCCAAAATCTTTGAACATTTGCTGACCTTGTCAAGCTGGCAAACTGCCATTTACAATGCCACCTCCCTGCATCAGCCAAATGTATCAACCAGTCTTATTCACCTTCTTCCAGGACTTCTTCAGGTCTTGGGTGAAAATATGGATCTTTTGTCAACACTTGTTGGTCTGGTTGACTCATATCTTCTCCTTGATGCCCAAAATATCACACAGGTGAGTTGTTCCAGTGTGCTCCTGTATATTGCTGACTAATCTTAACAGGAATATGGACAAGTGTTGGCATCCTCGCTTAATAAAGCTCTTGTCACCAGTGGTTCCAATGTTGGTTCTGTTGTCAGGATCCTTGAGACTCTTGTGTTATGGGTGTCTTTGGTCCCTGTTCCCTCTCTTCACCCTCTTCTTTTGCAATCAGGCATTTTTAGCCAGATCACACGATCTCTTGAAGATGACAAGGCATCCGGTCAAATACTGGCATCTTATCTCAATGTTCTTGCCAACCTTGCAATATCAGATGCTGGAAGCTTCTTGCAAATGGTGGCTGATGCGGCAGCAATGGAACACAAAGACCCTCACCAGTTATTGGATGAGGTCCTTGATGCTATCTGGAGGAACTTTGATTATGTTGGGGGGACCAAGATGAGAAAGGCTGTTGCAATGGGTGTGGGATCTTTGCTGCTCTCTGGAAACCAACAAGTAATGGAAAGGTTTGATGGTGAAATTAGTAAGTCTTCCCAATATGTGGTACATGCCCAAGCAGTTCACTGACACTCCATTCAATAGTGAACATATTCTTGGATGTCCTTGGAGAAACCCAGAACAATGAGGCAGAAGGCGAGTGAGTGCAACACATCCTGGTGCTTCATATTACAAAGCTCAATTTCATTGTGACAGAAATGGCCTTCTGTGCTGGGGTGACGAACATGCTATTGTTTGGAGTGACATGCAAGGTATGTGGTAGTGGTGAGAGGATGAATCATGCTAACTCACTCACAGCTACACCTGAGGGTGCTCGTCGCACCGCCATTGAAAGCAAAGACCCAGCTTATGCTGTACCACTCAAATCCTTCATCATAGGGACAATGACCCAGGGGATGACAATAGGACTATTGCCATATTGGGAGAAGGCTGATGAAGGGACCAAGAATAGTTTGGAGAAGTTCCTTGCTTAGACAGTAGATATCTTACAGACATGCTCACATGTCACAGACACACTGCAGCTCACCCTCCAAAACATGTCATATCACCAGTAATATTGCAGGACACTGAACAAAGCATGCTAGTTGTCTGCCTGCATGGATTGTCTTTTTTGCTCTTGTCTTTCTGAATATATGCTTGCAGGTTTGTTTTGACCTACTCACCAACAGCAAGACATGCAGAATTTATTGCCTTCTTTTGTGTTGTGGCTAACCCCCAAAACTCATCTTGTAGAACACTGTGGGTCTGGGGCAGGGGTATTTTGGCCGTTTTCCTAATCTGCCCAATGCAAACCAGTGAATGGGTTTGCTTTGACAATCATAGTGTAAGGATTCAGTGGTCAGGTCCCGGGGCGTGAGTTAACAAGTCCAAATACCAACATATGCATTATGATTCCAGGGTTGGAATTGTGATGTGATGGCTTTTGCTGCTCATCCGGTTAATTGATCTTACTTGGTATTTAGGTCCTTTACACCTAGAGCATGGTGTATATCGTCACCTGTTTGGCCCCAGAGCCAGGTAGTTTTAGCATTGAATCTGGCATAGTTGCAGCTCTCAATCTACATCAGAAGTGTAGCATGCTAGCTGCCTAAACACTCCATGGACTGTCTTTAGGTCTATATATCCCATGTGTTTTTCACCTCACAGGATGATGCCACATGACTCCTGCTACGCTCAAGACCTTGACAATACTGTTCTCAAATCTCTAACCACCATTGTTCAAACCCACCACCCTACAATCTTCCATCTGCTACAATCTTCCATCCCCTATGCTCTTCCATCCCCTCTCATTCTTCCATCCCCGCATATCGTTTAACATTCAACCCAGTCTTCTTGGACACAGTGAGTATGCTCTCTGCTACCTCCACTGGATTTATGCTAATCCTAGCAGTGAGTGTCCATGACTTCTGCCATGTCCAAATGCCTTTCATTGCCAACATGATATCCACCCCCAGACCCCAAAAGACAAAGAATCATCTTTATAGTGGATGACAACTCTTCAGCTACCAACCTGTCCACCTAAACTGACCTTGATGTACCCGCTTTACCTCTGATCCCCTGTGTAGATGAGGTTGTCAGTGATTGGCGTACATTGGCTCATGATAAAACTTGTTCTGGCAGGCTTAGGATCTTTGTGTCAACCACTGGAAAACATCCCTCAGCAGATCCCGACAATGGTTAAGCCCTTTCCAACTTGCACCTTGGCACAATGCTGACTGTCTTTACAGCTGACTAACTCAAGAGTGTGATGTGTTCCTGGCAAAAACCATTTCTGGTGATTTCTCAAAAAACAGTTTGGCATGAAACCTGCAAACGGTTTTTTTTTTTTTTTTTTTTTTTTTGTTGCAACATTTTTGCTGCCAGCCAAATACGCCTGACGGAAGCAAATAACATCCGAGATGAAAAATCACCCGCGGCAATTTTTTGATATTTGAAACATACTATTGATGGCCTGAAAGGCATAAAATGACGTTTTCCGTAGCACTTCCAGCCTTCTTTCCATCAATGAATATTTAGTGACAACTTGACTACCAACTTTTGCTATTGACTACTCTAGCAGACCTTGACTAAGTGGTACCAAACATATACCTCTCAACTACCAATACTCTCAACACAACAGTACCTCAAAGCAGTACTGTCTAGGAGTCTTCTTGTATCGTCTGTCTCTATTTGGCTTCAGGCCTTTTGTCATCACATCATCCTTGGATCATGAGTCCACCCCTCATGGGACCCATTCATCATAGAAAGCTGCTTCCAGAGGTTGCAAAGAGTAATCATGCATCTTCTTATACTTTTGCCTGCCAGTAAGGCACATCATGTTTGAGACCTCAAGGCCTCTAAGGCCAAGACCAGATAAATCTCCCCCTTCTTCTCTCTTTATTCTTTTCTCTTCCTCCCTTTGGTTATAACTAAAACAACACAACCACAGTGTCTGCTTTGTTGGTTGAAAGTCTGAAAAAGATAAACTTCAAAACAAACAAAAACAAATAGAGCTATTTTGTGTTATCATATTAGAAACATAGAATAGATTTTGCAACACGTTTGCTTCCGTTCCCTTCCAGCGCTTGCCCTGACCCTTCCCTCACTCCACCTCTCGCACGGACCCCCCCTAAAAGAACCTAGCCTTCCTCCCCGTACCGTTTTCGACCCATGCATGCATAGTCGACTGATGTCAAACTGGAAATGAACCTTATAATAAGCTTCAAGGGTCCACCATCGCTCATCGCCGCCGCGCGTCATACCTCTTCTTTTCTGTTTCTCACTTTCACTGTTGTTCTTTTCGCGCTCTCACTCTCTCCTTCTCCAAATGGCAAGACTCTGCGCCTGGAAGCTGCTCATTAGCTGCCAGCCCTGCCGTGCGAGAAACAGCTGCCGTTTCATCAACCATCTTTTAGCCCTATTACGGCCCTCGTCGCGACATTGTCCAGTACTCCCTCGGTCCCCCAACGACATGCATGACTTTCTCGGAATTTTTACTTTCTCAGAATCTTTACTTGCTCACCGTTATCAACATGCACAGTATCCAGCTGCACAGCTCATCATGCAGTCATCCCTTTCACTCCCCTCACCACGTTCACGCGCGCTCAACAACTTCCGACGTCCGACTGTTCCCGACAACCGCTCAACGCCGCTGGGATCACCACCCGCCTTTCCCTCGCCTCTCGCTCTCTATTTCCTTCTCCAATCATGACCATCATCTTGCTCTATCACTCGCTCGCTCCTGGATCTTCCCTGAAAAATGCCGAAATCTGCCCCATCCTCTCACCATCCTCTCCTGGGTCGCCCCTGACTCCCACCACGAGCCTGGTGATCTCTTCTACTTCTCTGGCGACATCGCCCACGACGGCAACGCCTCATTTGCCCTGCCCATGCACTCTGCCTCGGAGGCACATATCAATACTTCTTCTCCCACCGGTACGTGTCTCTACAACCAGAATCCCGTAACGTTCTGAACTTATTGAAGTTCCCAAGTACCAGAGACTCCTTCAAGAATCATCTGGTATATTCAGTGCGTGGGCATAGTCCGCAACATGCAGTCAATGCATTCGGTCGGCACCTTCTCTTCTTCCGCTCCCTCCTCTTCCCCATATCGCGGCAGCCCTGTCCGCCGACGCCCCAACGTCGCCTTCTCTCATGAGCCTGCAGTTGCATCTTCCCCTGGCCCCACCAAAAAATCCAGAAAGTAGTCGCCTCTGCCTTTGTCTGTTGTACTATATGCAACCTTCTAGCCTGTCTGCTGCTATGTATCGGCGGTACGTACTTAGAGTAGTAATTAGTCTAAAAACTTGCCCGCAAGTTGTCGAGCGGGTCTGATACTTGTTGTAGAGATAATTAAACAAAAAGGTTCTAATCATGAAAGGGAATAGCTATTCAGCTTAACGACATGGTCCTTGGATAAGCTACACTATGTATACAGTACAAGTACTGTTTTGCGCTTTGGTTTGCTGGGGGAGGCATCATGGAGCCCACTATCTCTTTTTCATTCTCCAAGTCCTCTGGAGGCTGTCATGAAATATGGTCTTCTTTCCATTCAACCAGACTTTCTGGCTGTCATGACCTGGTTGGGACGCAGCAGGGAAGGGACTGGAAAAGGTGTTTTTGTCATGGTTAAAGGAGTCACCTGTGTAATTCGTTCATTCAATAGATTAGTTGTGTGTTTGTGGACCGTGCTCTTCGTTTAGGGTAGCTTGTGGGTTCATGTATGAGTACTATTGGGAGCAGCTGTGCAATGGATTGGAGAGGGAAGTGATGTGGTAAAAGGAGAGGGAGGTAAGAACGCCGTTGAGGAGAGAAAGTCTCCTCAAACCAAGCCTTTTATATATCACAGAAGCTATCCAATACAAGTGATGTTGGGGCACACCATTCCTATGTATATGAATAGGAGAAAATTCTATACAAATAAATGAGGAGAAGCAAGCAAAGATATCACACGGAAGACGGTAACGCATAGCAACAAAGAAGAACAAAAGAAAACGGAAAAGATTTTGGAGAAGGGAGAGGCTCAAAGGTGTTCGGCAAGTGGAGGCGAGGTGGAGGTTGACGTGCCAAAGCTGAATCGAGAAGCCGAAGTTCCAGAGTGGGAGAGGGGTATTGATAGTGAAGGAGAGGGTTCAGTAGCAAAGAGGATGAGTTTTGTTAAAGTGAGTCAAATTATCATATGCAAACTCCGCCATAGCCATTTGCTCCAGAGTGTTGAAGGTTTGTAAGTGCTGCTCTAGCACCTGATTTACTCTTTCTGTCTGTCCATCAGACTGTGGATGGTATGAAGTACTGATGTTCAACTTGGTTTGCAAGTTGTCTGCTAGGGATTGCCAGAAGTTGAGGTCAATTTGTTGCCCCTGTTGCTGACAACACCTGTAGGCAGTCCATGTTTGGCAACAGTGTAATTGTCTGTAAAGGTTGAACTCCACGCAGTGGTGACGTGATGCTCAATGGACAAAGAGATCTCCACCCAGTGGTGACGTGATGCTCAATGGACAAAGAGATTCTATAAGGTGTAAAGGATCCTAGTGGATGGACAACTTGGATGTGTCTTGTTATCAGTGTTGACAAGTTAAGAGACTATATGTGTTATGCTAGACCACAGTACCAAACAAGGCTTAGGACTTGTGAGGCTCTAAGCTGGGTTTTCACAAAATAACATTGATGATATTCTATCTGCTGGCTAAGAAGTCTCCCGTCTATACCTTTTTGGTCTCATCAATCATTTTCAACACTTTCTTCTTTTGCCACCCGCTTTTTCAATCTCCCACTTGATTATTCAGCTGCGGCTGAATAATGCTATGCTTTCTATTTTCAATCCGGCATCTGCAAAGTATGCTAGAGGCGGATAGTGGCTTTCATGGTACAAGTGAGATGGGAGCAAGGCTGGAACGAGGTGGTGGTTTGCAACACGCATGAGTGGTCTTGTAAAGTGGAGGTGTGGTGGAGGTCTCTGCACGTGGCGGTGACCAAGCTATGTTATGTAAGATGGGCTGTAATGGCCTTGATTGTCAAAGGCATGAAAATCACTGTTTTGTGAGTTGGTCAACTATGAGTAAGTTGATTTCATCTCTCATACCCGTTGGATAAGGGTAGCTGATCAATGTAGGTCATAGAGATTGACATCTACGGGTATGACAGAATGGGGAGTGATTGTAGTAGTGCCCCCCCTGTATGGTTTGTGCTGTCTCTTTTTTGTCCACTGACAATGTTGCAGGTGCAACAGGGTAGGGACAGGGTCAGTTGTAAGCAGTGGGCACCACTGCTCACGACTTAACCATTTCCAGCCGCGTTTCGGGATCAATCCTTCCGGAATCAATTCTGCTCCCGTCTTGGCTATTGCCGATACCCACGACGCCACTTGTGTTATCGCCGCTTGTTCCGTTCCGTGTTGTTTGCCGCTTTCGGGCCTTCGGCCGAAGGTACCTTGTGTGGTTCGTTCCGTGAGCTTGTGTGTCTCGTTTCGTGACTGCTCTTGCGCGGGGACAGAGGATTTGGGTGCATGGAATCTTATCTCTTTCTCCATCGCCCTTTCATCTCTGTCCCAGTGCGTATCATCTCTCGTCCTCGAACGGTCACCTGGACTGACTCGAGTGTAAGAGGCTTGCCTCGTACCCTTCCTGATATACGACCCGTCGACCCTCTTGGTTGCGACTCCTTGTCTTGATTGTTGGACTGCATACAAGTAAGCATTGGTGGAGGGCAGCCTGTTGCGTTTGAGTGCCTCGACCCAGCAAATGAGAAGCGCTCCTGCTATGCATGCATGCAGGAGGCGGCCTGATAAAGCTGTGGGATGAAGGGCGGAAAGAACTCAAACAAATGAGAAGCGCCTCCACTCGTGTTTACGTAATGTGTAATGCCACATCATTTCAGAGTTTCGCGGAGCTTGCCGCACGCGCAGACGGGGACTTGGTGGAACGTCGACGTGGCTTCTCTTTCTTTGCCCGTCGTCGTTCCCCTTCTCTTGCCCTATTGCTGTCAAGCTTAGGTGTCTGTGTGTGTGTTTGTTATAGCTAGGACTAACTCCTGCCCAGAGTTACCGCTTTCTGTCTGTCTGTGTGACAAGTATATGAATTGGGGTCCTGTTTACAGGTTGCACCGCCCCGTCCGATCTCCGCCGTTCCTCGCCGCTCTCTTGCCGTTCTTCAGTCCAGTTTCCTCATAGCTGAGACCACCGCCGTTCGCCCCGCCGTTCCCTGTCGTCAGTGAAGCAGCCCATCCGCTGCTTACACAGTAGGGGAATTCAATTTGGCGTTTAAGAGCGGTCTTAAACCATTTGGCTCGCTTAGGTGGTCAGGAGGTGGTCAGGGCTCAGGCACATGCAGATCCTACCCTGAGCAGAGTTCTTTTTCGCATCTTGACAGCTCCGATTCGGACCTTCCTGAAGAGGCAATTTTGCCAGTTTAAGACCGCAAGTTTAAGAGTGGGTCTCGGAGCCACTCCTAAACAGAGCGGTCTTAAACTTGAGAACGCGCTCAATTGACAGAAAAATGCGACACATTGTCATTTTATTTCTCTTCTCTATTCATCACAAAATCATCCCTTCCGCTCCCCTTTCATCAAACACCAACCACATTTATCCACTCTCAACACGCCAACCCACGCCCGTTATGTGCTTTGAGTACGAGTGATGTACTTTAGCCCTATTCATGACTGTGTGACCCGTCTCTTGCCCAAGAGACCTTCATGCAGATCAAAGATGCACATTTTTCTTACTCTCAACAGATCTATAGCTTCGATATCGCACTATGAAGAAGAGGCAAGCAGTGTCGCAGCATAGAAGGGGCAACCAAAAAGACAAAAAGAAGCCTCCGGCGGGGCTCGAACCCGCAACCGCACGATTAACTGGGGCAAGAGCAAAAGAAATACATTCGACATCACTGTCGGACATGGCCGACGCATCGAGACGGACGGGATCTAATCGGGTCCAGACGTTCCCAGGGCCAGCCACGTGCTTATCTCTGAGCCCTGCCCTGACCCTGAGGCCGCCAGTTTAAGACCGCAAGTTTAAGAACGCCAAATTGAATTCCCCTAGTATGTTTCAAATATCAAAAAAATCACCGGAAATGATTTTTCGTTTCAGACAATATTTGCTTCCGTCAAGGGGAGTCTTTGGCTGGGGATTTTTATCTCAAACGATCTTGAATTTGAAACCATTTTTTGTGAGATGCAGGATCAAAATTATGTTTTTTGAAACAGTGTTTTTGTGTGAGAAAATATCTTAAACCCACAATTTCCAATTTATGAAATCTAAAACCAACAACATAAATATGGATATATCTAAAACTCACAACTTGCCTCTTTGGGGCATTCAGAGCATTCTGGCTGCGCTACCCCCTGATCAGGTGCCTCAACATGACGTAGTACTCATCGGAACCCCACTGTTTCCTCCACTTTCCATGTCCACCTGCAACATCCATCTCACCACCAACATAACATCAATTCCAATGCATCTCAAAACAATCACAACAATGTCAAAACCAGGAGGGGGCATCAGAATTCTCCAGCACTTCCTTACAAGTATCAATCCTATGACCTTGCTTGTTGCAGCGCTTTGCACACATATCGCCGCTTGCCCCCCGCCTGAATGTTGTCCCCTCTTTCTTGCAGAGCGGCTGCGGCTCTCTTCCAAGCATTGGCAGTAGATGTCTTGGGCCGGCCTCTCTTCCTTGCTGTCAGCGGACAACCTTCATCTTCCTCTCCACCTGCAAGATCTTCCCCTTCCTCCGCAGCCAGCCGAGATTGAGAATTGGCAGACGGGTGTTGCCCTGCCTGACCATGAAGGCTTTGGGGCCTGCCCCATCCAGCCTTGAGTAGCGGAAATCTCATAGAGTTGGGAGTGGTCGCAGGCAGAGGGAGTTGGTCGGTGGTGATGATGGGAAAATCACAATCATAAACACTGACCAGCTCTCCAAGAAGTGACACCGAGAGATAAACCTAGGGTACCGTCAGTAGTCTTCTAACATAGTGCAGATGAAAGCCTATACGCAGCGCCAAATTCCATGTCAAAGGAGTAGCTCAAAAGGACAGCAAGACGCATGTAAAGCTCAGCAGACAGCGACACGTCAAACACGTCTCATCAGGTGCACGTGGTTTTGCCAGGGTAAGCTGTGGAAGGAGCTGGATTAGCGCGGCCAGAATGCTCCGAATGCCCCAAAGAGGCAAGTTGTGGGTTTTAGATATATTCACATTTATGTTGTTGGTTTTTGATTTCATAAATTGCAATTTGTGGGTTTAAGATATTTTCTTGTTTTTGTGTCCCTGCTGGCATCCTCATCCTTGTTTCTACTCCCTCATCTTTCACTTGCCATGTATCTTTGACCACCCACGCAACTTGTCCCCTCAGCAGCACACTCCCTCCCCTCCCATCTTACCAACAGTCCCACACCATCCTCTCGACTACCTTGATACTCCCCTACCGACATGTCGGATATAGGTCAGAGGAGAGCGGAGATTGAGACAATTGTGAATATCCTGCTGGTTGTGGCTACACTTCAGCAGACGCTTGAAACTATGGATGAAGTGCAAAAGTTGCATAGGCTGGAGCAGCACGCTTACGCGTGGGGGCGAGAAGTCAATGTGGTAGACATGTGGTATGCACGTGGTATGCATGTGGTGTTCCTGGCTAAAACCATTTCTGGTGATTTCTCAAAAAACGGTTTGGCCTGAAACCCGCAAACTGTTTTTTTTTTTTTTTTTTTTTTTTTTTGGCAACATTTTTGCTGCCAGCCAAATGTCACGACCGCGCTCCAGCTTCCACATCATCACACATCTCATTACATATTCCTTTTGAGCTGGACGTGTCGCAACACTCATCACTCAACACTCATCATCACTTCCTCGTTTGTGGCACCGCTCTTGCTTATCCTGTTACCTCACAAACATCATATAGATCCAGGAGCTACACATCTCAAGGGACATTGCTATCACAACACCTACACATCAATTCATCTCCAAGACACAACCAACTCTGACTTGACCCAAAACCTATCTCCAACCAAGACCTAGACACCCAAGCACCCTCATTCTTCTCCACCCCAATTATGATTCAAAGACACACCCAATCACTCTGTAACTCAGAGACACTTTCTATACATAGAAACACTTTTTTTTACATAGAGTGTGCTTCCAAGATATTGTGAGCCGTAGCAATTCTAGAACTTATTTCCATAGCAACTCATGAGAAAACGCAGCAAGCCAAGAGAACGGCTTAGTCAGTTGGGTGGCGAATATGGGAAAGCTGAGTAAGCCACTAGGGCTCTGGATGTCTATATAAGTCGATAGTTTTACATAGATTCGAGGATCCCAGCGACCTCGAATATGTCTGACTTGCCTATGAATTAGGCAACCAAGTGAACAGGCCTACTTGAACTATACTAACTAAGCTGACAGGAAGTCATCAGCCTTAGGTTAGTGCAAGCCCTATCGAGTCAAAGATAGCCTTGCTGATCAGGTCCCAACACGTGCGCGTATATTGTTGATTGGAATTGACATATTAGAAACAATGAACAGATTGTTCAGCGTGTTTGCTTCCGTTTGCTCCCAGCGCTCGCCCCGACCCTCGCCTTGCTCCACCTCTCGCACCGACCCCCCCCCAGAAAAAATAGTGCTTCCTCCCCATACCGTTTTTCACCCATGCATGCATAGTCGACTCATGTCGAACTCGACGAACGTTTGAAGTAAGGTTCAAGGCACCACCGCGTTTGCTTCCGTTGGCTTCCAGTGCTCCCCCAACCCTTGCCTCCCTTCGCCTTTCGCCTTGACGCACTCCTGAAAAAATCAGTCTTCCTCCCCACACTGTTCTTTCCCCATGCATGCATAGTACACTCATGTCGAACTCGACGAAGACTTGAAAATAAGGTTCAAGGGTCCACCCGTCGCTCATCGCCGCCGCGCTTCATCTTCTTTTTCTGTTGCTCGCTTTCATCCTCGCTCTCTTCGCGCTCTCGCACTCTCACTTTCATCAAATCACAAGAAGCTGCACCTGGAAGCCGCTCCTCAGCTGCAGGCCCTACCATGCGGGAAACTGTCGTCGTTTCATCAACCATCTTTCAGCCCTGCGGCCCTCATCGCGACGTTCTCCAGTACTGCCTCTGTCCCCCGAGCGTCATTCCTCTTCTTTTGGCGTTTCTCGCTTCCATCGTTGCTCTTTTCGCGCTCTCTTCGTGAGAGATTGTCATGTGCATGCACAGTATACAGCTGCAGAGCTCATCATCCGCCACACATCATTCCTCTTCTTTTGGCGTTTCTCGCTTCCATCGTTGCTCTTTTCGAGCTCTCACTCTCTCACTTTCTGGGCATGATTCCTCGCTCACCGTTACCTACATGCACTGTATTCAGCTGCAGAGCTCATCATACAATGATCCCTTTCACTCCCCCCACCACGTTCACGCGCACTCAACAACTTCCGACTTCCGACTCTTTCCAACAACCACTCAACGCCGCTGGGATCACCACCCGCCTTTCGCTCGCCTCTCGCTCTCTATTTCCTTCTCCAATCGTGACCATCATCTTGCCCCATCACTCGCTCGCTCCTAGCTCTTCCCTCCAAAATGCCGAAGCCTGCCCCATCAAAACCCCTCTTTACTACAAAGCCCTACAGCGCACCACAAACGAGAGTCAACAAAGGGGGCCGTCCTCCAAAAAATCCCCCAACCAGCACCTCTCGACCTGCCCAATCAGAATCCCTTCTTACTGGCAAGCCTTACGGCGCACCAGAAACGAAGGTCGACAAACACGGACGTCCTCCGAAAACAGCCCCCACCAAAACTCCTCTTGCCCTTTGGTCTCATCTGGAGGGCGATGTGCCCCCGTACTCTGTCGGTCCCTGCAACTTCGTATGCAAGGAATGCGGTGCTCTTCACTGGGCAGGCGAACGTCCAGCCTGTAAGAGGTGGTGTTCCTCTTCACTGGCGGCGGCGACGGGAGGGGAGAACGGCGGTAGTCTCGGCTATGGACTAGCAGGACGGAAGAACGGCGGGGAACAGCGAGGGCTTGAGCGGGGGCGGTGTAACCTGAAGTGAAACAGGACCCCAAATACATATAAACGTCACACAGACAAGAGG